TGACGCCACCTGTAGCAGCATAATCACCATGATTCATCCACCAACACCACACGAGACGATGTGATCAAGCCAAAGACGGGATTCTCACAACACCCCGAAGTTTTTACTCGGCTAGCCTGGAAAGCTGACACTTTCCATCGCGGCGTACCACACACACCGCTGGCCAAACACCCCAGTCCGGACACCCCAGCTTCAGGAATCCCCAAGGCAAAGGTGAAGGAAGGAGTTGGACTTACATGACATGACACTGACTACAACCGGTGGGGGATCCAGGACATGGAAAGGGCGAGGATAACTCCGGTTGAGCGGGTGGCGGGGATTGGAGGAACAACATTGCCCTGGTACAGGTAGGACTTCTGCAGGAACACCATCCACATGAGCTGGAACTGACTGGAATGACAACCCTGGGAAAGGAATAAATTCCTTAAGTTTCTAGTAGCCTTCTTCAAACCACATCCGAGTTGAATGCAGTACGAAGAAGGAAAGAATGAAAGGAAAAAGGATATATCAGTTAGTAAGCCTCTTCTTATAAAGATGGTTGTAGGTATTAAAGAAAGCACAGTACGTACCGTAAATATACAAGCTCGGCGCCTTGGGTTGTCATTTGCTGTCAAGAATCGCCGCTGTACATGTGACACGATGGTATATTCCTGCTGCCTACACAACCAGAGCGTTGTTCCCCTCCCCACCACCGGCTCTACCATCATCGCTATCCCCATGTGCCCCCCCACATCCCTTCAACCCCCGGTGGCTGTAGCAGTGCCACTGCCACTGCCAACTCAATCCTGCCTTTACCTCGAAGAAACATCCACTGGGATGGCCGGACCGCTCCCCAACGCCTGACGAAGGCGGAAACCGCCAGACAACACCGAGCCACAGAGTGCGCACTGTTTATAAAGATATGAGAGCGTCATTAATTAGTATCTACGCAGATCAAGCAAGTAGAGCTTAGGATAAGATCACATAAACAACTCACCAGAGCGCACGTACACGAACGCGAACATCGCCGGACAAACGAGCGACCACAAAGAACGCCAGACGAGAAAAAGCAGAAGCACCTGGCTATAACAAGTCCACTAAGAGCGAAAACATTACAGTTAGCTCACTTTCTAGCAGTTAAATCTTTTAAACGCCATATAATAATGAATGCTTTCACTTACTCGACGACAGAATGTTCTCCAACTCAGCGGCGCGTGCTCTGTCGCCGTGAGCAAACATGAGAAGACATTCTAGGATTTCGTCTTCTCCATCATGCTTGAGATGATGCTGCAGCATCGCGACCTGGTACATCTCCAGACCGAGGTTTCGTGCCATTGTGGCAGCGAATTCCACCGCTTCCTCGTCATCGTCATCTTCGTCGTATTCGTATTCGTATTCGTCGTCGTCTTCATCTTCATAATGAGCACGAGGCTCTGATGCGGGGTTGTTGGTGGTGGCGGCGGCGGCGGCGGCGGCGGCGGCGGGTGAAGACAAAGGAATGGAGGGGGACTGCGGAGCTGAGGAGTGGGAAAAAGCGGTGCTGATGGTGATGGTGCTGGCAGTGGGTAATGGGACGGGGGAAAGAGACGGAAAGTCGACGTCGAAGTTTGTGTTGGCGGGAACGAAGACAGGAGAAGCGGGAGAAGAGGGTGCATCGACGATCATGGCAGTGGCGGCTGCGGAAGAATGGTGACGGTTGGCGGCGGCAATAAGTGAACGGAGCGAAGGAGTGCGGGAATGATGACGGCGGTGACGGAGGAAACGACGGTTGATGGAGTTGTTGAGGACATAAGGTGCGAAACGGAGGACATAATGGTGGTGACGATGGTGGCGATGGTGACTGGAAGGCACAGGTGGCATATGCATGTTGATGGGGGCGGAGGAGTGGAGGCGACGCTTTCGGAGAAGATGACGGCGGTGGTGGCTGGGAAGGGCATACGGACGGAATCGAAGAACATGGTGACGATGATGGCGATGATGTGTGGACGACATAGGCGGCATATGCATGTTGATGGTGGTGGTGGTGGTGGTGGAGGAGTGGAGGCGACGCTTTCGGAGAAGATGACGATGGTGGTGGCTAGGATGGGCATAGGGGCGGAATCGAAGAACTTGGTGACGGTGGTGGTGTTGATGGTGGTGGTGATAGGCATAAGTGGCAGGCGCAGCAGCCGCAGGCTCGTCATCGTCAGCCTCGTGCATTTCTTCGTCGCCGTCGGTTTGCGCGGTGTCTCCGTCGTTCGCGGCTTCAGCTACGTCGTACTTTTGCGCGGAAACGTCGTCCTTCGCGGCTTCGACAACGTCGTACTTTTGCGCGGAATCACCGTCCTTCGCGGCTTGCTCAACGTCGTACTTTTGCGCGGAATCACCGTCCTTCGCGGCTTCAGGAACGTCGTACTTTTGCGCGGCACCATCCTTCGCGGCTTCAGCAACGTCGTACTTTTGCGCGGCACCACCCTTCGCGGCTTCGACAACGTCGTACGTTTGCGCGGAATCACCATCCTTCGCGGCTTCAGGAACGTCGTACTTTTGCGCGGAAACGTCGTCCTTCGCGGCTTCAATAACGTCGTACTTTTGCGCGGCACCATCCTTCGCGGCTTTTACTTCTTCTCTTTGCACGTGCTCTTGGGCGACGGCGACGGCGACAACATCCACAACTTTAGCCTTCGACATTCCTTTCAATGCTTGAGCAGCACCAAGCTCTTCGCCATTGACGGCAGGGTAATTACCCGGAGAGGAATGGAGACGGGGATGAGTGGAAGCGGCATGAGACGGTGGTGATGGTGGCAAACGCAGATAAAACTGCTTTGCGGGCGGAGACGGGAGGACAAAACGGACGATTGTCAAGGCGACAAACGCAACCAGGGCAACTAGCAACTTGATCGTTGCAGCAACAAAGGGACGCGCCGGCCGACAGAAAGGAACGCAGACAATGCAAACCAAAATGGCGACGATGGCAATACCAACGGTTTTCCAGGGATAATACTCCCAAAGGAGCGGTAACGTGGGGGCTTCATAGAAGCAGGGCTCAAACACACGGCGGTGGAGGTGGTCAATGTAAATGCGATCGTAGTTGTACTTCATGTTGAACTTGAAACAATAACGTTGGTGAAGAAAGTTTGCTCTCTTCTTAATAATAATAGATAATTGAATATCCGCTAGACGCGTGACGTAACAACTTTTTTTCTCAGCTATGCTCGCTTTGAATGAAGCGAAGCTATAATAAATAGAGAAATAAAGGGGTTGGAGGGCTAGAGAAGTACAAGTACTATGGAAACGGTCGTCGTCGCCGTCGTTATGGCGCTGCTATGGCGTCGCTTTATGCGTGGAATGTTTCACATACGGGTCTCCGCTTAGATCTTCCAGGCACCGTGTCAAGGTTTCTTGGCCAGTGCGTCAGCGAGAAGGGAACTTGGTGATTACATAATACGATGTTAACAGTAACTTTACAATATAAACACCGCAAATGTTGTTAGCCACAAGTCAGGGTAGTTAAGATATGCACAGGCATCTGTTAGCAGCAACGATCGAATTATTACCACTGGACTTTTGAGATCTTGTGAGAATCGTCCGCTTCCACTTTTGAATTATTCAAATTATCTTATAGGCCTGACGTATTTATATAAAACGTTCGAAGTCTATAAGGTATGCCAGTAGTTTTCACTGTTTTTAAAGAGAAATGCTTCCTTTGGTTCACGAATGTAGAGGAAACAAGGAGCTGAAGGCGAAGAGGAAAGGGTGGGCATATTGGAACGTATAATGTAACGGCTACATATGTAATACTTGCTATCTAGATGTCTTGTCGTGAGATTGTCTAAGAGTCATGCAACGAATTCCTTTCCTCCCGATCGAAATTAGCACATGGTAGAGACAAAGCGCAGTAAATTGGTAGTCAGAAGCTTCTTATACCATGATATGTCGATATATAATCCGGGAAGTCCTGTCGCTAAGGCATCCTACTTAATAGACTGATACTACTGTCATTTTGATCCGGAAATTCAACGGCGGAATTCTATATGAAGAATAACGCTGTGGAAGAGAGCTATTAAGTATGGATCAGTGCCTATATGTGAAATAATAACACAAACGCTGGAAGACATGCGTGACGACATTTTGAAAATGTGTAGATGATGCATGTACGTTTAAGCTACGCAGCTTTGGTGTGAGTGTTGCAAAATAACTGAGATTTCTTAGCGTGCTTCAACATTTATTCATCCAAAGTATACCACAGGCTGCTACTCCGTGCCCTTCAGAGCGTTGTGCATATTTTTTTGGTAATCTACCAGCCTAAAGTCATCTTTTGGTGCAGTCCTCAAGACACTTTCATGATTAGACGTAGTATGCTATCCACGTAATATGTACAGCAGCACGTTCATCATGCTGCTACAGTAGCCATTGCAAGAAGTCTGTATTCTATTATACGGTACTCTTGCGATGTAATCATATACTCCCATTCTCATTTTCTGAGCAAGTGGTAGATATGGTAGGAATCATTCTCTTGCTTTGTTACATAGAAAGCATGGTAGTATTGATTGCGTGAGAAACATATCGATCATCATCGTTCTGAGATATGTCGTTTCACTGGATTCTTAGGGGAAAATCATAACCATACAAATCGCCCTCTTACAGTGATATCATAGCTCCATTCCTAATGTCACCTCTTATGAAGGCTACTCTGACTACTACTTCACATCCAAACATCTTTGTACAAAGTGTAGTTTTATGGCTCATTATGTATAACGATGTAGCCCAGGATAACTGCTTTGCAATTTATGATGTCAAAGTATTGTGAGATATACAGAAGAAGAGTTGCGTTGCAGGTACCTTACTTGAAGTCATTCCTACTACGAAATGGAGCAAGCAAGGAATAAGTAAGGGAGCGAATATGCACATACCCGCTTTCTCTAGCATCGCTAATTTTCCCGCGCGCCACCTCCACAATATCATCGTCGCTAAGTACTGTTACAAGTACACCAGCTCGTCGATTTATGATGTCGTTTCTAGGCGATGTCGCTTGGAGATAAATTTGCCGACTACTCCAGGCATCCAAAGCTGCATAGTGTGCTTGCTCGTCAGTAAGTCGACCTTCCTAGTTGCCTTGTTGTCAACCCTTGGATAGACGATGTTGTAGAAATATCTGCCAGACTTGATCCAGTAATTGGTTTGCATTTGTACTCGTTGCATCTTGTCAACAGGTTCACGACTTGGATGCTTGAATCTTATTGGATTGTTGAGGAAAAGATCGTGAAAGCCGAGTGATATCATTTGCGTTGTTACGTCCAAACCTTGATGATATCTTTGCGATTAAGCAGCGTCCAGATAGCGTGTGGCAATGATATAACTTCTCCAGCTTTAATATTTATACTCAGTCGTCGTATACAAATTGTATTATTGATACTAAATGCCACGTTGGATCATTTTCATAATATGTCCACTCTGCGTCAAGACCAACGACGGTCGGTTGCTGTTCAGTGCCATATTGTTCGAGTAGCGGTGTCAAAGCAGCTTCGATTTGCAAAGGTGAGCTGTGGATTGTTACTGAAATTGTCGGTGGCAGCTGTAGCTGCGGCAGATGACATCATAATATGTTTCAGCGACTTATACGTGGATGAACGTCAGTACGAAGAAATTCGATTTGTGTTTCGAAAAACTGTTCATCGGCCTCCACTTTGTCAGTAAATAGGATTTTTGGATGACGATGACCATGGTCAGTAAGACTTTGTAGCATGGCTAATCGCAAAATTAGTTTCGGTTACTGTAATGCAATCAGCCGGAAATTATATGAAAAAAGTGTAGTATACCTTGTATTCCTTGTTCTATGTGATCCATGGATGTAGTAGGCACAAAAGCTTGATACCGGATCTCTCCGTATTCCTTTGTCATTGATACCAACCCTTCAAAAATTTTGCAAGAATCTAGTTTGCAAAGATGCTTTGTCACCTATTATACTACAGACAAAGCACTTGTCAGAATATATATACACAAAAAGCAAATAGATCAAACTCACCTTATGGCTGTGGTCAATGTTGATTATGGTGGCTGGTGGAGAGCTCATGTGGTTGTAGTGGTCGTTTATATGCATTTCAGCAAATGCACTGTACATTTTTGGGAGATACTTAGGACCAGGTGTCGAACCACCATATCCATCTCGATCAGCGAATGATGGGAAATTCTTGAACTGCCTTGATGCCGAGTGCACTGGTTTATAGAACGAATTGATCGCCGATTGTCTAGTGGGTGATGGATTTTGCTGCTCGTAAGAATGTTCTTGTTGCTCTAATCTTCCTTCCGCATACTGCCATTCAACTTTGTCGTGTCGCAGGTGGTGTCTAGTGCTCAGTGCTTTTGCAAATGGACCGGGCCCCATTCTGTTACCAAAGCAGAGCCGCATATTTGTCATCAAATACTTGGATACACCACTTTTACGTGGAAGAGTGGCCGGCTATTCGAGCGCAAGTTGTATGGGTAGCGATTTTTCTGTCAAGTTCTCGTCCGTGCCCATAATTGAGTTGACGTCGCATCCGTCGTTTTTGCATTGATAGCGATAGGATAGGATGTAAATAAAGTCGTCGTCGTCTGCGATGCGTCTGGCAAGTGGGTTTGCATTTGGGACACTTGAGCTCTTCTACCAAAAGGTGGACGAGCCAAACGTACACACGTAGAAATATAAGTCGGTTGGTTCAAGGTAGTTCTCCTGGTACATAGCGAAAAAGGGGGCTGGTGGCAAAACCTAAAAGATCTTGTTTCTGTAGCAGGTACTGCTCAAATACTTCAGGCGTTACCAACGTTTCTACATCGCGTCCCACCAACGGTGTCACTAAATCGTTAAACTGATGAGAAACAAATGAGCACAATTGAGAAAATGCCCCTCAATTAAGTGAGAGTAGAGTAGTGGAAACTTACTTCACTGTGTGTAGATATGTCAAACGTAAAAAATTACGTCGTGGGCCACGCAACGGTTAACCTGCCTTATAAGGAAGGCAATCGGTTGTAAATTTCTGGCCACGCAACGGTTAACCTGCCTTATAAGGAAGGCAATCGGTTGTGAATTTCTGGCCACGCAACGGTTAACCTGCCTTATAAGGAAGGCAATCGGTTGTGAATTCACAACAATTAGCCTTGGGTACCTTTCCCACCTACCCGACCGTATAGTTTGACACAACCAGCAACGACTTCATGAGTGGGTTAAAGCAGCATGCCAACTTCATCATTAATAACAGTTACATCTCCGTACCCAAGGCAACAGATGCACGCCGAAACAATGCCGGCCGTCACCGGACAGTTGAACGTAGTATCACTTTTTTCTGTGATCACTTAAGAGAAACATCGGTTCCAGCTGTCCCTGCTCTGCCTATAGACTCAACTGAGCCTGCTCCCATCAAAAAACGTCGACTTGCACAACCTTCTATTAAAGTAAACTGTCGTGCTCGATATTGTATTCAATACTTATTCTCAGGCAAAATCAAAGTTGTATATCACTGGCAACATCAGCACCATGTGTAATATCCAATAAACCAAAAGAGACAGAATAAGTCAACGAGACCCGAAAGGAAATTCAAACTGGTTTATTACGATAACAAAAGTTCTCACTATTTATAAGAAATGGCTTATCCTTGGCAACTACCACAGCGTGTGCATTGAACGGATGAATTGATGTTATAAATCAATCATATAGGATTAAGTAATGTATGATGCATGAGTAAAAGGTACATCCGGGTAAATGCCTCAGATAGTAGCTAATGTGAATTACGTGATCCCAATAATGACAACTTCTTCCTGAGCATAGCTGATCGGTGTTTCACCAAGATGTGTATGAATAAAGAAATGTCCGCACAAGTGAGGTTATGAGGGAAATAACAGCAATCATTTATGAAAATATAGCCACACTTTAGCTCCTAATCCTTTCGCTTTCATTTAACATCAGTATTGACATACTACATACATGGTGAGCCTTTGGCAGTCGTTCTTCGGAAACTCACATATGGTTACAAACACTGATTTTCTTTTCGTTGAAAAAAACATCATTTATGTTTGTACTGAATTTAGAGCTTTATTTGTAATTATATATATATATGCATTTCTAATCTAGGTGATGTTTTGACTTGAGTACTTATAAAAAGAGTCGTGTAGTCCTGCAGCTGTTAGTAAGTTCACGTCCTAAGTAATGATAGCCCCCTGTTCTTTTTTGTTTTTTTTTTGCTTGTTTTTTTAAGATCATACAAAAGTACTAGTACAGGCACTTCGCTGCTTGGTTCTGCCTTTCTGTCTTGATGTGTTGTCGATTTTTCAGTAGCCCATATTGCCGTCAGTTTGTCTGTTGTTTTTTTTTTGAGCCACGAACCGTATTTTCGCATTTCCTAGTTGATCATCTTGACTTCGCTCTTTTGCATAGACGGCGTTGTCCTGAGTTGCGACTTGAAAGTTGAACTCCTATGCTTCGAATCTATGTCTTGCACTGATGATTGTTGAGGTTATTTTGGCGATGGAAATAGTCTTAGACCTAAACAGATGAACGTCAAAGAGCTTTTTATGTTAGATAGTGACGATTAGATGAAATTTGAGCACCTGTTGCTGTTTTCTGTTTGTACGTACTGTCAATATTACCAATCCCTTCGCTCGTCCTGTGCAGTTTAACTTGATGGCGTGTTCGTGTTGGCCATGGCTTGACGTTGTTTTTGTGTAAGATGTGGATAATAGAATTGGCTGTTCTGCGTGTTGATTTCTCTTTGTTTTGTTGATGGTTCCTGAATATGCTTGTATAACATATCTGTCAAGACTTGTTTTAACGCTGCTGTTGTGCGTGTGATATGAATAAGCCCATTCGATGATACGACTGATGTCCTCTTTTGTGTGCCTTCTTGGCCTCGTGCTCCATCAAACGTCAGTGACGCCTTTTCGTTTCGCGACACTGGCTTTTGCTTCTTCCATTGCCTTGAGCTTCGCGTTTTGTGTCACGGACTTGGTTTTGCTGATTACTGTATATTTTTCTAAACTAATACTAACACTACTTTTTTTTTTTCGATTTCTTGTTTTTTTTTGGGGGGCCATCAATACATAGAAAATAACTTACTAGCAATCTGTCAGACAAAGAATAGGTGTAAATTTTGGCGGATCTCGATTTGTGGAAAGAGACCTTCACTAATAAAGAAGATAGAGTAAAATCACAGTGAGCACAAGTGTTTACAAAAGTACTGAGCATAAAGTGCGTTGATTTTCCTTACCACGATACTACTATACGTGCTTGTTCTCCTTTTTGATTTGCACTATCATTCACGACTGGAATAGAGACTGCCACCATCTCTCTCTAGTGATGTTTCTTGTTGCTGCCAACGCATGACAAGGAAAGGATGATAACAAGTGTCCTTCCTTGTCTGCATCATGCCCGGCTACACTGGTCGCTGTTTTCACTACTAGATTCATTTGAGCTTGATAAGTATGTATTCCCAGTGGTACTAATTGCATCATATTTCTGTTTCAGCCTCACATCATCGACATTCAAATTACCTGTTAGTCTCCTACTATGATTGTATTGCTGCCGTAAACCAATGAGTATGCTTGGAAGTCCATAGTGTGTAGATCTTGATCACATGTCTTGTCTTGTTCTTCTGTGCATCAAGAGACCTTGATTGTTTCCCTCGTCGTGTAGTGGTTTCGGACGCGCTTTAATGTTCGTTGCTTGCTTGTTGTTGTATATTTGACAGTTGTATATGAATGACGAGCCAGCTTCGTTCGGCCATTGATATTGTGAAAGTGCCGTCGTGTCGTTCCATCATTCACTTGCTGATACTGTCCTTAGAGGCAATGTCTTGTTTGATGCCCTTGGGCGGTTTTTTTTGTTTTTGCTGCCACTGCCTGCTGCTTGTTCATTTGCCACCGTGTTACATAGACCCACCAAAGCAGAAAGGATACTGGCTAATATGAATACTGGCTTGTTCAAAAAGCTCTGAGCATTGCTGTCCGTGATATCCCTGCTGCACATACCGATGTTTTTTATGACTCTTCATCGCCGACTTTTTGTGCCACCTTTGCCGCCTTGTTTACTAAGAGGAGATGTATATAAGTATCATTCCCTGTTTAATTAAGTATTGGCCTGATCAAATAGTCACGTACTGTACACTTACTATTATTATGTATCCACTAAACGGTCGTGTGAAATGTTGTCAGTTTCACCTAAATCTTGCTGATGCTTTTGCCTTTTGCTGTCATTGCTTTTGTGCGATTCATGTCGCTCGCGTTTGTTGTCAATTCTGCCTTTTTATAGCTTGCAACTGTTGATGAAAGCTTTGGTCTTGTTGTCATTTCGAATGTGTCGTCAATGTTGCTTTTTTCTGTCGTTTGAGTTTTGTACTCCTTGCTGCCCTGTAGATTTGTCACCATTTCCGCCCTTGCTGCTGCTTGATTTGTGCTGTCACACAGTGTAAAATCGATTGACCCTGTGTTGCCGCCTAAATTGTTGATGCCATGAGTATTCCCGCCGTATATGTGGTGTAATAACTCTGGTTCGCCAAGATAACGTCATATCATATCGTGCATTGCCTAGCTCTCGTAATTCCTTGTCTCTTTTGCTTCTTGTGTGTGATTGCCGCCACATCGGTAGCCACAGGTTATCTGCCAACAGACAATACTGTTCTTGGTTTGATTGAAGGTTGTTGCTCTCTGTTGTTTTCGTTGTCATAAGCAGGGATAAACAAAAGTTGCCATCTTTGGAGGAAAAAAACATCGTTGACCAGCTTGACAAGCTATCATACGTGCTGTTGCCGACTTCCAACTTCATGTCCTATGCTTCCAATAGCCACCATATTAAAAGATGTCTCCTCGAATGTCGTTTGTTTTGTTGCCACCTTATTGATTTCCGACGGACTGAAATAATTGCCATATTCCACTGTTGTCGATTTTTTTGACCAGCTCAGAATTTCTTACATGCCGATGTCCACAGGTCAGCGACTGCTGTCCAATTCGCGCAAAAGACACGTGTCGTCTTTTTGTCTCGGTCGTTTTGTCCACCCACAATAGTTGATGTCAGAGTTTGTACACGACGACTTGCAGTTAATTCGCCCATGCAAGTTTTGAATGTATGTACCGCCTTTTGATGAGGATCTTGAGTGCAGATACCCGCATCCGTTTGAAAAGTACTTGTCGCCATAGCATCACCAGTAGATAGTAAATCTGCTCCTTCCCTAGTATGTCGATTCGTCGTTTGAATGGATGTTGCTTGTCCTTGGACGCACGCTTGTTCGATGTCGTTGTCGCTGTCGTTGGTGTTGTTGTAATGATCAAGAACGTCAGATCAGAAAAAAACCGTCAAAGAAATTTCGCATGTTGTGTATTTGATAATGTGCTGCCAATAGACTGATCAAGCCAAAGACGGAATTCTGCCAATCCTCGATTCGAAACCAAGCCCCGGAAATCTGTTGCCACCTGTACCGGCATAACCACCATGACTGCTCGTCAGATACGTCCACCAATACCATAGGAGACGGCATGGTCAAGCCAAAGACGGGATTCTGTCTATCCTCGAACCGACACCAAGTAAAAGAGGTTGTTTTTACTCGGCTAGCCTGGAAATCTGACGCCTACCCGTAGCAGCATAGTCACCATGACTTTCCGTCAGATTCATCCACTAAGACCACATGAGATGGCATAATCAAGCCAAAGACGGGATTCTGTCAATCCTCGTTTCGAAACCAAGCCCTGGAAGTCTGACGCCACCTGTAGCAGCATAATCACCATGATTCATCCACCAACACCACACGAGACGATGTGATCAAGCCAAAGACGGGATTCTCACAACACCCCGAAGTTTTTACTCGGCTAGCCTGGAAAGCTGACACTTTCCATCGCGGCGTACCACACACACCGCTGGCCAAACACCCCAGTCCGGACACCCCAGCTTCAGGAATCCCCAAGGCAAAGGTGAAGGAAGGAGTTGGACTTACATGACATGACACTGACTACAACCGGTGGGGGATCCAGGACATGGAAAGGGCGAGGATAACTCCGGTTGAGCGGGTGGCGGGGATTGGAGGAACAACATTGCCCTGGTACAGGTAGGACTTCTGCAGGAACACCATCCACATGAGCTGGAACTGACTGGAATGACAACCCTGGGAAAGGAATAAATTCCTTAAGTTTCTAGTAGCCTTCTTCAAACCACATCCGAGTTGAATGCAGTACGAAGAAGGAAAGAATGAAAGGAAAAAGGCTATATCAGTTAGTAAGCCTCTTCTTATAAAGATGGTTGTAGGTATTAAAGAAAGCACAGTACGTACCGTAATTATACAAGCTCGGCGCCTTGGGTTGTCATTTGCTGTCAAGAATCGCCGCTGTACATGTGACACGATGGTATATTCCTGCTGCCTACACAACCAGAGCGTTGTTCCCCTCCCCACCACCGGCTCTACCATCATCGCTATCCCCATGTGCCCCCCCACATCCCTTCAACCCCCGGTGGCTGTAGCAGTGCCACTGCCACTGCCAACTCAATCCTGCCTTTACCTCGAAGAAACATCCACTGGGATGGCCGGACCGCTCCCCAACGCCTGACGAAGGCGGAAACCGCCAGACACCACCGAACAACAGAGTACGCTCTACTTGAAACGAGATGATAATATTATTCGTTAGTATTCTATGCAGATCAAGCAAATAGGGCTCAACACAAGATCGAATATTTACCCCAGCAGAACGCACGCAAACAGACACCGGAAAACAAGAAGAAAAAAAGCGGAGCAAATGGAGACGACGGCAGTAACGGCGGAAAGTGATGGACAGCACCAGGAAAAAGGGACGAAGACAGCATAAGTGGCATAGGTGGCATAGTGGGCATAGGTGGCATAGTGCGCGGAATTCGTCCTTCGCGGCTTTCTCTTCGTCGTACGTTTGCGCGGCATCGTCCTTCGCGGCTTTGGCGTCGTACTCGTGCGCGGAATTCGTCGTCCTTCGCGGCTTTCTTGTCGTCGTACGTTTGCGCGGCATCGACCTTCGCGGCTTCGGCGTCGTACTTGTGCGCGGAATGCGTCGTCCTTCGCGGCTTTCTCGTCGTCGTACTTTGCGCGGCACCTCCCTCGCGGCTTCGGCGTCGTACTTGTGCGCGGAATTCGTCGTCCTTCGCGGCTTTCTCGTCGTCGTACTTTGCGCGGCATCGCCTCGCGGCTTCGCGTCGTACTTGTGCGCGGAATGCGTCGTCCTTCGCGGCTTTCTCGTCGTCGTACTTTGCGCGGCATCGACCTTCGCGGCTTCGGCGTCGTACTTGTGCGCGGAATGCGTCGTCCTTCGCGGCTTTCTCGTCGTCGTACTTTGCGCGGCACCTCCCTCGCGGCTTCGGCGTCGTACTTGTGCGCGGAATGCGTCGTCCTTCGCGGCTTTCTCGTCGTCGTACTTTGCGCGGCACCTCCCTCGCGGCTTCGTCGTCGTACTTGTGCGCGGAATGCGTCGTCCTTCGCGGCTTTCTCGTCGTCGTACTTTTTTTTGTTCAGGCGCGCTCTGTGGCAGCACCTAGCTCCTGATCATCATCAGATCGAGGAGGAGGCGGGAAGGGACGCGGCGAGGAATCGGGACAGAGGTAGGGTAGGAGCGACATGAGCGAGAATGTAATCGGAGGCAAGGGATGGAAGTGGTTGACGAGCTTCCACAAGACGAACGCAACGAAAAGCACAACTATGCAAGCCAGAAGAGCAGCAAGCTTGGCAACAAAGATCACATCGTAGCGCGCATTCTCGTAACCTGGGACGGTGAAATGATGACCATTGCACTGATAAAGCAGGCCCACAAGGGGTGGTACACTGCGAATCTCACAATAAAGGCAAGGGCAAAATTGACGAGAAGGAAAATGAGGGCAACAACGGTGCGGAAAGCGGCTAAACCGCATTGGTTCTTGCTCGGCATCGTCATGCTGGGGATGGTGAAGGTGGGCATCGTCATGCTGGGGATGGTGATGGTGGGCATCGTCATGCTTGAAAGATTGACTTACTGCTTGTCTTGCGCGACTTGCTCTTGCGCGACTTGCTCTTGTGAGACTTGCTCTTGTGAGACTTGGAGGACTTGGTAGATTCGCTCATGTGGGACATGGTAACTTGAAAACGCGGGTGAAGAAGAAAAAAAAAAGGAAAAACGACTCTTTTTATGACCATGAGAGCAAAAACAATTGAAATCCCGCTGAACGCGTGACGTAACAACTTTTTTTTTGCTCGTTTTGAGCGTAGAAAAGATACTCGTTCGGGAAAAAAAGTGAACAAGTAGAAGGGGCAATGAAGGACGAGTGCTATTGTTGTCATCGTTATATGGCGCCGGCTTTATGCGTGGAATGTACAACGGGTCTCCGCTTAGATCTTCCAGGCACCGTGTCAAGGTTTCTTGGCCAGTGCGTCAGCGAGAAGGGAACTTGTGATTACATATAGAAAACACCCGCAAATGTTGTTAGCCACAAGTCAGGGTAGTTAAGATATGCACAGGCATCTGTTAGCAGCAACGATCGAATTATTACCACTGGACTTTTGAGATCTTGTGAAATCGTCCGCTTCCACTTTTGAGTTATTCAAATTATCTTATAGGCCTGACGTATTTATATAAAACGTTCGAAGTCTATAAGGTATGCCAGTAGTTTTCACTGTTTTTAAAGAGAAATGCTTCCTTTGGTTCACGAATGTAGAGGAAACAAGGAGCTGAAGGCGAAGAGGAAAGGGTGGGCATATTGGAACGTATAATGTAACGGCTACATATGTAATACTTGCTATCCAGATGTCTTGTCGTGAGATTGTATAAGAGTCATGCAACGAATTCCTTTCCTCCCGATCGAAATTAGCACATGGTAGAGACAAAGCGCAATAAATTGGTAGTCAGAAGCTTCTTATACCATGATATGTCGATATATAATCCGGGAAGTCCTGTCGCTAAGGCATCCTACTTAATAGACTGATACTACTGTCATTTTGATCCGGAAATTCAACGGCGGAATTCTATATGAAGAATAACGCTGTGGAAGAGAGCTATTAAGTATGGATCAGTGCCTATATGTGAAATAATAACACAAACGCTGGAAGACATGCGTGACGACATTTTGGAAATGTGTAGATGATGCATGTACGTTTAAGCTACGCAGCTTTGGTGTGAGTGTTGCAAAATAACTGAGATTTCTTAGCGTGCTTCAACATTTATTCATCCAAAGTACACCACAGGCTGCTACTCCGTGCCCTTCAGAGCGTTGTGCATATTTTTTTAGTAATCTACCAGCCTAAAGTCATCTTTTGGTGCAGTCCTCAAGACACTTTCATGATTAGACGTAGTATGCTGTCCACGTAATATGTACAGCAGCACGTTTATCATGCTGCTACAGTAACCATTGCAAGAAGTCTGTATTCTATTATACGGTACTCTTGCGATGTAATTATATACTCCCATTCTCATTTTCTGAGCGAGTGGTAGATATGGTAGGAATCATTCTCTTGCTTTGTTACATAGAAAGCATGGTAGTATTGATTGCGTGAGAAACATATTGATCATCATCGTTCTGAGATATGTCGTTTCACTGGATTCTTAGGGAAAATCATAACCATACAAATCGCCCTCTTACAGTGATATCATAGCTCCATTTCTAATGTCACCTCTTATGAAGGCTACTCTGACTACTACTTCACATCCAAACATCTTTGTACAAAGTGTAGTTTTATGGCTCATTATGTATAACGATGTAGCCCAGGATAACTGCTTTGCAATTTATGATGTCAATGTATTGTGAGATATACAGAAGAAGAGTTGCGTTGCAGGTACCTTACTTGAAAATATAGCCACACTTTAGCTCCTATGTAATCCTTTCGCTTTCATTTAACATCAGTATTGACATACTACATACATGGTGAGCCTTTGGCAGTCGTTCTTCGGAAACTCACATATGGTTACAAACACTGATTTTCTTTTCGTTGAAAAAAACATCATTTATGTTTGTACTGAATTTAGAGCTTTATTTGTAATTATATATATGCATTTCTAATCTAGGTGATGTTTTGACTTGAGTACTTATAAAAAGAGTCGTGTAGTCTGCAGCTGTTAGTAAGTTCACGTCCTAAGTAATGATAGCCCCCTGTTCTTTTTTGTTTTTTTTTTGCTTGTTTTTTTAAGATCTATACAAAAGTACTAGTACAGGCACTTCGCTGCTTGGTTCTGCCTTTCTGTCTTGATGTGTTGTCGATTTTTCAGTAGCCCATATTGCCGTCAGTTTGTCTGTTGTTTTTTTTTGAGCCACGAACCGTATTTTCGCATTTCCTAGTTGATCATCTTGACTTCGCTCTTTTGCATAGACGGCGTTGTCCTGAGTTGCGACTTGAAAGTTGAACTCCTATGCTTCGAATCTATGTCTTGCACTGATGATTGTTGAGGTTATTTTGGCGATGGAAATAGTCTTAGACCTAAACAGATGAACGTCAAAGAGCTTTTTATGTTAGATAGTGACGATTAGATGAAATTTGAGCACCTGTTGCTGTTTTCTGTTTGTACGTACTGTCAATATTACCAATCCCTTCGCTCGTCCTGTGCAGTTTAACTTGATGGCGTGTTCGTGTTGGCCATGGCTTGACGTTGCTTTTGTGTATGATGTGGATAATAGAATTGGCTGTTCTGCGTGTTGATTTCTCTTTGTTTTGTTGCTGGTTCCTGAATATGCTTGTATAACATATCTGTCAAGACTTGTTTTAACGCTGCTGTTGTGCGTGTGATATGAATAAGCCCATTCGATGATACGACTGATGTCTCTTTTGTGTGCCTTCTTGGCCTCGTGCTCCATCAAAAGTCTGTGACGCCTTTTCGTTTCTTGACATCGGCTTGAGCTTCGCGTTTTGTGTCACGGACTTGGTTTTGCTGATTACTGTATATTTTTTTAAACTATACTAACACTACTTTTTTTTTCTGTTCTCTTTTTTTTTTTTTTTCGATTTCTTGCTTTTTTTGGGGGGCCATCATTACATAGAAAATAACTTACTAGCAATCTGTCAGACAAAGAATAGATGTAAATTTTGGCGGATCTTGATTTGTGGAAAGAGACCTTCACTAATAAAGAAGATAGAGTAAAATCACAGTGAGCACAAGTGTTTACAAAAGTAATGAGCATAAAGTGCGTTGGGTTTCCTTACCACGATACTACTATACGTGATTGTTCTCCTTTTTGATTTGCACTATTATTCACAACTGGAATAGAGACTGCCACCATCTCTCTCTAGTGATGTTTCTTGTTGCTGCCAACGCATGACAAGGAAAGGATGATAACAAGTGTCCTTCCTTGTCTGCATCATGCCCGGCTACATTGGTCGCTGTTTTCACTATTAGATTCATTTGAGCTTGATAAGTATGTATTCCCAGTGGTACTAATTGCATCATATTTCTGTTTCAGCCTCACATCATCGACATTCAAATTACCTGTTAGTCTCCTACTAATGATTGTATTGCTGCCGTAAACCAATGAGTATGCTTGGAAGTCCATAGTGTGTAGATCTTGATCACATGTCTTGTCTTGTTCTTCTGTGCATCAAGAGACCTTGATTGTTTCCCTCGTCGTGTAGTGGTTTTCGGACGCGCTTTAATGTTCGTTGCTTGCTTGTTGTTGTATATTTGACAGTTGTATATGAATGACGTGCCAGCTTCGTTCGGCCATTGATATTGTGAAAGTGCCGTCGTGTCGTTCCATCAATCACTTGCTGATACTGTCCTTAGAGGCAATGTCTTGTTTGATGCCCTTGGGCGTTTTTTTTTGTTTTTGCTGCCACTGCCTGCTGCTTGTTCATTTGCCACCGTGTTACATAGACCCACCAAAGCAGAAAGGATACTGGCTAATATGAATACTGGCTTGTTCAAAAAGCTCTGAGCATTGCTGTCCGTGATATCCCTGCTGCACATACCGATGTTTTTTATGAATCTTCATCGCCGACTTTTTGTGCCACCTTTGCCGCCTTGTTTACTAAGAGGAGATGTATATAAGTATCATTCCCTGTTTAATTAAGTATTGGCCTGATCAAATAGTCACGTACTGTACACTTACTATTATTTTGTATCCACTAAACGGTCGTGTGAAATGTTGTCAGTTTCACCCAAATCTTGCTGATGCTTTTGCCTTTTGCTGTCATTGCTTTTGTGCGATTCATGTCGCTCGCGTTTGTTGTCAATTCTGCCTTTTTATAGCTTGCAACTGTTGATGAAAGCTTTGGTCTTGTTGTCATTTCGAATGTGTCGTCAATATTGCTTTTTTCTGTCGTTTGAGTTTTGTACTCCTTGCTGCCCTGTAGATTTGTCACCATTTCCGCCCTTGCTGCTGCTTGATTTGTGCTGTCACACAGTGTAAGATCGATTGACCCTGTGTTGCCGCCTAAATTGTTGATGCCATGAGTATTCCCGCCGTATATGTGGTGTAATAACTCTGGTTCGCCAAGATAACGTCATATCATATCGTGCATTGCCTAGCTCTCGTAATTCCTTGTCGCTTTTGCTTCTTGTGTGTGATTGCCGCCACATCGGTAGCCACAGGTTATCTGCCAACAGACAGTATTGTTCTTGGTTTGATTGAAGGTTGTTGCTCTCTGTTGTTTTCGTTGTCATAAGCAGGGATAAATAAAAGTTGCCATCTTTGGAGAAAAAACATCGTTGACCAGCTTGACAAGCTATCATGCATGCTGTTGCCGATTCCAATTCATGTCCTATGCTTCCAATAGCCACCATATTAAAAGATGTCTCCTCGAATGTCGTTTGTTTTGTTGCCACCTTATTGATTTCCGACGGACTGAAATAATTGCCATATTCCACTGTTGTCGATTTTTTTGACCAGCTCAGAATTTCTTACATGCCGATGTCCACAGGTCAGCGACTGCTGTCCAATTCGCGCAAAAGACACGTGTCGTCTTTTTGTCTCGGTCGTTTTGTCCACCCACAATAGTTGATGTCAGAGTTTGTACACGATGACTTGCAGTTAATTCGCCCATGCAAGTTTTGAATGTATGTACCGCCTTTTGATGAGGATCTTGAGTGCAGATACCCGCATCCGTTTGAAAAGTACTTGTCGCCATAGCATCACCAGTAGATAGTAAATCTGCTCCTTCCCTAATATGTCGATTCGTCGTTTGAATGATGTTGCTTGTCCTTGGACGCACGCTTGTTCGATGTCGTTGTCGCTGTCGTTGGTGTTGTTGTAATGATCAAGAACGTCAGATCAGAAAAAAACCGTCAAAGAAATTTCGCATGTTGTGTATTTGATAATGTGCTGCCAATAGACTGATCAAGCCAAAGACGGAATTCTGCCAATCCTCGATTCGAAACAAGCCCTGGAACCCTGTTGCCACCTGTACAGCATAACCACCATGACTGCTCGTCAGATTCATCCACCAATACCATAGGAGACGGCATGGTCAAGCCAAAGACGGGATTCTGTCTATCCTCGAACCGACACCAAGTAAAAGAGGTTGTTTTTACTCGGCTAGCCTGGAAATCTGACGCCACCCGTAGCAGCATAGTCACCATGACTTTCCGTCAGATTCATCCACTAAGACCACATGAGATGGCATAATCAAGCCAAAGACGGGATTCTGTCAATCCTCGTTTCGAAACCAAGCCCTGGAAGTCTGACGCCACCTGTAGCAGCATAATCACCATGATTCATCCACCAACACCACACGAGACGATGTGATCAAGCCAAAGACGGGATTCTCACAACACCCCGAAGTTTTTACTCGGCTAGCCTGGAAAGCTGACACTTTCCATCGCGGCGTACCACACACACCGCTGGCCAAACACCCCAGTCCGGACACCCCAGCTTCAGGAATCCCCAAGGCAAAGGTGAAGGAAGGAGTTGGACTTACATGACATGACACTGACTACAACCGGTGGGGGATCCAGGACATGGAAAGGGCGAGGATAACTCCGGTTGAGCGGGTGGCGGGGATTGGAGGAACAACATTGCCCTGGTACAGGTAGGACTTCTGCAGGAACACCATCCACATGAGCTGGAACTGACTGGAATGACAACCCTGGGAAAGGAATAAATTCCTTAAGTTTCTAGTAGCCTTCTTCAAACCACATCCGAGTTGAATGCAGTATGAAGAAGGTAACAAGGAAAGGAAAAAGGATATATCAGTTAGTAAGCCTCTTCTTATAAAGATGGTTGTAGGTATTAAAGAAAGCATAGTACGTACCGTAATTATACAAGCTCGGCGCCTTGGGTTGTCATTTGCTGTCAAGAATCGCCGCTGTACATGTGACACGATGGTATATTCCTGCTGCCTACACAACCAGAGCGTTGTTCCCCTCCCCACCACCGGCTCTACCATCATCGCTATCCCCATGTGCCCCCCCACATCCCTTCAACCCCCGGTGGCTGTAGCAGTGCCACTGCCACTGCCAACTCAATCCTGCCTTTACCTCGAAGAAACATCCACTGGGATGGCCGGACCGCTCCCCAACGCCTGACGAAGGCGGAAACCGCCAGACACCACCGAACAACAGAGTACGCTCTACTTGAAACGAGATGATAATATTATTGGTTAGTATTCTATGCAGATCAAGCAAATAGGGCTCAACACAAGATCGAATATTTACCCCAGCAGAACGCACGCAAACAGACACCGGAAAACAAGAAGAAAAAAAGCGGAGCAAATGGAGACGACGGCAGTAACGGCGGAAAGTGATGGACAGCACCAGGAAAAAGGGACGAAGACAGCATAAGTGGCATAGGTGGCATACGTGGGCATAGGTGGCATAGTGCGCGGAATTCGTCCTTCGCGGCTTTCTCTTCGTCGTACGTTTGCGCGGCATCGTCCTTCGCGGCTTTGGCGTCGTACTCGTGCGCGGAATTCGTCGTCCTTCGCGGCTTTCTTGTCGTCGTACGTTTGCGCGGCATCGACCTTCGCGGCTTCGGCGTCGTACTTGTGCGCGGAATGCGTCGTCCTTCGTGGCTTTCTCGTCGTCGTACTTTGCGCGGCACCTCCCTCGCGGCTTCGGCGTCGTACTTGTGCGCGGAATGCGTCGTCCTTCGCGGCTTTCTCGTCGTCGTACTTTGCGCGGCACCTCCCTCGCGGCTTCGGCGTCGTACTTGTGCGCGGAATGCGTCGTCCTTCGCGGCTTTCTCGTCGTCGTACTTTGCGCGGCATCGACCTTCGCGGCTTTGGCGTCGTACTTGTGCGCGGAATGCATCGTCCTTCGCGGCTTTCTCGTCGTCGTACTTTGCGCGGCACCTCCCTCGCGGCTTCGTCGTCGTACTTGTGCGCGGAATGCGTCGTCCTTCGCGGCTTTCTCGTCGTCGTACTTTGCGCGGCACCTCCCTCGCGGCTTCGTCGTCGTACTTGTGCGCGGAATGCGTCGTCCTTCGCGGCTTTCTCGTCGTCGTACTTTGCGCGGCACCTCCCTCGCGGCTTCGTCGTCGTACTTGTGCGCGGAATGCGTCGTCCTTCGCGGCTTTCTCGTCGTCGTACTTTGCGCGGCACCTCCCTCGCGGCTTCGTCGTCGTACTTGTGCGCGGAATGCGTCGTCCTTCGCGGCTTTCTCGTCGTCGTACTTTTTTTTTGTTCACGCGCGCTCTGTGGCAGCACCTAGCTCCTGATCATCATCAGATCGAGGAGGCGGCGGGAAGGGACGCGGCGAGGAATCGGGACAGAGGTAGGGGAGGAGCGACATGAGCGAGAACGTAATCGGAGGCAAGGGATGGAAGTGGTTGACGAGCTTCCACAAGCCGAACGCAACGAAAAGCACAACTATGCATGCCAGAAGAGCAGCAAGCTTGGCAACAAAGATCACATCGTAGCGCGCATTCTCGTAACCCGGGACGGTGAAGATGACTACCATTGCACTGATAAAGCAGGCCCACAAGGGGTGGTACACTGCGAATCTCACAATAAAGGCAAGGGCAAAATTGACGAGAAGGAAAATGAGGGCAACAACGGTGCGGAAAGCGGCTAAACCGCATTGGTCCTTGCTGGGCATCGTCATGCTGGGGAGGGTAAAAGTGGGCATCGTCATGCTGGGCATCGTCATGCTTGGGAAGGTCAAGTTGGGCATCGTCATGCTGGGTAAGTTCGACTTACTGCTGGTCTTGTGCGACTTGCTTTTGCGCGACTTGCTCTTGCGCGACTTGGAGGACTTGGTTGATTTGTTCAAGTGGGACATGGTAACTTAAAGACGCGGGTGAAGAAGAAAAAAAAAAGGAAAAACGACTCTTTTTATGACCATGAGAGCAAAAACAATTGAAATCCCGCTGAACGCGTGACGTAACAACTTTTTTTTTGCTCGTTTTGAGCGTAGAAAAGATACTCGTTAGGGAAAAAAAGTGAACAAGTAGAAGGGGCAATGAAGGACGAGTGCTATTGTTGTCATCGTTATATGGCGCTGCTGTGGCGCTGCATGATCTCTCTTTGTGTGTGGAATGTTTCACATACGGGTCTCCGCTTGATCTTCCAGGCACCGTGTCAAAAAAAATGACTAAATAAAATTCAATAGTTGCGACGGTAACAGTAATAAAACGTGATGTAAAGTTGATAATGCGCTCGTCGTGATGGTTAAAATTTGCACATGCACTGACTGTTGATCGCTGATCGGTGCATTCTAGTGGATTGTCAAGATCCTGCGGAAAGCACCACTACTGCTGTGAATATTCCGAAATAATGCTGGAAGTTGACAGAAAGCAGCTTATTGTGTAATGTGTGTGTGACCTTGACGCAACCTCAATTTCAGAGGCTACCGCATCAACTTGCCACAATTAACAGCACTCCTGTCATTAAACGGTCTCTACGACAAATACTATTGCTAGCTTCTTTGTTACGGCTTGTAGTAGTCTGGAAACGTCGGATAAGCTGAAATTTGACGCTGCATCTGGCATCAGAATATCATGAAGAAGGTCCTCACATACTGTATTGCGACGCTGTACACCCTCGTCTTCTCTCTATTCTTACATTCACTATGTAACCCGCATGATTGCCTACTTTGTTTTTTGCTTCCCTCCCTCCGTCCTTCCTCCTTTTCTGTTTCGACTTTTTCATGGGGTCTATCGTGTCGTGCGTTGGACGCATGCTCTAAAGATCCCACATTATACTGTATCGCCCCTCGCTTGACTTACCTGTATCTTTCCCCTTTGATAGTATCGCTTCTTATACTTCTTCTACTCTGCCACCGATTCTGGGTCGCTTGGCCAAACACAAAGTAACAGTGGCGGATGCATTTCACATCAGCACTCCTACCCGAATTCTCACTCGCAAACCTAATCATCTTTTCCCCAACCGTGACATTATTATTCAGTGTTCATTGGATCGCACCTCCTTTCATACTATTCCTTTTTTACTCGATTATGTCAACTTCTCCAGTCCGTAGATCCCTCTTCCTTTTCATCCATAGCTTTTGTTTTCCTTCCCCTCTTCACTCACTTTCTTCTCGCGTTTTTCGCAAAGTAGTAACTCCATCCAACCTCCATAATTCCAATATTGTACTTCTTTCTTAGAGCCTTTCGAGTCGCGACACTGGAAACGGTTTGGGTTGGAACCCATATCTCACATCGTCGGCAATGTTTGGTATCGTGCTCTTTCATCAAAAAATTTCATGCCGAGCCACATTACACAATCTAGTTTCCGAGTCCTCTCCCTCCCCCAATTGTATATTCTGCCCTACCACTCCCGACACTACTCATTTCCTATATGCCTGTCCTAGCAAGTGGGCCATCTGGTCCACTATATGGTCTGATCTTTTCCTTTTTTCGCCTACATCTTCACCAAGTTCACCATGCTATTTTCTCTCTCGTCTTCCTATTTAAACCTTCCTCCGTGAGCAGCCATGTCATTATTGCATGCATTTTACACGGCTTATGGTCTGCTCACTGGCGCTATGTATTTGACCAAGTACCTTTCATCCATGACACCATTTGCTGTGATATCCACTTTCTCGTCACCAGTAATCGTCCTTTACTATCCTATGAACCCCTTAAGCCACTCATCAACTATGATGTATCGCTTTTCAACACTTACTATCCTTCCTGCCTCTCTCTTTCACCTACACATACAAACTCACTCACTCCAAAAAAAAGGAAGATCGAACAGTATCTCCAGTGACTCCAGTACCAATACCTTTCAATAGTTCCAACCACCCGCCTCCGTCGCTCTCCCGGGTCTCTTGTTTCCTATCCGCGCTTACACCTTATTCTTCTTGTCTCTATCTCTTTCATTCCCCGATATGTATAATATATTCACTGTCTTCCGCTGAAGCACATTAAATTACAGTATGTAATAGCTTTGTTGTACGTACTTCATACACTCTACGTACTTGACATGTATACAACAGTTGTTTCATGTTTATTAAGTTTCTTTTTATGTACTGTATTGCTTTTTTCCTTTAATTTATTCTTTAAAATATGATGGAAGTGGGAGTCAACAGTTGGATAATTGTCATAGTTATGTCGACAGCAGCATAGTTATACTTTCCACAATAACAGAAAATAACACAGCGCGAGTATCTGTAGCTAAGATGAGTGTAGACTGCTTCATATACATGAGCTTTTGAGAAAGGATAATAAAGTATCGTCCTGCTGAGGTTACTTACATAGTCAAGCAGCTATGTCGACAGAAGCATAGTTATACTTTCCACAAGAACAGAAAATAATACAGCGCGAGTCTCTGTAGCTGAAAAGGAGGTAGACTGCTTCATATGCATGAGATTTTGAGAATAGAGATTAGACATTGTCCTGCTGAGGTCGCTTTACTTATTCTTATAACTTTATTTGTATAAATCATATAATTGATGCACGATAGTGTACCGGGACCGTAGATGTAGATAATACGGTGGAAAGGTACATTAGCCGTGGATATTAATTTACATTTGTACAAACCATAACACCATGCTTTGATAAGCGAACATGCGTTTTGCTTGCGTATTTGCACTAGAATTACAAGTTATGTCTCGTCAATAATCCTATCTGCCCCACTTAATTTATCGAGATCCTTTATCATTCAGACTGTACCTTTTATCCCTGCTGCCCAGCCTGGGTTATTTTAGTCCGACAAGCCTTTCATGATCTTACGCGAGCAAATATGCCCCTTAGGACGCAGTATTCATACCGACGCACTGTAGTGCGAGCTAATTATTTGAAAATGGATTTTAGTATGCAGTACAGTTTTAATCGCCACAGCATTATCTCTTAAAACAATGAAGTTCAAGTATATAGCATTATGCCTAATTGCCAAATTGCCAAATTGCCAAATTTCGATACAACTGTAGTAAATATCACTCATAGCATTGTGTTGTATAAATCTACTAGTGAGCCACATGATGATTACGAACAGATCATCTGTGTGGTGCAATGTCTATATTAGAAGTTAATAATCGTTATAAATGTTTTCCAAAACTGGATATACATCTAGTGTAGAAAACATAGGAGTTCTACTTCATCCTAATAAGGACAATATCAATAACCATTGGAATATGCTTACAAGCCGTGGGTATTAATATTGAAAGACATGGGCGATATTATGTGAAGCAGATGTTGGTACGAATCAATCCAGCCTTGACATGCTTGTTTTGGTTGAAATTTATTCTCACACTGGCCTTTGAGAGTAATCGGTGGGAACATGAAAGAATATATGACACATCAAGTTGGGGCGGTGGGGGTGGGAGAGGACGAGGAGGATGTGATGAAGAGATATTGCTGGATTATTCAATCCTTGTGCTGTGCTGTTTTTCGTGAATAACCCTTTGTTGGTAGCGTCGACAAAAACAATACAGTACTGTATACTGCTACGGATGCGAAAAACGAGAAAGAAAAAACAACAACTATGATACAATATGGAGACACGCGGTGAGATAAGTCAAAAGCAAGAGTAAAATATACAGCGGTGGCGTGTGCTTTGGGCGTCGGTTTGTCGGGTAACCTAAACTGTGTCTCGATAGGAAAAATCATCAAATAGGCACACACACGCACACAACACCTGTCTAGTAGAAATATACGCTCCCTTAATAGTAAAATCGTATTAGGTGAAATTTTGAACAGCGTGGGATATCTGTAAAAGTATCCCTGGAAAGAGAAATTGGGCCGTGGGCGTAATTTAAGGTAAATGGTTCCACACAGAGTAACCGATATGGCTTGTCAACCGATAATCGTTGGCTTTGCAACAGCCTTTTCCTTTAGTATATGCTATATTATGATTATGTACACTACCGTAGCAAGCCCCGATGTGCGGTGGATGGTACGCCGACGGAAAACGAGATATCTTCTCGCGTATATCTCATTGGATAGATATAGCTCAAAGATTCCATCAGCTCCACTCTCGGGGGTAAAATACCCAAATATGCCTGTCGTACATACCAAAACTTAAAAGAGAAAAAAAACAGTGAGAGACTCGGGTCTATTGTTGTTTTTCTTCAATGCAAAGAAAGTAAAGAAACATCACGATATGAACCCTTTTACTGCATTTGCTTTTTATTCTTATAAATACATATATAAATGGAATAAACTAGCAACTATCAAGCTATATGGCTTGAGAAAAGCTTTACACATTCCCACCAACGACATTCGTAGTCCTTTTTTCCCCTTTTGCGTAAAAATTATATGAATACAGCCTGCGTGGGTAAAATGCTGATGTGAATAAAATCTGTTTTAAGAAAAATTGCGGGGAGATCTCAAGTTGCACATGAGTCCCCAATAATGCAGCAAAAAGAGATGTCAGTCCGTCCATTTTTTGCAATCCATGGTGTCACACGTAAACTGTCCGTTTGCCAGTTCATTAGTAGTAGCAGTACTTTATGTAAAAAAAACCTTTGTATAAAAGGACCACCGGGGCTCAGAATCCGCAAAAAGGTTATCTATCTCTTCCCAATACCGTTACTGCAAAGTACCACTACTACCCTCTTATATACTATATATAAAACACCCCAAATCCATTTTATTTGTAGATATACTCACAATACATACTACTCTCACGAAAATGTCATCTGTTGATCAGAAACCCGAAGTCGAATTGCGCGAAGCCGTCGTTGTAGACCTTGAATCCGGCGAAAAAAGCTCTAGTGCTGGAAGCAAGCAACAACAGGCTCCCCAGCACCATGGACCACCTCCTGGACAAGCTAACCCCCTCGCTATTGGCTTCGCGGCTTTTAGGTAAGCACTAATAAGCTAATCGCCTTTGATTCCTTATCCTAGTATCTCATTTGTTATGTTATTGCTTTATATGCATTTTCAAACCGTGACCGTATGATAGTCTGTGTAGGTGAGTAAATCAAGACCACACTTTTTCTTCTAATATGTCGCTGATGTACGTGATAGCTCTATAGTACTAACCATAAAACATACAAAAACAGCTTTGTCTTTGGTCTCTATAACTCGGGTCTTATCACAGATATTCCTCAAGTCGCTACAGGCGTAGCTGTCGGATTCGGTGGCCTCGGCCAGCTCTATGCCAGTATCGCATGCTTTCTCCAAGGTGAAACCTATTCCGCTACTACCTTCTTGACATATTCCGGCTTCTTCTTTGCCTTTGGCATCATGTTCAGCGTGCCTTCTGGATTCGTTGAAGCAGCTACTGCTGAAGGCTCGATTGATCCACTCAACAAATGTATGGGTCTGGTCCAGCTTGCTTTTGCCATCTGCTCCTTCTTTTACTTTCTCGGTACTTTGCGTCAGCCCAAGCTCATCCAGCTTATTTTGCTTCTGGTGTTCTTTACTTTCTTGTTCGGCGCGATCGGTGCTCTCACTGGCATCCATGCTATTACTGTTGCCTCTGGATGGTTTTCCTTTGCATTGGCAGCTGTTGCATGGGTAAGTTTAATCATGATTGTGATTGGAAGAGCAAAGGAGAAATTGGATAATTCGAGAGCGTGTGCAGCGACTACTTATCTGTGACACTACAAGTATACTAACATCATGTACTCTTTTTATATATTTTAGTATGTTATGTGCTTCTTCATTTATACTCCAGAGAACACTTTCATCCGTTTGCCATTCTTTTAGATCATTTTCTCGTTGTGTACATGTTATTTCCCTTCCTTAATATCTTTTCACCTGCTGACAAAACTCTGATATATATGATCTTTCTGTAAAAAATGAATCAAGTACTATATCTACTATTAGCACCGATACTATTTTATATTATAATAAAAATGTTACGACTTTTACTTGAGCTAAATAGCCCAGCTTTCCATAACTAGAGATAAGACCGGTCATAGTAAGTATGATCGAATCTCGTCTCGTATGCCTGCTAAAACCATTCATTCACAGTGCGATAGCGACTGGTAACCTTTTCTCGTGTACAGTATAGATAGCAAAAGAGATTTGATTTTATATCTGATTTTTTTATCATAGTTAGAATATGTTTCAGTAAAGTAACGTTGGAGCTGCAATAAATGGAATCACCGGTTGTGCCCGTATGACAAATAAGATTTCAAAAATAATAATAGAGAATGTGCTGTTGAATCAATATCGTAAGCTCGATTTGAACGCTCTTTGCAGCTACCTCTTCATATATGCTTTAAGTATTTGCTGTATCATACATGGTAAATTGAAAACATGAGCAGCGGCATATTGAGTAACATTAACATATGCTGGCAGCGCGAAAAATTATATCAGCGTGTTGTCATATATGCATCATATGCGCTAACGCAGTGGAACGTAGACGGCAGTTACTGGGACACTTTCAGTGGGCTGTCGGCTAATAATGTATGTTCTCTCCTTGGTATTTTTAAATCAAGTCTCCATTACTCATATTATTTACATACTACTACTGTCAGGATGTCGTTGCTTAAAACAACACGACAGCTTTGGAGACGCGCTGCAACGCGTCGGCCTTTTCGTTCTTTTGCAAAACCCCACTTTTACACAATGTATCAAGACAACGACAGCGATGACGAACAAATGCGACAAGCAATTACAATGTCCCTTCAGCAGCGTATGTATACTACTCTATTTCTTGCCAATACAATGTGGAAGGCTCACGTTTACTACCGTGCTTTTTTAAACCTTATAGATCAAGTCGAACAGCAACATTGCCCAGATGCCAACAGTGACAACACTAATGATAATATTCTGACACAGCGTCTGGACGATGAGGAACGAGAAAGTGAAGACATTCGAAAAGCCATTGCACTTTCGCTAGGCAAACCGGTTGAAAAGCTTACTGCACGAGAAGCCTTACTGGGGTTAACACCGGGCACCAAGCGACCACTCTTAAGCAACAATACTACAGCTACACCTCAAAGTCCCGCAAAAAAGTCTACACCTGCCGGTCCTCCACGTTACTGGGATGGCACTGTCAAACTCACACACGTTACTGGCTTTACTGGCCCTAACTTTATCCGCTTTGAAGAAATCGTCCAAAGGGTAATACAAATAATATAGATAGTGTCATGCCATTGTAAACTATTGAACCTTCCGTCGCACTAACAACATATTGTTTATAGAATGTTTTAAAGAAGGCTGTGCTTACCGCTATGGTTGTCAGCACTGATTGGATTGAGGCACAATTTCCTTCAGATATAAACTTGTGTATTATACTCCATGGACGACCGGTAAATAGTATATATGAAGTGGAACCCTATCTTATATCAGCTCGTAACTAATTTGAAATCAAACGAGATACTAACTTTTTCTGTTCAACATCATTTAACAGGCAATGACTCGGCAGTTGGGACCCAACCGTGTCTTTATTATGCCGCCAATGAAGGATGAAAGGTTTGGTGTTTTTCATCCAAAATTAATGCTATTGGTTCACGAATCATCTTTGCGTGTCGTAATTGGATCCGCTAATTTGGTAATAAACGTCTTCAAAGCTTGACTCTGAGTGTTTCTTAAAGGCTGACACTATTACGGAATAGGAACGGTACGATTACAACGACCTAGAAAACGTTGTATTCATCCAAGATTTCCCGCTCCTCACAAAACATGTCGACTCAGCTGATCGACTTCCTGAGTTCGCACGAGAAATATACGATTTGCTTTGTCACATGCATGTACCATCCTCAGTAAAAACGGAGCTGTTCAAGTACGACTTTTCTCGAGCTAAAGCGCGTGTCGTGGCGTCCGTCTCTGGTGTCTTTGAAGGGGATGATCAGTATAAGCGATATGGCCATGCTCGTCTCGCTCAAGTAATTAAAGATATAGGTGCTGCTGATCCAAGTCGTCCGCCACAAGTAGAAATGCAGGTACTGCAAAACTATATTCAACACAATGACCATTTAAAGGATTGATAAGAAACTGAGATAAGGAAACGTGAATGGTGAGATCTAGACTTCTTCATTAGGTGGTCTCAACATAAGCTATCTGCACGAGCTGCATCGAACCTTTTCAGGGATGGATCCTTATGCAAATGGTGGCAAGACACCACGCCAATCGAAAACAAACGAGCTTCCCCCAATAGACATTGTATACCCGTCAAGAGATACTGTAGAAGACAGCGTGCTTGGTCCACCTGTACGTTAAGTTGCGGAGCGGTTAATGACCATACAGCAATTAGAAAATGGATGACAGTCTATAATGATTTACGGTTCTTTGTAGGGTGCGGGCACTATTTGCTTAAATACTAGCTCGTGGAGAAAATCTACTTTTCCAAAGCAAGTCATGTGCGATGCTATTAGCCACCGAGAGGGCACCTTAATGCATTCAAAAGTATGTATGATGTTATATATAAAGTACCTAATATCTGATTATCAATGTTGGTGAGTAACAACATAAACAACTTTTGCAGTTTATTGTGGCGACTTTGAAATCAAAACATACATCCCCCTCCTCTTCGAAGAGTAAAGCCGCCGCATCATCATCAACGTCATCAAGCAAAGAATTAAAAGGATGGGTTTATTGCGGGTAAGTTAATACAATGGAAGTGATCTTGCAATACAAAAGCTAAAAGTTGGGAAACATGATTAGGAGTCACAATGCCACTATGGGGGCTTGGGGTAAACTATCTCTTTCAAAGAATAGCAAAAAACCCAAGATGGCTATCAAGTGAGTGGATGCGGCTACATTGGCATATTAAATGGATAACTTGCATCTTTAAATAACATCTAATAACCACTGCTATGCTCTCGTAGCAATTGGGAGCTGGGCGTCGTTCTTCCACTATACGAGGATTCAAATATTCCAGTGACGTATGTACGGCCTCCTCCTCGATATAAGCCATCCCAAAACGCATGGACTCAGGATGCAGAGTGGTCATAATTCATGTTTTTATAATGCAATAATACAAGCAGTACATAAATCTTTCAATTCTACCACATTCCATAGATAGCAATAGTTTTTTATATTATGCTTTACTATGATTTTACAGATAGGAATGGGAAAAACAGTTTGATATTAAGGAACGTATACATTTATATGTAGACGAAATTTCTCACAGGATTGTGAGCATTTTTGTATAAAGACGACGCTTGATGATGATCAACAGAAGAGCAGATACGATACATGTGCAGCCACACAAGAACTTGTATGTTAAAAACGGCTCGCTAGAACTAAGTGATTCAATTACACTAGCAATTGTAATCGTGGATGTCCCGAAACCGTTAATAACGGAGAGAACACTTAAAGTAAAAGAAATATTCTCAGAACCGACAAGAAGGATGGTAACAGAAGCACCTATAACACCGAAGCCCAGAATATATAATGAGACGCACTTGGCTAACCAATGGCTTGTACACTTTTTACTTGCCATCTTTTCTATCACATAAATCAAAAGAGAGAAAGCGAATACGCTTACCTAAAGCAGTGTATCCTCCAGAGAAAAAACCATAGATTACAGCAAAAGTCATCAACGTTGCAAAGTTGTAAGCGAACATCCAAAGAAGAAAACAGCTCAATCCGCAAATAATTGTTGAAAATATCAGCATGTTCAGCACTCCTAATCGGCTCGATGTTGCTCTACAAAAAGCGATATATATAAATGGCGCGAAAAAAAAAGTTGTGTGAGATCAAGTTTCCACTATTACAAACCGCAAGCATATGCGACCAAAAAGCGCGGCAGCGCAAATCACGGAAATAATAGCGGACCCTTGTATGTCTGAAAGACCAATGTAAGTAGCATACGCTATAATTGATACAAAAATGATGTGCACAAGTCAATATATAAAAGTCGTTCGATTAAGATTATGCAGTGGGAGCTCAATATATACTTGACACAACCGTGGACTAACATGGAAGAAATGTTGGTGGTAAATACAGAATGCATACTTGTAGAAGGTTTATTATTCCCCACAATATGACATTCGTCTCCTTGAGCATCCCAACCTTGGGCTTGCTTTCGGTAGCGTCATGATCGCCTTGTATATTTGTTTGCGGTCGCTCTTTGATCAAAATAAGAGCAATGAGATTGAGAAACAAGAAGGCGATGCCAAGAATTCGAAATGTCCTGTACATATATATATATATATATATAATATAGAGAGAGTATTATATTTTATCAAGTCAGCAAGCCAATGCTTACATAAAACGAGAGAAGATCTTGCTGCTAAGAAATAAAAACTTGGTGCTGTTACCATCGAGCGTTTAATGCATTGTTAAGCAGTGTAACAACAAATGGTAGTACGATGCCAGCAAACGATGCACTGCTGCTAATAATTGTAAACGCCATACTGCGCTTTTTATGAAACCACTGAGGAATAACACGTAAAGATACCTTCATATATGATAGAATATAAATTTTGAAAGTGTCAAATTTGGTTAGTAGATGTTGGACTACTGATATGAGACGAATCGGATAAGTAACACTCACCGCATACAGAATCGAAACGCCAATTCCACTGCACACACCCACAGAAAGATACAACTGCCATATCTGTATACAATTGTAACAAAAAGTTAAGACATTTGTTTCCAGCTGTGGTATACAAATATATTCAACAAAGCCATGGTTTTCTATGAGCTCGTGCCTCAAATAGAAGAACATGTTACGAATATACCTCGCTTATCATGCTTGCAGCTACTAATCCTGCGGAAATCATCAGTGTGCCTATACCGAGCAGCACCTTTGGACCAGTATAGGTATACAGGTGATTGGATGGCCAAAAAAATATGTATATGACTGCTGGGATTAATGTACCGACACCAGAAAGCTTGATTACTGCATCGTTACTTTTTCCAAATGCGTTGCTTTCGTAATAATTTTGAAAAATCCCTGAACACAATACGATCATGTCGGGGTTATTATGAGTTTTATGCAACTCCTATATTCATGCAAGCCAAAAAAAGTACCTTACATACCCCTTTAATAATTGTGGCGTTTGTTGTGGGCGTAATCATAGAATCGCCAGCACCATCAATGATTAGTGTCGTTTTTGTATCCATAACGCACATTTTTGCTTTTGGGCTTTGGATATATGTACCAGCAGTAAGGTAGTCCACCAACAAGTAGTGTCGCCAAAAAAGTGCCTAGTGAGACGAGCCAGGCATATATTCCGTCGAGCACGGGCAAAATCATGGCTGACATGTTGAGTTGCTGCTCTAGCTCAAGTTGAGAGCTCGTGTCATTTTCAAAGGGTGCATTGTTGCTTTCAGTGAAAGTTGCTCTGTCGTTTCTCGTCTCGTTTTCAAAAACTGTTCGTGAATCGGAGATAGTACTAGTAGCGTCGTCGGTCGTCGTTATCATGTTCCAGAAGGTTTGGTCTGTTTCAGAATGGGTTGGCTATTAAGTAATCTAATACCTTTTTTGGCTCTGCTCTTATAAGTACAATTGATACAAGAAAAAAAGGAGAAAGAGACGCAGGAAAATAAAAGTTACCGCCACCGTTGCAGCAGCTGCACGATAAAAAAAGGATGACTAAAGGGAAGCAATATGTAGATCACATATTGTCTGCATAACTTAGCAGCATACGCAAGTGATGATGAGCAGTAGATGCTTACAGAAAAGCCTCCTCAACGTACAGTGACATCGTGTTGATGCTACATCTGGTAGGAGCAGGCTTGTAAATAAGATATGTAGTATAAAAAAGAATAAAAACAGACATTAGGATGTAAAACGTAGCTCAGCCCACCAAGAAGCATCCCTAGACTGAGAATATACCAACATTGTGTTGTCGATAACTGATCGCGACTGTGTCGGATACGCAAAATAATAAGTAGTTCAGTTTATCTATGCTTGCAGCCTGTAATACAGTAGTGGGTAGCGTACTTTGCTGCCCCCCACCCGCTGATTTCATGTAAAGTTACACAGCAACTATCAAGTTATGATATGAGATGTTTGCCCGATATGAGACGCTTTGGCCAGGTATTTTTATGCAAGCGCTACTTGAAACTGATGTACCATTTTATCAGCAGTTTTTGAATACCCACTGAAGCTATAGCAGCCTCATGCTCTGTCGAAGGATGCGATCCCGGTACAACGTTGCCATAAACGCCGATTGTTAGATTTTAATAGAGAGTATCACCTAACAGAATATCATAATCGGAAACGCTAGCAGTAGTGTTCCCTAGGCATTTCAGCAGGTAGACTTAGATACAGATCGCCAGTAATCATTGAGTTCGGAATACATATGTCCAGCATCAAAGCTCTGCAGCATAAAAACTCAGTGTATCCTAAAAAAAAAACTAAATTGTATCCAAAAGCACCGGGATGTAGCGGAAGCTACTAGCAAGTCACACGAAGCTAAATTAATAGATTACACTGACACCCTCTATAAGCATCAATCCCACCCCAACTACAACAATCATATAATAGTCATCACCTTCGATCACCACCCATAGCACCCCTATATCTTATATCCGTCATCAAGTATAAATGTCAGTGTTTTGAGCAGTAATCAATCTTTAGTTCTATCATCATACATCTTCATATATTATTCCAATTCTATCCCAGTCAATCAAGTCATAGCTGTAACACGGGATCGATCACTTGTTTGGTTGACCAGATGCTACTTAGTGTATATGGAGTGATTAAGTGCCCGGATGTGAGTTGGATGATCACATAATACCTTAACTCTCATTAAATTGCCGTTTCGAAAGTGAAGTGTAAATGCTGTTTGTGTTGGCGAACAAAATGTTTCTTCCTGGCAGTACATTGGCTGCTCCACGCAAAAAGAAGAAACTGCCCAACATTGATAGAGTCGCAACTTGTCTTGATTTTGTTAATTCCCAATTGATTTACATAATCTAACGGAAGAGAAGTAATGGGCGGCTATTGGTACCTGTACTTCATCACTACCAAAATCACTTGTGATTGAAAGTAAGCTTGAAAAAATTCTATAATCAAAGATGTACCACTCTTCTTCCTTGGGTGTGCTACTTATAATAGTTGCCACATACCTAACAATGGTTCGCAATATTGACGTTTTCTCAATTGCCTTTGGATGGCCACCTGATCACATTGTCACACATCCCCTTGCCACATGGAATGGAACGAACAAAATAAACTTTCTTTCTTGAAGGATGCAAGCTTGTGTCCCTGTATGTCGCCTACTTTGTTTCAGGCAAAATCCTGCATCATCCTATTGCAGTAGCTTGTAAAAATAAGAACAGAAATGTTTGCAAAAGTGAGCCGTGTTGTAGTAGTGAGATTACCGTTTTTGCTATGCAGTTAACCGCACGACAGTCAGCAAAAGGTGACATGTGTACTTGTATAACAATGTCGTTTAGGCATCAGTGATGACAGTAGCGGCTATCACTGTGTATAAGTACGAAGAAGAACAACATGGCGCGGGTGCATGCTTTGTTTGTTTTATTTCCGGATAACAGCTTCGAGTCTGTCGTGTTACTCAGTTCTTCCATAAGCTGTCCACAGTCTATATGAATCAAGTTTCTTCCAGAAATTCTTGTTCTAACAGCTGTTTCGGAAGAGTGGATGAATATAACCAGACTCTCTACTACTAATTGCACTGTTAGTGGGTAGGCACGTCGTAGTATACAGATGATGTTTAATCGACTCCTTTTGTATTGTCTTTTGAATACTGATTCGCTAAAGCCAACTCTTTCCTTGCGTGTAGCAACAGATCTGACAGATTTTTTGATGGTATGCCACAAAAAAAATGGTACGATGCGGCTATCCCGTTTAGCTGCCACTACCAGAATGTGTGTCGGTGTGGAGGGATGACGTGGGCATCTTGCTCAAAGAATCTTCCATGCAATTGAGCGGAGAAATGCCATTTGTAAGAGATAAAGTAGGAAACTAAAAAAAAATCGAATAACCAATGCGACTGAAATGAAATAGTATTATGGTTAAGGAAAGGTATGGTTTGCCATGAATAAAGGCAAAATGTATTCAATAAAGAAAGGCTCGATTCAAGGCAACCAACAGGATCGGACCTCGCGTTCAAAATGTGGTACAACCCTCGCTGTTTGAATACTGCTAAAATTGTGTGCACGGCCGCTGCCCACCAACTGATTGTATAAAATCCCCAGAGCAGAGGGGGACCTTTTCATTCGGTTACAAAAGAAAAGAGGCTTTTGCTTATGAGCTGTAATTGACATGAGAGTTTTCTACCATGTCTACAAGCGCTTATGGGGAATGTCTGATATCGAAGAGTTGGGCAATCACTAGATAATAAATGAGATGGAAAAAGAGAAAACCAGAGTGCAGGTCGGAGATTGCACCTCGTGCTCGTTGTTATGTTTTGTACATTACGCTTTTTGTTGCATTACGGGTTCCGAGAGCCTGCAAGTTGGCTATTTTTAAATTTGAAGCACGATTGAGGGGAGACAGCTACTTGAACGGTGAGACACAGTATGGAATTCTACCATGTAATTGCGATCATCGCCTTTAATTACCCCCCAAACTGATATCCCTTCGTAAAGACTAGAGAAAGAGAGCGATGGTTAGCCAGTTACGCAGATAAACCGCTATATTGAATGTGGATATTGTGATCGCATTAATTACCAGGCAACGGTAACTAGCACGCATTACCATGGTTGTGGATATCGCGCTAAGAAGAAAAGGGTCCTGTGCATTTCCCATAGCACCGCGCTATAACCAACAGGCCCCCATTTAAACAACAATCCACGCGCGCGTATGCACTGTATGTATTGCGGTAGCCTAATTGTCACTGTGTCACCTATACCGGATTGTGCTACAAGAAATTTAAAAAAGTTTTTTGAGCGAGAGAGTCGTATATAAGCGACCCGGTGTGCCCCCTTCCTATCCGAGTTTCTTTTCTTTTTCTCTTCATTCATTCACTCTACTCTAAATACCACTCCTTACCTTTCTCTCACATCTCCCTCGACCTATCATCATGAAGTTCTCCGTCGCTGCCGCTCTTTTCTCCTTCGCTGCCACCGCCTATTCCCAGGGTATCTCTGTCATCTCGCCCGGCCTTGGTGTAAGTCTTTCTCACAACAGCAACAAAACATCGAGATTGTGAAAGAAGAGAAGAATAGGAAAAACTGAAATTTTGGGAATATGTCAATTGATATAGGTTGAGTGGAAGGCTGGCACTACCCAAATGGTCACCTGGAGCATCAACAGCACTGCTCCCGCCAAGACCATTCAGAAGCTCACTCTCCGTGGTGGTGCTTCCAACAACCTCGACGTCGCCTACATCATCAGCAACACCGCCTTCGATGCCAGCACCGGCAAGTACGAATGGGCCATTGACAGCAAGACCGAAACTGCCGTTTCTTGTATGTATCTCTCTCTCTCTCTGTGTGTGTGTTAAACATTTAATGCATTGTATATAACTGTTTAGCTCTCCGTAATTGCAATTTTATACTGATATACGCGCATGAATAGACTCTGTTGAAGTTACCACCGACACCGGTTCCAGCTACTCGCCCTACTTCTCCATCATTGGTGCTGCCCCCGGTACCACTAACAACACTTTGTTGGGTGTCCAGCCTGGCGACAAGACCAGCTCCGCTTCCGGCTCCTCTACTGCCGACGCTGACAATGCTGAGAGCTCCACTGAGACTGAGGATAATGAAAGCGCTGCCTCGACCCTCAAGCTCGGTGCCTTGGTTGGTGCTGTTGCCGCTGGCACTGCCGTTGCTCTTTTCTAAGCAGCTTTAGATAGAGTTACTTCTTTTTTCCCTCTTTCCTCGTTTGTTATCCATTCCATTCCCTCCTGTTGTATCCAGTAGCATTATAATACTACGTACTTAGCTTCTTTTTTAAAAAAAACCTCTTAATGATTTATTTGTTCCACTAGCATATAAGAAAACCAAACCAAATGTTGTAACTATTATTGTGTCATGTCTGTATTGTCTTTGGGTACTGGAAAAGAGAAAGGGCGGGAGCGAAAGGTATGCTCGATCGGCCCCAGGTTGTACATTGGAGTAATACAAACTCGTGCACGAATTATCGAGCCTGTGCAACCACATCTCCGATGTATTTAGCTATTACGAGATAATTGGTTGCCACCACTTTGCTCAATTCTTTCCTTTTATTCACATGCAGGCGGGTGTCAGAACGAACCGCTTCGCTTGAAACCATTTGCTTCTTAGTTTCAATCTACTGCATAGTTGTCCGGACATGCTTGTGTTATTTGTTAAAAACATCGTGGCTCTGTTTGAACTTGTGTAAGAAGTATAAGCCGACGATGCATATTGCACACATACTGCCATATTCTCATTATTATTAGTAAGATTTTTTGAAGCGATTAATTTTGGGCAAACACATTCACGCTTATCTAGCTGTCAAAAATGTTAGTCGTAGCACCTCGATTTTTTTAAGCAAGTTCCCTCTGATACTTCTCGGATGAAAAAGTTAAAAAGTAGCCACAAGAGTTATCCATCCATTACTTTTAGGTGCTCGTTTGGTCAAGTAACTAGATCGGATGCTAGTGGGGCTGTTGTAAAATTTCGATGAACAACCTCCACACCGTCCATTCTACACCGGGTGCAGCGATTCTGCGTTTCAAAAGGCCCCAATAAGAGAATTACTTGATGGTCTAACGAAAAGAATGCAGAAAGACTTGTAATTTGAGATATTCCAAACGGCTACCTCTCATACACAAAAAGCAAAAGAATGCAAAAACCAAGAGACAATTACTAGCGAGGCGACGATTAGATGATACAATTACAATACTCAATGATCAAGACGTTGCCTAGCGACGTAATTTAGTCAGTTTCCAGATTTTCCACTTCTGCCACTTGGTAGTAACAGCAGAATATCCAGCTTTGATAAGCTCATTTGAAAAGAGCACTTATCCACGAAAAGATCCCCATGATCCAGCGGCCTACTACTATTAGCATGAAAATATGCCATGTTTGTAATTCCACTCTTTTTTTTTATTCCCAAACTGGTAATATTGCGTGCGTAGAAATATGATGTTGTTGTGTAGTTTTAGGAGATGTCGTGTATATATATATTTACATAATCTTTTGTGTGTGTGTGTGTTGTGTGTGTAGAGAATTGTAAGTTGGTTTTAAAAAGAGTTATTACACTGTGCATGTGTGTGGGATTCACCTCTAATGGGCAACTTTGTGTGCATGCTTGATTTCACCATAGCAATGGCTACATAAATGATGCATCAATTTGCTGTTTCCGCATGCTGGACATTGGGTGACATTTTCTTTGTTCTCCAGGCCCTTGTTGGACGCGCGCATTCGCTTTTTCGAGTGTGAGGTCTTCTTTTTCGGAGCAGCCCAAAGGAATGGTTCGAGCCAAATGGGGGTTTTAAATGTGCCTGCAGTTGCTGCAAGTGCACCCAATCGAGGTGCTTGTGTCGTTAATGAGGGCAATGAAAAGTGGTATCCAAGTCGTGCAAGTGCCATTGTTGTTGCTGTCTTTTATTATCAAAGATATAAAAGTTGAGAGAGTGTATTGTATGGCAGCTCAACTTTGGGACGCGCAAAGCCACCATCCCCTAGCAAAGGGGTGGGGGGCTGCCCCTCTCATACTCCGATCAAGCGCCGCATCTCGATCTTTTGGTACCGTTACTGCTACCTACATGAGGCCTGGGTTCCTGTAATCTGGGAACGGCTTTTGATGAGCTTTGTTTTTGTAAGGAGCCGGACATACCTGTCATAAAAGGAGACATTCTTCTATATGTGTGTGGCGTATCTATTGCTTAATAAACGTGTACAACTACCTCCGATAATGATGAAGAAAGGTTGTTGTTGTCGCTGCTGTCGGAAATATAACCTTTGAGCTGAAGCACTATCACGAATGCTATGTCTGTATGACTTGCATGTTTATTTATTCAAACAGAATAGTCATCATCTTAAAACGTTTTTATAATAGGGGTCTGGGAAAATTTCTTCGAGCACATTGGTACACTAAACGAGAATCAATTTGTTTAGATGATGTTCTAGATCTGCAGATGTGTGCGCAGCCATAATAAAGAATGCAAAATACAATGCTGCTAGAGAAGAAGGTTACAAGGTTCTACGGCGTACTATAGACAATAAAACAAGCTACAATAGAGCAGCATGCCATAACTTTAATTCACTAAGCAACAAGTAGAATGCAATATCACTATATAGTAACGTTTTGTTTTGTTATTTGTTGTGTAAAGCAATCCACTCCCTATAACAAGGATTGATGGGGAGCTATTTGTTGAAAGAAAATTCTAACACGTAAAGGAGATGACTCAAAAGCACAAAAACAAAGTTTATCATGTCCACTTGCATTACCATCAACGGAGTAAATGATCATATACGGTTCTGCTTGATGAATGGCCCAAAAGACAATATTACAAACGAATAGTAGCGTAGCATGGTAATGCAAATTGACGAATGAGCAGTAGAAAAGAGCCTTTCCAGAATAATCACAACCGTCCACGGATGCTATAATAAAGATGACACAATACGCACTCTAACCTAGGGATCAGTAAAGTAGAGAGAAAGTTTACAAAGAAGGGAGTTACAACTGTATATTGGGTGAATGGATGATGAGGGATGATGATAATGATGATCATGGGCAAAAGATTAGAGAGAGAAAAAAAAAGAGAAGAGAGGAACGCCATCATCTGATATATTGTATGCTTGCCGGGTTTCGGATCGATAATGATGACAGTAACTAGCTGCTATGTATGAGTAACTTATTCTACCTTCTTAGCAGAACATTTCTAATCGGTCATTGCACTGCATAGTTTCTGTCTTGTATGCTTTGTGTGTATGCATTTCTATAGGAACAATAGTTTTGAATTGTCTAATGCATCTTTATTATGTTTGGAAAGAGCCCGAACTTATCACTGATGAAACTGATCGAAGCAGCAGAAAACCCGTAAATAATAGCATTGTCCCAAATAGTAAGAGGAACGAGAGAAGGAGAGGAGGAACGGGGCCCGCCGCCCGTCGTCCTTTCCTTCTTCGTTCTCCCCACCCCCCCCCCTCGCACACCACCTTTTTAGAAAACATGAGCACCCACTGTACAGAGTGGCGCCGTAGGATAGATCCTGCTGAACTTTTATTATAGGTGCCCATAAAAAATAACAAACATAAAGCCACGGGTATAGGATCTGTTATTTGGGTCTGGTGAGTATATGTGGTCCAGTTTGTAGGCAGTACATACTAATTTAAGCTCAGAGTCTTATGGGTATGCCATGAGTGGGGTATGGTTTTGCAAAGAGTCAGAAAAGAGTGACCCTGTTCAACCACCATGATCCGGGTCAGATGACCCAGTGGAATCACCTTGAAAAAAAAAATAATGTTATCTGGACCCAGGAGGTCCCCTTTGGAAACTTGATCCTCAACCAAGACACTAACCCAACACCCCCTCCCATTACAGCATCTAATACCACGCATCCCTCCGGCACCGTGCCTGACGGATATGCTTTTGCCTTCTATATATATTTGGTTACTGACTCTCCTTCTTTCCTTTCTCTACTTCTTCTTTTCAATTGTGATAAAAGGAGTACTGTTGCCGCCCTGCCCTTTTGTTTTTTGTTCCACTATCTTATTTTCTCCACAATTTATAACGCTATGGCTTTCTCAATTCCCATTTATCGTGTATCGGACGTCCATGCTGACAAGGTAATGAATTTATGCGGGCAAAAGGAATTGGCTTTTCAGATATAATATATGTGGAATGGGCAGTGGAGTGGTAGCCTAGTATATCTCTAGCATCATATATTGTATCAGCAATTATGCTCATCATCCTATTACGTGGTATATTGAACGAAATTTAGCAACCGAGCACGCGTGGTGTATTGCCACTGACACCGTCTCCCACTACAGCATCCTCCTCCTCCTCGTATTCTTCGGGTCACCTAGAAGTGTCCCACTATACAAAGCGGCATGGTAGGTTTTGAAAGAAAAGGCTATATTATCTGTGGTAGTGTAGAAAGCAAGAGCCGGCCGGGGAAGGCCCGATGCATTATTATTTTTTGGCCCAGAAGAAGACATGCTAAAAATAACTGACCTATTGCTCGTCCTTTTCTCAACTTCCATGTTGTATATACGTGTCTGTATATGCAGAAGCAGACCACCACAGTCGACAACCACTGAAACAATCTCCGTCATCTTATCGGTGCAATACCAGCAATTATAACAACAAGCGCCGATATGGTTCCATAACGGATCACCAGAATGCAGCATTTCTAGGTAATATATAAAGTCTTTATATTTCCTTTTAAGTCTCTTTGTCTAATCTATCTCTCTCTCTCTTCTTGTATTCTTTTTCTTCTCTCCTTGCAATAACCAAGATTCTTCAGGCCCTTCAACAGCACGCTCAATCAGAAACGACGACGACGACACTGCGAGTATAAGAAGCGTTTCCTCAAGCGGTAGTGAAGCCTCATTTAAAACTGCCACAACAACAACAGCAGCAGAAGCAGCAGCAGCTAAATTTGCAAACACTCAACTTGACATGCCACCGACACCACCACACACAACCGTGAGTCCCAATGATAACGACGAAGGTCTCTATCTATTATGGACACATCAGCTGCTTCGAGAGCGAGGATTTAAGCCACCTCCTTGCCGTTTAAAAGAAAATGACGTAGATGTCTTGGCCAAACAAGACGTAACGGGACACGACGAAAATAATTATCAACATCATCGTCTTGGCCGCCACGATAACGATGAAGATAAAGAAGAAGAGGAGGAGGAGGAGGAGGACGAAGATGATAGCGACGACAGTCGGAGCACCGATAGTAGCCTTACAGACGGAGACAACGATAAAGAGTCATCTTTATTACTAACGACTCCCGATATCGCTGACTATGGCAGCAGAATGCAAATGTACTCGTCATTCAATTCATGTGCATCGTCGTTCACGGGTAGCCGTTCACAGCAACCCGAATACTTTCACCACCGACCTTCCGCAGCATCGTCGTCGATGCATCTTTCTGCCGCCGCAAGGCATGCAGCCGAAGATGAAGACGAGCAAGACAAGCCTCTGTCGTTTTTTGCGTCATTTTTTGGAGCCTGTTTCTCCTGCCGTCGCTGAAAACGTACGATACATGAACCCTCCAACCCCCTCTATACATCATATACTCCTCATTTACATTCACATGAGCATTTCAAAAAAATACCTGTCGTTTTCTTTTTATTAAATACAATTGATGGTCGTTGTTGGAGAGAACGTGCGTGTGTGTACGTAATATGAAAGGGCGTGCTATATAACTGACCAGCAGCCACACACGTATGTTTCGTTATATATATTATTAATAATAAATAATAACAATAGTCATATACTTACCATCGAGTGTTGATGAGGGTGCGTTCAATGTCAGTTCTTCAGGAACATAATGCATGTGTGTGATGTAGTACAATGACTCGGGCAGCAGCGGCATTTTTTTTATTGATTGCACTTGCGCCTAAACCCCACCACGTAGCATACAATATACTTGTTGTTTGAGTAGATAGATTCTATTTCTTTTAGAAACCACTGATCTGCATCGTGACCCCTCGTGACGCACCGGGGCCAATGAAAGGTAACGTGTATCTTGGCTCCATTGTTCCTATTTCTTCTTTCGGGTTTGATCTAGTCATCATCATACTGTCCAGTAACAACAGCAGTGAGTGGTTGTAGTACACTTCAGTCATGTCGCCCCGATTAGAAAAGAAGAATGGCCAGTGCTCAAGGCCATGCTACAAAGACATGAATGACCTTGTTGCAATGTTATATGTTTGAACGATCCTACCATCTGGGGTAGTAGTACAACAACAGTATCATCGTCATGAAGCTCCCCTACCACTTTGTAGGGTTACGGAAACAGAGGCGTCGGTAGTATTAGTAGTTTTTACTATCCAACCAAGGCAAGGAGAGAACAGCTTGGATACTTTGAAAGAAGCTTCTACAAAGACTTTTTTTTTTGATATAATGCACGGAGCATCCCCACTTTTGCACCGCCCCCACCCCTCAAAGTTTACTTGTTGTACTCCTTCCTTCCTTCTCGACTACCTACTCCCCCCCAACACCAACACATATTCGTCAGCTGCATGCTCCATGCAACTCTTTGCATATGAGCCTGGTGTGATGTAAGAATGTGTCTGCTCGTCCAATGACAGCTTCAAGACCAGGGTCGCATAGCGCTGTTTCCAATTCTCATTCGCTGATGGCATGGCCTGCTTCGCAATTATAAGACGCTTTTGATGCCATCAGTATACCTGCATCTCTATAGGATACGCATGTATCCTTGCTCACTCACTCTTTTCCGATGCTGACCACTTTGCTGACCACTTTGCTAAACACACATCAGAAACACACTTCCATCCATCCATCCATTCATTTTACGGATCCGTACGACAGCACTGTGCTAAATCGTTCGCTCTATGTATAGGCGTTGCTGTGTAAGGTTGATGGTGACAAGGCTGCTTATGTTTTATTATTAAGCTTGTTTCTTGGACATTTCGTCCAATTCCTTCTTGATGGCATCTGTGGTCTTTCGCTGTTCAGCGAGAACGTTTTTCAAAGCCTTGATCTTTTCAGCCTCCTACACACACACACATATTACAAGGAATTGTCAGCTTTTTTGTGTAACCTTCTTTACGTTGTGATTACGCAAGAAAAAAAGAAAGACGTACAGCCTGTCGTGCCCACATATTCTCAACTGCCTTTTCCTTGTCATTCCAACCCTTGGATTCTGCGGTGGCTCCTTCAGTATTGCCGTGAATGTTTGCACGTTGCATTTTGATGTGTCTAGCACGTTGTAAAACCCGAGTGGCACGTTGCATGGTTTGATGAGTTTTGTTGTTGTTTCGAAGAAAAAGTGGAATAATAATTGTTCATGCAAACGCAAAAATAAATGAAATAGCCCCCTTGTAAACACGAATGCATATGGCTGTGTGTTTCACCCCGATAATCCCCACCCCGGAAAATACAGAGAAGACGGCTTCTTTTGTTTCTGAGTAAACCCCACCTTTTGTATTTGACGGTTCAACAAAGTGTTCAGGTGGAAAGAGAGTAAAAGAGGGGAAAGAAAGAAAAAGGGCTCTTGTGTCGGAAACTGCCGATGACTTTATTCTTTTCGTAGGTTAGCGTACAGTATCTACCCAAAATGAGTGGAAAGAGATCGGCCTTGTGATCGTTTTTAGGTACGCTCCGAGTCAAATTCGAGCTGGAATTGGACATAAGGCCGGTAGCTGCTGTCGTTCACCGTTTGAAGGTCATGGTCCAATATTTCATCATTCTGTCCCGAATCATCACTGCTTTTCTTTGCATACGCCTGTCCATGCACGCCGCCCAAACGGCCATATTGTGCGACCAAGACACCGTCCACTTTTTCCTCATATTTCGGCTTTGCCTGTATTAAACAATCATTTTTTTTCATAAACGATCATTCTTAGTGCAGGGATTAGGGGCACATTTTGTAGGCGAAAATGTCTTACCGCAACGGTCACGGCCGTAAAGTCTGGTGGCAGGCCATATCTAAGCACAGATTCGACAAACACGCGTAGCGCTTTGAGATGGATCCATGACGCAAATACTTCTCCAAAGTTGGTTCTCGACAATCGAAACAATTCCAACTGCTGTTCTTTCTCGACTGCTTCAGCCTCGGATAACTCGCGCTTTTGAGACTGAAGAGCATCCTCGTCGAATTTGAATTCGCGTACTACGAATCTAAAATTTTTATTTATTGTATAAGACTACTACTGATGATATTGTTGTTGTGCACGAAAGCAAACGTTAAAAGTTTGTTTTACCTTTCTTCTCGAGCCTTATGAGCAAACTCTTCCGCCACACGCTGGAAAAGAGTGACCGAAAAAAGTCCATATTCGTCGTCCTCGGCAATTTTACTACAAAAAGAAACACGGTTTTGTTCAAATCGTTGCTTTTTTACCAAAGACAACAGCTTCTTCCACTTACACAGATGAGCGTGGCACAATCATCGCAGTGAGTGTCTCGTACTTGTTCAACCATTGTTTGTACGCAGATCTAAATAAGCAACATACAAAGAGTTAGGGTAGACTCATTGTCACATAGCAACAGGGATCTATTACTTTGGCACGGCAACAAATAGTGTAACCAAGTACTCTGAATTCAGGACACAATGTTCTTTTTTGACAATTCCGTTCAAGTTTTTGGCAGAAAGATTGCCACTAATAATGTGGAAACAGTTAGTGACTCTATATCTCGAATCCCTCTCTCACATTCTTGAAGTACTGTCTAAGCTAATAGTATCGATGTTTTCTTTCTTTACGTTTCTTTCCGTTGAAGTGCTTGTAGAGAGTTCTTGCTTTGGGTATACGAGTTGAGCTTTGATTTCATTACATTGTCAATCGATGTAACTTCCTGGAAGAAACAACACGACTGTCAGATAATTCGTTTATGCACAAACGTTTACTGATGGTGACATAAAAAACAATCAAAACATGCCTGGTTTAGCGTTGTAGTGATCTCTTGCAACGACTTATCAGTGCGATATTTCATTGTGTTCCATTGGAATGTGCTTATGTATTCCTCGACGGGTTCTGTATCATTTTAAATTTTTCGCGTTGTTATTCTCTCTTTGTTCGATCCCGTAATTTCACACACACACACACACACTCTCTGTCTATCTATGAGACATCTCCTCCTAATGTCATTTCCTTTTTATTGAAGAAAAAGAGGATACGTTACTGTCGTTTGCCAACATGTATTCTCGAACATGACCGTTTGTGCTGTCGGTTTTGATCAAGTTGGCCAAGATATCCGCAAGCTTATTGACAGTCTGTTCAAACGCCGTGTCGTACTTTGCCAAATCGTCCGACAAGAGCACCAAAGCATCAAGCGTACCGATCTGTTTTGGTTTTTTTAAATGCAATAAAGTTAATACCTCGGAAAAAGCAGAGAAATGCATGGACCAAACGACTCGATTGTTTTTTAAATCCTTTTAGTTTTTTACCTTGAATTCAGGGACGTTGAATGCATAAGTCAAAGCGTACTCGCTGAGTTTGCCTCGAATATTCAGAAAGGTATTCTGCTTGTTACCCAAAGCGGGCACAGAGACGAAAAGGTACTTCATTTACTTTTTTTTTTTTTGGGAGGGAAAAGAAAACGGTGTTTTCACTCGAGAAACAAAAAAAAAGGAAGAGAGGAGTAGAGTTTGTGTATGTGTGTAGAAGGGCGCCCTGCAAGCCATGCACTCGGCACGAACAACAACCAACAGACCAAAAGGACGTGACTTATAAGGGTGGGGGCCCTCCTTTGTTTCAAAAAGTTTCAAATGCCACAGTTTCCATAACTGGATTGCTCATGCTACTTTGCTCTGCATAACCAATTATTATTATTTTACCAAGAATCAAATAGCTTTTTGTTGTGTATGTGGCAAATTGGTAAAAAGAAAAGAAAATAATAATAATGAGATTTAGACAACATGCAAGGATGGAAGGAAAATATAGTGCAATGCTACTACTGCTGCAACACAGACAGTAACGGTGTCGTCGTCTAGAAGAACAAGTCTATGGGCATACAAGTTTCTATAGAATTCCCGAGAAAAATAGCCCTGTTAGCAAACTAGTGATAACAACAAAAGGATTGTTAGGCTACATACCTTATAGTCTTTGATTGTGCCTGAGAACTTGTTGAGAATACCCCCATCACAGATCCAAATCTCGTCACAGACGCTGCTGATAAACCGTTCGTCGTGAGATACTGTGATGACACCACCCTTGAATTTCTGAAGAGCAGTTTGCAAAGCATCAATTGACTCCATATCCAAATGGTTAGTAGGCTAAGAGAAAGAAAGAATCTGTTAGTCGATCTATTAGAGGAATGGGAACCAACTCCCGCAAGGACTTACTTCGTCAAGTACCAACACGTGAGGCCGTTGTAAACTGAGGATAGCAAATGCTACACGCGACTTTTGACCACCAGACAAAGTCTTCATCACTTGCAGACCAACCATACCAGTGATACCAAACGCACCCAAATGTCGTCGATACTCCTCCTCATTTTTACCAGGGTACTGGTCGGCCATGAAACCCACCGGCGACTTGGTCAGATCCAGCTGATCAATGTGGTGCTGTGTGAAATAGGCGATGCGAAGACGGCCGTTGCGATGGACCTCACCCGAGTTTGGAACGACTTGTTCAGTCAACAACTTTAACATGGTTGACTTACCAGCACCGTTGGGACCCACGACAGCAATACGCGAGTCCAGACGCAAGTCGAAATTGACGTGGCGAATGATTGTCTTTTTCGCGTCGTAGCCGAACGTCACCTCGTTCATTTGCAGGATAGGCGGTGAGATAGAATCTGGATCAGCAAACTGGAACGTCACTTCCTTTTCGCTCTCTGGTGCTTCCAGTACAGGCAGCTTTTCCAGAATCTTGAGACGCGACTGTGCTTGTGGTGCACGCTTTGCATTGTATCGCCAGCGATCGATAAAGTCTTGCAAATGCTTGCGATATTCCATTTGTGATTCGTATTCACGGATGGCAGCCTTGAGACGCTCGTCCTTGGTGGCATGGAAGTTGGTAAAGTTACCCTTGTAGTAATCTAACTTTTCAGAATGCATATACAGAATATCCGTAGCGACTTCGTCCAAGAATTCTAAATAAACAACAATCACGTTTAATAACTTTTTTGGTAGTCAAGTCTCAATCCCCCACCCTCCCGCTGTTCTTCCATACCTCGGTCGTGAGATACTACAAGCAGAGTGTTGGTCCACGTCTGCAGGTATTTTTCAAGCCAAACAATGGCAGGTATCTGGTAAAAAGAAATGAATAGCACGAAAAGTGTCAATTATCATCCCAATTTTACTTCCGGGATCAGGGGGCAAAACTTACATCCAACATGTTATCCGGTTCATCAAGCATGAGCACATCAGGTTTACAGAACAGTGCACGAGCAAGTGAGATACGCATACGCCAACCACCCGAGAATTCACGCGTGGGTCGCCTTTGATCAGGAGTAGCAAAGCCGAGACCCGATAGAATTGCAGCAGCCCTAATGATCATTAACAGCGGTTGTTAGTATAAGCGTGTACATAAAAACCCCATTGTCCACTCACCCACTCGATCTATATTCAAAACTTACTTTGATTCTGCCTTGTCACTTTCAATTTCCTCAAGCTTGGCAAAGACTTCCTTGAGCTCGGTTGACAGCTTGTCCTTTTGTGCGACCAGCTCATTCTTTTCCTCCTCTGTCAACTCTTCATCACCCTGCTCTGCTTCAATCTGGTTGATACGAGCCGACAAATCACGTTCCTTTTCAAGCAAATGTTCACGCCAGACATCGGCTCTTAACACCATCTCAATTGCAGGTGTGTCGTCGCCAACAACCTAATTAACCAAAACCGACACAATAAGCCTCCTTTTCGTAATACTCAACTCGTCCCCTTTTAAAAAACATTCAATACACTTACTTCTTGCTCGACATACAAGACGGAAATATGAGGAGGCACATTGATCTCACGACGAGCAATAGCGCGCAACAACGTGGATTTACCGATACCGTTTTTACCGACCACACCATAACGACGACCAAAAGCGACGGTCAAGCTAGCATCGGTCAAGATACGACGACCAGCAAACGAGATATCAAAGTTATCGACCTTGATATCCTTGGATTTGCCCTTGGTTGAAGTGTAGTCGAGAATCGGGTTATACAACTTGTATTCTTCCTGGAGCGCCTTTTGTTCACTCAACAACCTGGACGCCTCGTATTCCACCTTCATGTTGGTCTTTTGCTGACGCTTTGCAATCTTGTTGGCCAGTTTTTCTTCTGCCTTGCGCAGTTTCTTTTGGTCGACTTGGGATTGTACGCGCTTGCCAGAAACGTGGTCTAGTTCGACACCTCCTCCACTACCGAGACGCGCTGTGGCTGAAACACCAGACTGATTGCCAATCGTAATGACTTGATCTAATTTACGACCACCGCCCGTATTATTTGTGATGCTGCTGTTGTTGTTGTTTTTCAGAATCATGGTCATCAAGTCATCACATAATTTGTTAATGTTGTCTTCTTCACCACCGGCATCGAGAAGAATCGGTTTGACGAAATCGCTAATTGTGTCCTCGTCGTCATCGCCTTCAAACTCGTTTTCTCTGAGATAGCCGTCAATGTATTCGACGATCGCATCGTCAACGCCGGGAACAGCTTTTCGGATCAAGGCTTCCATTTTTTTTTTGAATGTGTCTTTTTTGATGCTGCTATGAAACGACGACAAAAACGACGATTGGTAGTAGCTCCTTGCACTTGCAAAGAAAAAAATTAAAGCTTGTTCCTGCTTTAAAGCAAAGTACTGCGGCAGTATAAAATGTGACGCTGTTTAAAAAAAATAGATCACATAGGGCCGCGCCTATCTCGTTGTCATGACAACAAGAGCTCATTGTTGTTGTTGTTGTTGTTGTAGGTGTCCATGACAACTGGCTTTTCGAAGGAAACGTAGCGACATAGAAAAAAGATCAGTTAGTCGTCATGTCGATCAATCAAGATAGTACTTACCCGATCAAAGTGATACTGCATTATTATGTGAGGTTCTCGTCATTGTTGCCCCATCGCTTGCGTATCATATGCTGCACGTCGATTATCATGCGATATTCAAGGAGATTTTGTTGGAGCGCTTTAACCAAAAAGAAAAAAAAAGGATGAGCGTCATGCAGCACAGGATAGCATTTTCTATTTTTTTTTGTAACAACAGAAAAAGGGATCATTACTGTCAAAAATCGAAATTCTCGAGTTCTAAAAGTAGAAGCGTTACAATAAAAAGAAAGAAAGCGTTCCGGGTCCAAGGCCTCGGGCATGTATGCACCATGCCGATCAATTACGTTTCACGACTGGTTCGGCGCTCCAATAACCTAAATTGCAAAAAAGAACAAAATGATAAATATATATATATATTTTACTATTACAAAGCCAAACGATGTGTTTCATAACCAAGGGAAGAAGTACTTGAAGATTTAACATTTATGGGATCAATAACAACAACAACAACAACAACTTGCAACAGTGTTAAAAGAAAAAAGTTGTGAATGTTTACACATGTTTACAAAAATGGTTAAAAGCCAGCGAAAAGACGTAGTATAACAGCTTCTTTAACGTTGTGTTGCACAACGCGCGAGTTGATCATTGAGGCTCTCAACACGATTTATCTTTATTACATGTTCGAGGGGAATCACATTCTGTGTGTTCCTAAAAGTGAGGCACACTTACCAAATCACAATCCACCACCCCCCATATCGTCATACTACGAAGCAATCGTTTTCTTAGAGTACATCCATCATTACGTATCAAACGTTGTACAACATGCTGGTGCCCTTCAAACTTTTGTTCTTCCAAAGTCGAGTGAGTGAAAGTGAGCGAGCGATCTTACCCGATATTCGCAAACGCCGAGAATATGTATACGAATCTCTGTCTAGTTTTGGGTATCGTGAGTGTATGTCTATTTTTCAAATGTGGGTTGCAAGTGTGAAGCGTTGTGGCAAGCAGCAATCCCAGAATGGGCAACTGCATAACAGCTCTTTTGCTTTTTTATTAGACCGTTTTCTTTTGGTGTTGTGTACCTCTTTCTCTCTCTCTCTCTCTCTCTTCTTCTTCTTCTTTACTACTCTCCAAAAGCAAGCTTATCGCTGCTGCTGCTGCTGCGTGCCTATATTGGAATTAGAAAAAAGAAACCATAGTACACTCTCTTATTATTACAAAACTAGGTGGCGACCTCATTTCCCCACCATTCTTTTCTTATTGTCGAACCAAAACCTCCTTTGATCCTTCTCTCAACACCCTCCTCCTCCCGCCAACCCTTGGTTACCCCCCCTCTCTCTCTATTATCCTCCTTTTCGAATTCAAAAAAGTCCCAACCCGGCCATGTACAAACGCCATTCGACTTCAGAACATAATGCCGATCGGCTCTGCGACCAATTACGAGAAGAGCAACAAAAAAGCAATCAGAATGCCGCCAAGACATTCATAGAGTCGACATTACGGCTAAAGCTGGCGTCGGACGACTTGCACAAGGAGCTCCAGGACGGCGTTATGCTATGCAAGTATGTGCACAATCACACAAATAGAGAAAAAAAAACAAATAACAAACATTTCCCTCTTTTTTCTTTTTGAATTTATTATTATATGCTGTTTGTTTTTTTTCTAACCCCCCCTCCAACAACATGCATTGATTAGACTAGCAAATTCTTTACAGCCAGGCACAATCACGAGTATTGGATGCAAGAACATTCCATTTGTCAAGGCAAGTACCTTTGAAATTGTCGCGCACACAATGCAATGGGGTGACCGAGGAAAGGAAGGGGGAGAGAGAGAGGGAGAAGAAGGAAAGAGATAGAGATGGGGGAGACATACTATGGGTGTTAAGACGAAGAGAGGGCTTAAGCGAATTTAACAAGGAGAGAGAGAGAGAGTGTGTGTGTGTGCGTGTGTGTTACGTTCAACAAGGCCCAATGCACTGCATACATGGGTGAATTACAGATGGGAGGCAAGAAAAGAGGCGGTGGCAGGTGGGGTTAAAGCAAAAAGCCGAAGAAAAAAAGAAATGAAGGTTTCTAACCGCTTGCCTTGTGTATCTTTGATATTAACAGATGGCCAACATTAGTCTGTTCCTGCAAGGGGCACGCGAGGTAAAACTAAAAAAGCATTACATGGATAAAAAGCCATATAAAAACCCTCTTTGTTATCTCTTTCTTATAACACCCTCCTTCTCTTATATATATACACACATACATATATATATATACAGCTTGGTTTACATAACTCTGAACTATTTCAAACCGTTGACCTGTACGAAGCTAAAGATATGGGCGCTGTAAGTAACCACATCCTCAGATATCTAATTGAGATAGCGGGATCATTATAAATAGCGAATGGCTAATATCTCATACTTATTCTCTCTCAGGTGGTGAACACAATTTTATCATTGGCGCGATTGAACATTAGAGTAAAGCATTCTTCCTCCAACGAAGAACGATCCAAAACGCAATCACAGCAGCAGCATAATACAACATCACGTACGGGACGACGACGATCTTCATTTCCGCGCTTATTAAAAACCAACAACAACAGTAATGTCACTGATCGCTCGTCAAACCAACAACAACAACAGCAGCAGAAAGAGTTATCACTGCGACGATCACCACTCCTTTCTGCAAAACATCATGGAAAACCACAACCCTCAGGAGACGAAGCAGCAGCACGCAATGGTTATCGACATGTAAAGTCCATCTTTGGACAGCAGCCCAATATCGCTAATATTAATAGTAATAATAGCAACGGCACAACAACAACATCAAACAGAGTGTCACCTCGAGCAGTGGATATCAGCAGGATTAGTGAAAAAGCTGAAGCATTACGCAGAACGTATCGGTCCAATATGCAACAACAACAACAACAGCAACGACCTACTCTAGATAGTGGCTATAGTACAATGGCTGCTCGTAGCAATGATACATATCGGCGCCGGCAACAGCAACAAAAGCAATTGTGGAATGATACTCATAACGCACACATTGCGTCCTATGACGATGGGCATTATTCGACGAGCAGCAGTGCAGAAGAAGATGATGATGAGGAGGAGGCAATGGCAATGGCAACAACGACGGAGGACACAGACTCTGTGGAAAAAGACAAGGAGTACCAGAGTGACAAGGAGCACCAGCAGATCCATCGCACGTCGACCGGTTCCACAGAATCCGCAATGAGTGATCCAATTTCAATACACGTGGTGATGCAGGGCGAGTACCATAACGTTGTACATCATCGCCATCGCTACTTGGATGTACCGGACAATACTACTACGACTACCAATGAGTTTGATGTCATTGATCCATACCCGGAACCGTCGCGATCCACTCCTGCGACTCTACGTCTCAAGCAAAGTATAGAGACATTGGATTATTTTGCACAAGACAATGAGGATGATCTACAGCAACAACGTCAGTCGTGTTGGGAGAATCGGGTAGAACCCACGAAGTCAAGCCATTCGGACTCCTTGCACCCTGAACAAGCAAAACAAAAAGAAACGACCAAAGTTGTCTTGAAAGGAGAGAACGGTCAATCCAATACCTACTATGTAAGTTTAGTTCTCTGTGTGTGTGTGTGTGTGTGTTGCTTCTCACTTGTTCACCGTCATACTCAAAAAAGCTAAAAATGACTCGGTTATGTTATAGCATCTTGGTAATTGTATTGGAAAAGGTCAATTTGGCTCAGTGTACAGGTATGTTCTTCTGTTCGGTTGTCGTTTTGCATCTTACTTTGCTAACGACGACGACCCCTCACATTTACACGGGATCTCACATAATATTCATACGGTTGTGTGTTTAACTATAACAACAGGGCATTGGATATCCAAACGGGTGAAATTGTAGCGATCAAACGCATCCAGATCGGAGATGTGGAGGTGGATCAAGAAATTTTGGTAAGAAACACTTGGAATCTATCAGGAAAAAAACTTTAACCTTGAGATACTTATTACTCGTTTGTTGAATAGCAAGAAGTCGATCTACTGAAAGAGATGAATAATCCGAATATTGTACGCTATCTTGGCTCAGTGCGTGATGATTCGCACTTGAACATTGTCTTGGAGTAAGTTCCCCGTTTTTGTCTTTCGTCCTATATAATTGCTTTCGCTAGTTGCTCAAAAGAGAGAGAATATCTGCTTTCTTTAGGTATATCGAGAATGGCTCTATTCTATCTACATTGAAAGCGTTTGGCAGCTTGCCCGAGAAATTGGTTGCTTCCTATACCCAAAAGATTCTTTGTGGGTTAGCATATCTTCATGAGCACGAGGTGAGTCCTCCTCAACCTTTCCTTTCCCCACCCCCACCATCACCATCACCTCCTCTATCTCCATCATTGTCCCAACAAAACATCTTCTTGGTGAACTCTCCTAATCTACTTAACCCCCCCTCGTTCCTTGACTGATACATCTTCTTTTTATTTTCCCTGGTTTTATTTTTTTTTTCTCGGAAAACTTAAACTTACAAATGAATATAGGTGGCACATTGCGATTTGAAGGCGGCCAACATTCTGACGACCAAGACGGGTGATGTCAAGCTCACTGATTTCGGTGTCTCCTTGAACCTACGGATCAAGCAAGACGACATGGGAGCGCCTGCAGGGACACCCAACTGGATGGCTCCCGAAGTGATTGAGCTCAAGGGAGCATCGACAAAGTCGGATATCTGGTCATTGGGTTGTACCATTGTGGAAATGGTGACTGGAAAACCGCCCTATGCGGACATGATTGCCATGTCTGCACTCTACCATATTGTCGACGATGAAGAACCGCCTATTCCAGACAACGTTTCTGACGTAAGCTTTCTTCTATAAAGCAACGCCAGAACATTCACTAAAAAAAGAAATCTGTCTTTCCCTTCATCAATGGGCTGTATGTGTGTGTGTGTTTCTCTTAGGCTTTGCATGATTTTTTGCGTGCATGCTTTCAAAAAGATCCAGAACATCGACCGACGGCTCATGAACTCGTTCGACATGCATGGCTAGCTCCGATAGCTTTGTCCGTACCTCCTCCTCTCACTCCTTCGACATCGGCGGACGAGCTCACGATTTCTCCAGCAGATGGCAATAGAGATCACAAACCGTGCGACGAATCGTCATCATCATCACCAAAGACCACCGACAACGACGATGATATTGATTTGACTATGATTTACGAATACATGCGCGCCAACCCCACCATGGACTCGCAGCGTGTACCAGCACCGCATATTCGCAAAAAGGAAATCATTGAACATCAATTTGTCAAGACATCGTTTGGCAAAGCCATCACATGCAAAGTGTGTCTTGTCACTGTCAAGAAGCATGCCGTCTTTTGTGAAGGTAGTTTTTTATTATCTTGACAAGCCCTTGTTTGTTGAATCATTGGATGCTAAAAAAAAACCTTTTTTTTTCTTATGGTTTTAGCTTGCGCATTGATCTGCCACGAAAAGTGTCGTCAAAACGCAGCATCTTGCAGACCTATCTTCCCATCCACAAATCCAAAGGTACAGAAAAAAACCATTGAGAAAATCTAAGCCAAGAAAGCTAATGTTTTCTTTTCACCTACGTAACAGCCCCAATCAAGTCGTCGAGATTCATTCCCTCTTGCAACCTCTGAGCCACGTACCCATAATAAGCTTCAAAAGATGCTGGCATCCTGTAAGTACCAGTAGTATTAGTAGTAGTAGTAGTAGTAGTAGTATTTCACTTTGCAAATGTTCCCACAAAACGAGAAGAGGTGCTAAACCAATGTCTTTAAGTGTACCTGTAACATAGAATTGCTCTCCTCTCCACCGTCATCAAACTCATTATCATTATCATCATCAACAGCAGCAGCAGCAGCAGCAGCAGCATCATTACCATCACCATCGACGCAAGTCTCATATAATCACGCATCGTCGTCGACCGTTTGATGCAACCTTATTATTATTATCATCATCTCCTCTCACACACCCCTCTGATCCGTTGGTTCCGATTCTTCCTGTTTTCCGTGAGTTGCGGGCGACAACCCCGAAACAGTGAGGAAAGAACGCATCCATTTCATCATCCCGTGTCATCACTGTCTCTTGTTACTTTATCTATCCGGCAATCACATCCCTCCCCCGCCTCCCAACCTATTATTACGCATTACCTCTTCACTATGTCACCACGATCCCTCGATCTTTTAAAGATTTAGACTCTCTCTTTTCTCTATAATGGACAAAGCAACGCTCCCTTCGTATCATCCACTACCTTCCCACCCAACTAGAGACACAACAAAAACCAAATTGTATTATAAATCCTTCCTTCCATCTCCTCTTTTACTTTTAAACCCGTTCTGCTCTTTTTTTTTATTTTGTAAATTGTACACATTTTGATTCTTTTATACCAATCTAATTTGCTTCACTGTTTATTTTTTATGTTTACGTCATTGTTAACAGTCTTTCTTATCATGCAGAGCTATTCTATCTGTTGCCACTACTGTATGCTTGAAATTAGCAAGTAATTGTGCATATGATAGCAGCATAATATGATTTAGCACAAGTAAGGAGCAGGGTGTACTTGACAGTGGTGGTGGGTATTCATCAACTGTCCCAGATGAAACAACAGGACCGTTATGCAAACACCAGCTGAGGAAAAGTATTGGTTCATTTATCACAGCATAATAAAATTAGAACTGAGTGCTATTCTCGATGGTAATAGTAATAAGTAGTACAGTACTTTGAGTAGTGGGGTTGCACCATGCCAGCCATTCCATTGGTGTGTTCCAAATAGGGTAACCGATCATGTGCGCTTTCAAAAAGAGGACTTCTTGGAAACGGCTACAGGCCTTGTTTCACTTTTTATGCTTTCCCAAAGTTGCATGGGGGGTGAGGGAGGGACCATATAATTCGCCTCCACACTCTTGCACTGTTTTTCCAATCTTTTCTTACTCTCTCTCTTCACCATGTTTTCATCCATTGTCACCAATATCCGTGATAAATTCAAGAACAAGCCTTCTCCTCAACAACAACAACAACAACAGACTCCTGCAGTGCCCGAGATCCGCAAGCCATCGGTGGACAGTAGTAGTTCGTCGTCGACCCATGACGACGATAATAAACAATTCTTATCTTTACACAAGACAGTGTCATCGCCTTCTGCATCCGTCCACAGACCCCGGTCCAGCATGGACGAAGTGGCCAACAACGGCACGGTGGGTCGCAAGATGTCAGTGACAGAAGCCATTCCGGTACGACGCCGACGGTCGACGCTGTTTGGTATTTCGAATGTTTCAGCGGACGATTACATTCAAAAAGATCTGATCTCCAGTTCTTGGAGTTGAAGGGAAAAAAGGATGGCTGGTGTAACCATTCGCAATGGGTGGTTGGTGGGTGGTGTGCCAAACAACTTCTTGTAAGATTATTATTTTGAGGCGGAGGCTGTACTTGCTTAATTACCTCCTCTCTCTCTCTCTCTCTCTTATATACATACGCTCTTTTTTTCTTTCCCCTTCCTTTCTTTCCTTTTCCCTTTTTCTTTTTTTCCCTCTTTCTCTCTTTTTAAGATACCTCTTCTTCTTCTTATTTATTATCTTACTCTCTTGTAAATCCATCATCTCCCCGCATCCCGTTCAAAATACTATGGTTCCTACTGGCATTGGCGTAGCTCACTTACCGAACCAGCGACATAAAATTGTGGCCAAGCGTGGCGCGAATTTTACCCTGATGGTTTGCGGTAATAATCACTTTCAACAATCTCCAGTTGTACATATCTCTCTCTCTCCGTCTCCCTCCTTGTCTCCTCTGTTTTCAACACATACACAAAAGGACAAATAAAATCATCATTTCTATGGGAAAAAGAAAAACATTGTTTATTCAAATGTAAAAAACTTGTAAATCCAATACAAAAAAACAAACATTTTTCTTTTACTCTTTTATTATATACAGGTGAAAGTGGATGTGGAAAAACGACGTTTGTAAACACCCTGTTTACGACCACCATCAAGGATCCGCGCAAAGTCGAGCACCGACACAAGACTACAAGCACAAGCAGCAGGAGCAGCAGCAACGACCGTACAGTCGAGATTGAAATCACGCAAGCCGAGCTGGAAGAAAGCATGTTCAAGGTCAAGCTGACGGTCATTGATACGCCTGGCTTTGGCGACTATGTCAACAATTACGACAGCTGGTCGCCTATCGTAGACTTTGTCGATGACCAGCACGAGAGCTACATGCGTCAGGAGCAGCAGCCAAGTCGCAACGGGATCATTGATCGCCGTGTGCATGCTTGCTTGTACTTTATTCGGCCGACTGGACACAGGTATAAAGTAGTAGTAGTAGTAGTAGTAGTAGTAGTACAACGTGGAGGCCGGAGAAGTTGTGCGATACGTTAGACCAATCAATGACATTCATCTCTTATTCAGTCTCAAGCCTTTGGATATCGAAGTCATGAAGCGATTGGGTTCGCGTGTCAATCTGATCCCGGTGATTGCAAAGGCGGATACTCTGACCCCGAAAGACCTTGCAGCATTCAAGCAGAAGGTAAACTTATCTGCAACCGCCCCCTCTCTCTGTTACACACATAAGCAGTGTGAGGGACACTCACACATGTATATACACACACACACACACCCCTAGATTATGGATGTGATCAAAGCCCAAGACATCCGAGTGTACAGCTGTCCCATCGACAGTGACGACGAAGGCACGACGCAATGCAACCGCGACATTATGGCAGCGATGCCATTCTCCGTGATCGGCTCAACACAAATCGTGCGTACACCTGATGGACGCGACGTTCCCGGCCGTGCCTACTCATGGGGTGTGGCCGAAGTCGAGAACGAGCAACATTGCGACTTTAAAAAGCTACGCAACCTGATTATCCGGAGCCACATGCTGGATCTCATTTCCACGACAGAGGAAACGCATTACGAGAGTTATCGGCAGCAACAGATGGCTGTGCGCAAGTTTGGCGAGCCCAAGCAGGCCAAGGGTGAGAACCGGAAGCATCGTGACAAGGAAGATTTGTTGCGCAAGAACTTTACCGAACAGGTCAAGCAAGAAGAAACTCGGTTCCGGAAATGGGAGCAACAGGTAATCATGTTAATTTCCCCCGCTCGTGCATGAATTAAGCTTTGTTGCTAATAATTACGTGATGATGATGATGATGATAGCTCATGGCAGAGCGTGATCGTCTCAACAAGGATCTGGAGGAGCAGCATGCTGCTATCAAGGCTTTGGAAGGCGAACTGGACTCAGTGTACCGTGGTGCTATGCGAAGATAACAGCACATTGTTATTATTACCTCTGTAATAGTACACTGATCACACTCCTACTACAACTACTACTACTAAACTACTTACCAGACGATTGAACACGATTGTGGTATATATATTCTCAAACGGTATATCAAAGTATCATTTATAGTATCGGCTCCCTCTCCCTACGTTTCATACAAGGAATATATAAATGCATTTATAATCATCACTACATTTAAAAAAGTTTTCTTTCCTTTGGTTTTGAATATGTACAGTTTGAGTATTTTTATTTATTTCTTCTTTTTTTATATGCCCCCCCCCACGCTCTGTTGAAATTGATCAATTGATATATGTGCGCGCGTGAGTGTGTGTTGCTGGCTGAAAAAAAGAAAAAAGGGACAAAGTACAAAGTATACATTAGAGGAAAACGTGCCTCCAAGGGATGTGTAGGGTGGGGGGGGGGAGGAGGGAGGGAGCGGGGGAAATGTGTGTCCCACTGGTTGTTCTTTTATGTTCTTTTTGTACAAAACAGTCTTGCTAAATACTTGGCACATGAGAGATGAATTGGAGAGAGTGTGTGAAAGGTGAGAATTGTTGGCGTGTCGTTTTTTTATATAAAATGATATGAAAGAAAACGTGTTGCTTTGTTGTTTTGCGAATGGATGATGGGAAGAAGAAGTAGGGGGGGGGTATCGTATCGTATCGTAAATAGAATTATTTCTTGAATTTGCCGCACTTTTGCATTTTCAACCAGAACTTTGGAGGCAGACCAAAGCCAGGTCGTTTGGGTGGCTGCTGTGTTGCTTGGCTACTATCGTTTCCGTGGTTACTGCCGTTACCATTACTATTCAGCACGCTGTTGCCATTGTTGTTAAGCAGACTGTGGATCGATGACGAAGGGGATAAACCAGCAACGGGTGGCGTTGTAATTGTAGTAGTAAACGGCTGCGGCGGAGGAGGAGGAGGGGGAGGGGCAAGAAAAGGCTGAACATCTGCTGCAGGTGTTTTTTCGTCCTTGTAACCAATATCGAGTGTGATTGTGATCAACTTTTGGCTGAGATAGTTGTAATCACGTTGGATCAACGAAACGACTTGGTCAAGAAGTATAAAATACATACTGCTGTCCGAAAAGCGTCGTTTCTCCTTTTCTCTGACGTCCATTCCACCGTTGGTGTCGTGGCAGATCATGGACGAGAACGGCGACCACAATCGATCCTTCTCCTTGGGCATCACCAGTCGACGCACCAGCCCAGGATACCGCTGCCAGAATGCTTCGGTAGACATGTTGAGCAGCATGCTGACCTGTACATCCACCACAAAGAACGAATACTTTTTGGATGATTCTTCAAACAGCTGGACGGTGTACAGCGGCAAGTACTTCATTGCATCCGCCAATGATCGTGGTGGTTTCTGCTGCTGCTGCTTTTTAATCATCATGTCGTTGTCATCCAAGACGTCGTCATTGTCATTGGCCGGTAAGAGAGATGACAGTGAATGGGCGTTCGTGCTGTCAAGATCCTTCTCCTCTTTGACCTTGGTCGCGTGCCATCGTTCCGGAGGTGGCGTCGGGATGGGTGTGTGCGGACCATCGGGTGAAATATCGGTCGTCGTCGTCGTTGTCGTCGTCATCGTGGGTTGCAGTGCATGGAGATTCTTTTTGGGTAAATGGCGGCCAGACAATTCGCGCGCATGCGCCTTGGCCTTTTGCATGCCATCATCCGCTTGTTGTTGTTGTTGTTGTTCCTCCTTGACTACCGCCATCACTGCAGGTTCAGCTGATGCTGCCGGTTCTTGCTTTGTCTGCTTTGTCTCCATGTTGGCCGCACGAACGAGTCGGCGCTTCTTTGGCTGACGTTCAGAAGGTTGATCTAAACATTTAAAATGTGTAATTTTAGTATCCTTTTTCTTTATTCCAACAGCAGACAATGCCGTACCTTTTGTTGCGTTATCACGACCGACGGCCTTCTTGCTCGAAGCTGAACGACGTTGCTGTCGATCGTCGCCATTACCACCGGCAGTAGTGTTACCATGGGTCGCGATTGGTTTTTGAGCAGCAGTAGCTTTTTCTTTCTGGGCAGCAGCCGCTGCCGCAGCGGCGGCGGCGGCTTTCTTTTTACCATTCTTGACAGCGGCACGCTTCAATGTCTTTTCAATACCCTCAAACCCTTTCTCGACAGCAATTTCAAGAGGCGTCACGCCCTTGGCATTGCGCGCATGTGGATTCGCACCATGTTTCAACAACTGGCTGATCACTTGGACGTGTTCGTTCTCGACGGCATCGTGAAGCGCTGTATCCTGATCACCGCCCTTTGAGTTGGCATCAGCACCATTGTCGAGCAACAACTGTACGACTTGCTCACGGCCACGAAGTGCTGCTTCATGTAACGGCGTCCATCCGGCATTGTCACTTTGGTTTGGATCTGCACCGGCTTTGAGCAATGTCTCGACGGCAGTCACGTCGCCTCGGGAAGCAAACTTGTGCAGTTGTGTACGACCACTCGTATCCTTCTTGCGTGGGTCCAGTTTGGCAAGATCCACTTTTTTGCCTCCTCCTCCTGTTGGTGGTTCAGGTGCTGTTGTCTTTGTCGCACATGTTGATGATGGTCGCGTTTCTGGGTCGGCCGAAGGTTCTCGTGAAGAAGTAACATCGGCAGAAGTCGATTTTTGACGTCGTCTTGCAGCTCCTGTGACTGTTGTCGTTGGTGTTCCACGACGCTTCTTGGTGTCTTTGACAGGCAGGTCTTCTTCCTCGTCTTCTTCTTCTTCATCTTCGTTGCCCGAGGCATGGCTGCGCTTTGTCCGTCGTGGTCGTTTGTTCTGCTCCATGACTTCAAAGGATCGCATGATTGCCATGATCTTCCGTTCTTCGCGCGACAAGGGGCGATTGCTTGTGCTTGGCGCTGCATCAGGTCGATGGCGTCGCTGTTTGGTGTGGGAAATAAAAGTTATTTCGTCAATGGCGTCACTTGCAGTGCGTTGCTTACGCAGCTCGTCAATGCGAGCGGCCAAGATGCGACGAATGGCGGCGTAGTCGGTCACATCGTAGGCGCTTTCGCTGTTGTCGTTCGTGTTGTCGACATCGGCACCTGCATCGAGCAAATACGTGACAAGCTTTTCATGGCCATAGATACTCGCTTGATGAAGAGGCGTGTTGCCGTGGTGGCCGGGGTAATTGATGTCAGCGCCATGTTGCACCAGCAATTTCGCAACAGCAACGTCACCGTGACGAGACGCCTCGTGCAATGGAGTCCATTGGTCATTATCGCGAGCGTTGGCGTTTGCACCTTGCTTTAACAACAAAGCGACCTCGTCGTAATGCCCTTCAGCACACGCATTGTGCAAGATCGTCCGACCGCTCTTGTCTTGCGCAACCAGTCGATTCAATTGCTTCATCTTGTCCTCGAGGATCTGGGCACTCTCGCGGTCGTCACACACATCGAGCGGCGTCTGCTTGTCCGAGTTCAATGCAAACACATCGGCTCCAGCATCGACAAGGAGCTTGACACAATCTGGATAGCCGTTGGAACTGGCGTCGTGCAGTGGGGTATCGTCGCCAAACCCGCGGGCGTTCACATCGGCGCCACACGATACCAGGTACTGTGCAACATCGTGTTGGCCTTTGAGGGATGCTTCGTGGAGCGGTGACCAGCCTGCATTGTCACGCACGTTGACATTGGCACCACGGCAGACAAGTTCTTTGACCCTGTCGAGCTGGCCCGACCCAGTAAACACAAACAATTTTGTCCGACCCGCCTTGTCTTTCTTGTTGGGATCTTGGCACGGTGCTCGTCCCTTGGGCTTCCGCTGCGAGGCAGGAGTGGGTGATGTTGATGATGATGATGGGAAAGCGGGTGCTGTTACATACGTTGACGCAGAGGGTGCATCTTTACTGCTGCCAACAGAGGAGGATGCAGAAGATGATGAGCGGCGGCGACGATTGCGTTGTTGTTGTTGTTGTTCAGTGGAACCAACAGCAAAAGTGGAAGAAGGAATGGGGGGAGTGTTTTCGGTCGGCTGTTCAGAAGTGGATTCTTTCCGTGGACGCCCGCGGCGGCGTTTTTCCTGAACTGTTGACTGGGACACTTTTACGGTTTTCCGTTCTCGGCTGGTGCTCGAACTGTTCTTTTCGAGTTTTCGTTTCCGTCGCAGACTGCTGCTACTGTTGTTGTTGTTGTTGTTGTTGCCACTACTGCGCCTTGACTCGTCATCTTCATCGGCTACACTACTGTTGTCATCGTACTCTTCTTCTTCTTCTTCTTGACCACTCATGTCGGAATCTGCCGCGTCATCAAAAACACTGGTGGTGATGGATGATGCAGATGAGGATGAGGAAGGGTAACGTGCCCGTTTTGTTGCCGACGGAACATTAGAGTGCGACTGCTGCTGCTGATGATGATGGCGATGACCACGTCTTGGCATTTGAAATTGGTCCCAATACCGGTCTTCCTCGTCGCTTTCGGCTTCTTTTTGACCCTCATCAGCAACTGCAGCAGCAGAAAGAGCAGGGGCGATCTCTGTTTCGGCATCACTCTTATTTGCTGGCCCAGGAGTAGGGACATCTTTTGTTAAAGTCGTCGTAGAAGCAGCAGTGGAATCGTGCGGATGACGAGGAGAAAGGTGATGAGGACGTTGTTGATGGTGATGATGATGATAATGATTATGATTGCGATGGCTCAAGGGCTGCTTTTTGTGTTGATGCAGTTGTTTGCCGGAGCCATTTTCCGACATGGTGCCGTTCAAATAATCATTTTCAGTGGATGCTGCTGTTGCTCTTCGTTGCTGTTGTTGCTCGTTTCTCGTGGCGGATGCTGCTGTTGTTATTGAGGATACTGGTGACCTCAAGATATGTTGTTGTTGTTGCTGTTGCTGTTGTGATGATGGTATGTGTGCCATGAAAAACCTCAATGATGCTTTTTATGTGGTGCCGATGAAGATGATGATAATGAAAATGATAATGCTGTGTATGATTTGTTTCCTTTGTTTCGTCTTCGAATGATCTATTATAAACAACCACAAAAAAAAAGCAGTGTGTGAGTGAAAGAGAAGAGAGAGAGAGAGAGAAAGAAATGCTCGGAACGGCAAGAGTATAGTATGGAAGGGTAGGTTCTCCGACGAGGTTTAGCATAGTCGAGAGAAAAAGATTCTTCTTTTCATTGAAGTGACGTACATGGTTTTTCTTGTTGTTGCTGCTAGGAGTGTTGCGTGCGACTTGTGTTGTTGCGACGAGACGAGAAAGGTTACGTTATATGAAAATGTGGGGTTTTTGTGTGTACTGACAAAGAGCCAAATGCTGCGCACACGAGTTCACCACACTATAGAATATAAGAAAAAGAAAAAAAAGGCGGTATGGGCTGCTAAGCAGAAGGGCACGGCAGGTATCCTATGCAACGAATGTGTACGTTTGAGTTAATTTGCAAAAGAGACAGATCGGTGAACAATGGAAGAGGAGTGTTTGTTTGCTTACTGTAATGTTATAAAATCGAACAACGAAGGAAAAGGCCAAATATATATAAAAGCGAGGAAATGGGGTTGTTAGTCAGAAGGATTCTTAAAAGAAACAAAGGGTCGGGTCAAATCATCTTTTCATCTCAATTTGCCACACGGTGAATGTGTAGTGCCGTGAGGTTGGACAATGGTTGAATGTGGAAAGAAACAGTACCTTATAAAAAATATAAAAAATAAAAAAAGGGAGAGGTGGAAAGAGAAGCGAAAAGAAAAGAAAAAGAGGCGGAAACTGTAGCTTCAGCAAAACTGTTTCTGAAATCGAAAAACTCACTCTGCTTCGCCAGTGACATCATGACTCCAAAGTGCTTATAATAGAAATCAGAGAGAGCGAGAGATTTCTCATCACCTACTTCTCTCTCTCTCTCTTTGGGTAGTGGCCTTTCCTCCCCATGGCTTTGTAGCTTTCTAGATGGTGGAAATCTCTCTCTCTCTCTTTCTCTTTCTCTCTCTTCCTTTGCTTTTTTTTGATATGCACAGTACTATTGGCTGCCCCTATGAGAAGAGGGAACCAGGTGAGTATCTGAAAGTGCAGCACTGAATTTGATGGCTTTACAGTTACCTCTATTCCATTTATTGTGGTAGCGTGGCTGCATCACCTCTCTCTCTCTCTCTCTCTCTCTCTCTGTGTCGAATGAGCTCCAGCTTTAATAGATAGCAGCCTATTATATCAGTTTCACCCAGATAGAGCGTACACCTAAAAAAAAAAATAGAGAGAACCTTGGCGGACTTTGTAAAGCTTTAGAGTAGTAGGGCGTTTTCCGTAAACAAAGCTGGAAAGGATATTTTCTCTCTTTCCCTTGTTGGATAACGAAAATACCATACACACACACACAACACACCATGGTGCTGACTCCATTACGACATTCCGTTCGATTCGTTGCATTACGGCAAACAACAATAACATTAACACGCTCATTCCATGCTGCCGCACCTGCCGCCTCACACATTGGCCGAAAAGCCATTAGTTTTTCCGACGATGTCAAGATTGAACATGACCTGACACCCATCTCCACACCACGCATTCCCTCCGAATTAAACAACACGACGCTGACGGTGACAGGACCTCTCGGTCAACAGAAACTTGTCATTAAGCCATTCGTTAACGTTGCCACAAAAGCGGCTTCGCCCGACGATCCCAATTCGCAGAACCGTGTTGAAGTGTCGGTACAAGATCCCGAGATCAAGCAACAGCGTGCCATGTGGGGTACTACCCGTGCACTGATAAGTAATGCCATCACCGGCGTCTCTGACGGCTATCGTGTCATGCTGCGTCTGAATGGTGTCGGTTATCGTGGTGTGTTGGAAAACAACGATCGTTCCTTGTCGCTCAAGTTGGGTTATTCGCATCCAGTCATCATGGATTTGCCTCAAGGCGTCACCTGTGCTATCCCCCAACCTAATCGATTGATCTTGCAAGGCACCGATTTGCAAATTGTCACCGAGTTCGCTGCAAAGATTCAACGGTGGAGAAAGCCCGAACCTTATAATCAGAAGGGTATCTTTATCAATGATGAAACAATCAAGAAGAAGGAAGGCAAGAAGAAATAGACATAAATTCCCATCCTCCCCCCCCCCTTTCCCTCCCTTTCATCATCCCCTTTAAACATTTATATTTTTACTCTTTTGTATACAAGAAAAAAAAAGTTCTACAAATTGTGCATATAAAAGTAAATTTTTTCATCCTCTCAAGTTAATTTACTTGCGATTGATTGCTTTTGTCCGTATTGTCAGGAGGACATTGACCGAGACATAACCATCACTCTACAAAAGAGGGCATGTGCGTGCCAATCTAAATGTGTTTTAAAACAATGACGGAATGATAGCTTTTAATTAATGAGCCTTTTTTTTTTTGCAGAACCTTAACGCAAAGTTTTTGTTGCATCTTTCCATCGAGGAGTGTACATTCCCACATGGTTTGTGTACAAACGACTTTTTGAATGAAAGAACGAGGAGATCTTTCTGACGAAACTGGATACTGACGTGCTGGTTCCACCCTGGTGTCTCGTTCTCTCTCTCTCCTCAATGATTCTTTATATTGCATCTATGTAAGAGAACTGCAGCTATTAATTCTGCACATAGCATGGGGACGAGTTTAACAATCCAACGGAAAGCGCTAGATATAATGCTAAAGAGGATGATCGGTGTATGATGCTTTCCCCTCTTTTCCTTCAGATTTGACTAACTAGCAGCCCGTACTTTCTGGTTGCTAAAAAGTTGCTTATTAAGAAAACAACATCCGTTGCTATGGAAGACCTCTAGCTTATTATATGATTTGTTAATGAGAAACAGTCTGCTGCTATATTATGATATGATTGATAACGAATATCAGGCTTATAATGGAAATAACACAACCATCTTATAATCTCGTCGTAAAGGAAAACATGATACATGTAGTTGCTATGGAAACACTAGCTTCAAAAAATGTTACCATGGAGATGCTATGGATACTCACGTTCCCATTACTACTTGGCAAACGTCTATTTACCCGTCGATAAATGTATCAGATATTACTCGTTGCTAAAAGAGATTGACAAGCAAATTGTTCCTATAAAGACTGTGATGCTTTGTCAGTACTCAATGTCAATCATTGAGATCGAATCACTATTGTCGCCTGCTCTTACTATATGCAAAAGTGATTCACTGGGTATTTTATGCGTTTTAGACATCACATTGTGTTTCATCAAATTTAAGTTTTTACTGAACCAATTTATTGGGATTTTCGTTTATTCTATACTACGTGCTAATCTTAGAACACACTTAATGCTGTGATAGTGAGATGTATCTGTGCATACGATATAATAAAAAGGAAGAAGAAGATTCAAATCATCCCTCCACTGCTGTGCTCTGCTAATTGATGTAAAACAAAATATTTGTTCTCCAGCCGTCTGTAGCGGGTAATGGAGCCAGCTGGTAATAATTTGAGGGTTAAGAGAGTCTAATGTACATGTCATCATTTTGTACTGTTTCATGGTATCACAACTGGCATCACTTTTTCTCCCTACGGGTTTTAGTTTCAGGTATTGCATCATGTCTTCGTGAACTAATGTATCTCAAGGAAGGTGACCCATGCCCACAGGCGCCGGTCCATTTAGTCTTCCATAATAGTACCCAACATTCTGAGAGTGAAGATTACAAGACCTTCCATATTGTAATCATCAAATACATATAGTGCAGTAGAAGCATGCTATCGGGCTAACCAAGTGTAATACATGTATGTATAAACTACTGTGCTATGTACAGTATCCGATCAGCTATGATGGCTACCCTTGTTGGTGGTGGTATTTTTAGTATCCATACAAGCTATTCGCTATATCATACAACTTTAATATATGTAGCTTCAGGGGATATGAGGTCTTACATCTGCAGGTCGTTTAGAATATATTGCTACACTTAAAAGGACGGGAATCTCGGCAGTTATTTGCTAAAGCAAAAACGAATCAATCAAGTCGTTGTAATCGAGAACTTTCCAAACATGTAACAAGCGTTGTTGTTCTTGTAGTATTATGTGCATGGGAAATTCGTCGTGCACGGATTGTCGGGTACTACCCTGATATACAACATAGTCTTCTGTGCAATTGTATGAACAACCCCAGTTTGTTCTTTGTTTCTAGAAATAACTGCTATAGAAATAAATGCACATAAAAAATAGGAACACACGGACACAGAAAATCTACATGCATACCTACCATCAATGTATCTTTTACTGCTATTCTTTTGGTATTCCGAGCACCATCTCAGTTGAACATGGAGCAAGGGAAAGGTACACATAATAATCAACTTTCCGGTTTTTTTTATACTTTAAATAACCTCCCACACCGGTTGTCAATACTTCCGCGGCTGTACCTTTGCTTTTAAAAGTAGATCTCAGAAGAAGCAGCAGATAGTGGTATACATGTATAGGGGTATATCGATTTAACAGAAACAACAAAACCTGATTTTCTTTGTTAAGGTATGTACTGTAACCTATTATGTCAAGCACAGCCATGTAAGCGGTTGGTATTGACAATATCCTTAATGATCTTCCATGTTGACGTTACACGTCTGTCTCTCCCTTTAGTCTCATACTCCCAACTTGATTTTGATTTTTTTAAGAAGTTTTAGCATTTTGAGGTTTAGCACGTTCCCGACGGGGCACAGACACAGTAAAGCGATCATCTATACCTTCTGGCCTTTTTTTTTTGCAATCGAGGTTGGTTTAGAATTCTCGAATATAGGATAGACTTTCTAAGGAGCCAAAAGTACCCGAGATTTAGCAGAGAAAGGCAGGATACACAATGGCGACAACAAGATACTTTACTGATTTCTACAAAGATCCTTGTCGAGTGACATAATTCCGGTACTGTCTGTAAGCGGTTGTGTGTGTGTAAAAGAGCCGTAGACAGGCTAGAACAAATTGATAACATGTCCGATTTTTTATTAGCAAGTTGTTTGTTCGTGCACAGACAGGGGGGACAGAGACAGACTAAGAGAGAGGAACGTTACGTAGCTTTTTCCGAAGATCTCTAATTTTCATCAGAGCATGTGTGATACAACGTCTTTTTAGCGCTGTCAGAAAAAGAGGAGGACGAAACCAAACGTGTGCGCGAAAAGAAAAAGAGGGGTCAATAACCGCTGTTGTGTATGATGTGTGCGTAAGTGACACCACACAGCGGGTGAGTTCAACAGCAACAACGAGGGCCGGCTTTTTAGGTTGTGTAACCATGGCCAGAAACGCCCTCTCTTTCACTTCTCCGACTTGGCTATGGCATAGATTATGATGAATATGGAACATCCACCCTTATCGAGATAGATGCGATGCTTGTACGTGTGCTCTGTTAGATGCATACAGCTACGGTAGTGATGTCCACGTAGTAAGCTACTACTACTACTACTACTACTACTACTACTGTTATACTTTTGGTGATATCCTTCAACCTGATTTGACGCGTTCACTTTTCGCAGGAGGCCTTTCTTTGTGTTTGGGATCGTTCCGAGGGGTGAACACAAAAACAGGGAGGGATACCAAAATGGTAAAAAAAAACAAGGAGGATTCAATACTACGAACATGTAATTTCCGTCGTCGTCGATGTTGCAGTTGTTTTCGTGTTCTCACGTTTTCCTTTAAATAGTGGCGTATCTGAGAACGTTAACAATTATTTAAACTTGGGCCCCTTTCTTTTACATGACAAGAATCAATCACGATGCGCGCGCGCGAGAGAGAGAGGGAGCTGACAGTTAGCAGAAGCAGATCCCCTTTGATTTGCTTTTTTAAATTCAAGAAGGGAACGGGATGCATTCGCATATTCTCAAATACTACTATAGAGCACAAAAACAACGGGTGTTGATTGTTGTTGTGTACGAGGCGCTTCTGCAACACAAAGCCAACCGCATGGTCCTACCAAAGTATTAAAAATGGAAACGGTCGAGTGGAAGCCAATTCGGCCCGTATTTTTGCTCTCCCCTCTTCTCAAACTAAGAAGCCCCACCCCCAACCCCCATCACACAGCATTATACTTTCAAGAATCCATATAGCAGCATACTACGTACTAGAGCTGTTGCTAGGCGAATTAGGGACACACGTTATATTGTTAACAGGTAGTCTGGGAGACCACTGCATATCCTCCATCAGTAACCAAGAGCAACGACAGCAAACTGACTGACAGCTAGCTATTGTGCTGTGCCTTGGAGAGGCTGGAGAGAACAGAGTTTATCTCCAGCTGGTTACGAAGAACCCGATCTAATAACAACCTGCGATCGTGGTAGCTTTTGCCACTCGTTGATAAACTCAATACGTCGTATAATGAATTCGATAATAAGAATCAAGAAGCTTTTTTCCCTTCCCTTCTTTCCCCGTCTCGCCCGCTTTTCTTTCTCTCTTTCTTCTTTTTTCTTTGTCGCCTCTTTTTCCTCGTATTCTTCTTTGCTCTCTGCACCGCAACAAACAGCAAAACATATAAATACATCTCTTTCTTGACCTTTTCCTATATACCCTGTTTTCCTTTTCTCTTCCTTTATCCCCTAAATTCACTTACCCACCCCCCCCTCCCACCTCCTACCAGTTCGCCTGGGCTGCCCTTATTAAAACCACAAAAGAACATACGAGAACAAACAACGGCAATTGATAACGAGTAGTAAAGAGAGACGACGAACGACGCTTTACACTGTATAAAATCCACAGCAGCCCTCTTCATCATGCCCAACAGTTCGCTCTCAACCTACACCACCATGATGCGGGTCACCAAGAATGGCAGGCCTTACTGTCAGGTACTGGCAGAAATGCGTCTCTTGTTCAAAATATATATATGCGCATACATCAAAACATCCATCATCTTCATCATCATCATTAACCCATGTATATTAAAAAAAGGACCTGAACGATCTGTTTGCTGCGCTCGTGATACAACACGGCTTGCGAGATCATCGGTACAGGTTCCGAACCATCCCTGCCAGCTTTGTGTTTCTTGAAGCGATCGAGGTCCTGGGTCATTTACAGTTCACGCACGTCATGAAGACTGCCGATCCGGCGGATCCGTCGCGTCTGATTGCCACACGTACCACTACCACCTTTACAATGTCGCCCAACATGGCTCGTACCTTGGGCCAATACTTTTGCACATCGCGATTGCTGGAGAATGCCATTGACCCTGTCAACCATTCGCTGAAAGATAAGGTCATTTATATCTTGTCGCCCAAGGGCAAGTACGTGATTGAGGACTTTTCTCAACGAGCTCAAGTGCCGATCAAGCAAATGGAAAAGGCCCTCTCAAGTGTTGATTCTTTTAATATCGTCACCTTGGAACGATTGCCGCAGCATGACGACCAGTTGGCATTTGCTCGGCCCAACATGACTTTGGCTTTCAAGGTAAATCAAGTAAATTTGTCATATGAAGGGCGAACGAGCGAAAAAGCTAGAATGGAGAGAGAAGTTATATGAACTCAAAAATGGAAGCTGGGAAAATAGTAACCGTATTTCTTGTGTAACGTATGCACATGTTTATTATTTTCATTACAGACGATGATGGCGTATTTGCCGATGGAGTCGTTGCTGGCAGATGATGCTGGAGGTAGTATCAAGATTTTCAAGCGCCCCCCTCCCTTTACTATTACTATACTAATCGAGTTGCAAAGGCATCGACAAGAAGAATCTGGACGATTTTCGATACGCATTCTATGGTTATCAGGCATTCGAGTGGATCAGCGAATACACGACGGTTGTTACACGAGAAGAAGCCGAAATGGTCGCCGCCGAATTTGTCCTGTACGGCTGGATTGCACAAGTGCTTGATAAATCCGACCGCGACAACAGCATCCGCGACGAATCCGTAGTGTTCAAGATGGGTCGTGGCACTGTCTATCATGTCACGTCGCGTGGTCGATCTGTGCTGGGCTGGGACAAACCGCTCGACAAGGAACTCCGTGGCACTGTTACTGATAACCAAGACATTGTTATCATGAAACAGCGCGGACTCGCAGCACGGCTCAAGCACATTGAAAAGCCAGCGACAGTACCCACCGCAATCCCATCATCCAAAAAGAATAAACAAGCTCCAGCTTCTACCAACACAGATGCTGCGTCGTCGCCATCCTCTGCCGCATCCACAGCCCCATCGACTGCATCCTCAACGTATTCTGCCGAGAGCCAGAACCCGTCGTCGTCAGACGATAGCAGCACGGAGATCATTCCGAACGCTCTGGAAGGCACAGAGGGATTGGAATTCGCCATGCCTGTAGGCAAAGCAAAACTTGAGCAGGGACACGACACGTTGCAGGCGTCGCAAACGGCAACGGATATCGATGAAGTGACTGAGCGGCTCTTGCAGCTTCGATCTACAGGCAATGTGAACATGGAACGCACCACCTCAACGGATGCTAATTGTAATCCATTTGATGACCCATCACCAGGTAGCGAATCACCCTCACGACCGTCCAGCGCAATTTTTAACAACGACACCACCCATCATCATCATCATACAGAGACGGATTTCATCACCTCGGCCCCACTCGATGGCTCGGTCCCGCTCGATCCAAACTCCCACTGGGCCAAGCTACGACAGATCCTCGAAGACTCCTTGATCCGTATGTACTTTCGCGACTTTATGAAATCCCAGTTTTGTGAAGAAAACGTCAAGATCTGGGTCGACTATTACAACATTCGCAAAAAGTGTAAGCGTGGCAACGTGTCAACCAAAGAATTACTTCGTGACGCATATGCCATGTACGACAACTACCTTGCACCGGATGCCACCCTTGAAGTCAATATCGACCATGGGTTGCGCCAGGAGATCATTTCGTACGTCACCAACAACTTTACGATCTATTCGGGCGACGACCACCAGCATCAGTACCATCATCATCATCGTCACCACCATACACACGGTAGTAGTCATCAGGTGCCTTTTGTAGCTACTGCCTTCCAACCGAACCAGCAGCAGGTCACAGTCGTCGTGAATGGCCATACAAACGAATGTCTGCGTGCGCTGCTCCGCTTGTATGATCGGGTCAACGAGCATATCTGTCGCATCATGGCCCAGGATTCTGTGCCCAAGTTTATCAAGACTGACAAATATCGTGAACTCGTCGCCCATCCACCTGCACCCGTACGTCGTAACTCGATCGAGCAACGGTACCCATACAAGCCTTCTTCTGCTTCGGGCGAGTAACCCGCTCCACCCTTTTTTTTCTACTCTTCAAGTGTTTATTTTCGACACCTTTTCTCCATTCCCTTTCTTTTTCTACTCTCTACTCCTTTAAGTGGGATCAGTCACTTGTCTGCTTTTTGTCCTCCACCACAGTTTCCCTTCCTCTTTGAAATAACTCCAACATCAGCAGCAACAGCAACAGCATCATCATCTATATGCCATACTATCTAATCCTACTCGCCCATCTTACCCCACAAATCGATCGATCGTATTATATTTTCCTCTGCAAACAAACGCCCAGCCACACCCGCGCACACATACTTACATATCTATTTCCCTCTCCTCTTTTGTTCCTGTCCCATTCCTTTTTCTTTTGTTTCTATATATGTACAGACTTCATCTCCCTCTCTTCAGCCTCTTCGCTTCTCGTCATGCTCTTATATCCCACCTCCCCTCCTGGCTTCTATCCTTCTTTCGTCCTCTAGCAAATAAAAAAATGTAATGTTTATGGTAACTTATAACCTATTGTGTACTAGATACTTTTTTCTTATTATAACTATTGATAGTATCAGAAGACATCATTATTGCAATAGCTGACCCAGATAGTTTGCCATTTTTTCTTTGGAGCTGATTGCATTGGCTCGTTGCCATCGAAACAGTTCGTCACCAAAATTAATATGAGTCTTGATGTCACCTGCACGGTAAGGCAGATAAGGTCGAAACGCGTCTCCTCCTTCATAAAGCGGTACCAGACTGACTATGCCTATAAACATATACATCTTGTGTTAACCACGCCCCTTTTCTCCAAAACATATCAAAAACACAGACAACTGTACATTAAAATACACTTACTGATAATTTTTCCGTTGACAGTGATGGAAATGCTATGCGCTTCTTGGACATAGAGTAAACCTACTACATCGCCATCGGCAATCTCCAATGCAAACAATTCTGTGCGCGCGGACCGACCTTGATAGACCATGGCCATGCGTTCCACACAGTGATACTCGAGTCGGATGTGGTTTCTGTTATCCAAACTTTGCATACCCAACACAATGGTGCCTTCATTGTGATCTCCATCGTGGTTAAATAACGTGTCATCGTTATCAGCATTATCTTGACCGTTTCCTTCTTCTTGCTCCGAGGAAGATGATGGTACGCGTTGCTTGGCCGATCGATTGGCAATTGTCATTTCGAAATAGAGCGAGGGCGATACAGAATAATCATCACGTTCTGCCGGCCGACTGGATAGAATAGTTGTAGGACGTTTAGATTGGGGTCGCTCAATACGAGCCGGCCGCAAGCTGGGTTCTTGGTTCCCCTCTTCAAGGGCTCCCTGTACTGACATGCGTCTCATTGCATTCGTCAAAGTCTCGATATCGTCGCTCTTGTCGGATCCGACCGTCTGACGACGTTCGTTGCTGCTCTTGACAACTTGCGGAGGAGGGAGCTCGACAGGTACAGGTGAACATGCAAGTTGGGCAAAAGGCGTATAGCCTTCGACTGGGTATCTAAGAACGCATAGTTTTTGACATAAGTCTCTCCACAAGAAGAAGCAACAAAGCTATCGCAATCAAGTACCGTCCTTACCTTAAACGGTCCAAAGGACCACCAAAGCGGAAGCGGCACTCCTGGCCCGTAGAGAGCGATATAGCAGGATACCAAACCCGCTCAGCATCAATATCCATAAATGCCGTACCCAGATCTTGTCCGTTTTGATAATAACGCATCTCGCAGCAATCCAAGTCCAGGGCACATGTAATCGTGTCACCGACAGCCCATGAGCATCCATAATTTCGTCTCTGCACACACACACACACACACACACACACAGAAATTCGTGTTAGCTTCATTCTTTGAAATAATTTCTTTTTGCTGGGGTCAAGAAAGAGAACATACTCTATTTTGATCCGCAGCATGCCATTTCTTGACTCGACAACCATCGTAGCCATAGGAAAAGGCATCATCGCCTACGCCAGTACCACCCTCCGGATCAATTTCGAATTCGTCAGTGACCCATCCGACCTGCATCAAGCCATCTGTAGCCAGAACGACTTCAAACATGTATTTGTGGGTAGATGTTGCTGCCCATGCATCTGATCCACGGACCGGTGTAGGATGCGTTCCACGTACTGTCTCGAACGTCCAGGAATCGTTTCGAGCCTCAAGCCGCGTCTCATAATTCAAAAGACAATATTTCGATCTGCGATGCAAGTCTATTTCCACGAATATGCTATCATTCCCGCATTCGGACGGTGATGACGCAGTCGACGATGATGAAGAAGGTGATGATGACGGGCTAGTACAGCGTGTGGCGAATGTCAAAATAAGTCGTGCATAGAAATGGAAGGATCGCTTTTCGAGCATTGGTAACTGTGCGCTTTTCCAGATCGAGATCGCCATGACTTGAAGTGCGGACTCGGGAATGATGTAGGACGGATCTATATATGTATATTTCAGAAGAAAACAAGGTTTTTTTGGCAGTAGCGCAAAAAGGAAATGATCAGCACAATCGTCATCCAGGGGGGAGGTGTAGTTAAAATATGACATTGCGCACGGACCAGCACAGATCATTGCTCCCAGGCATGTCAGTACATGGTCTGACAAGGACCGGCAGTTTTGAAACATGTAAATCATGGCTTCTACAAAGGCCGTTTCGTGAATAAGGAATTGCCGTACGGATCCTGAAATGTGTGTTACCAAGTCAATGTGTTTTATTTTAGCGAAAAGAGGTTCTGGCGACGGCGGTGTAAAATACATACCATAATGAACAAGCGAACGCAGCACCATCAGAGCACGGCCAGCAAACCCGGAGTACAGTTTTGCGAAATGCAACGGCTGACCAGCAGCCAACATGTCCTCGACTGTGGCAGAATCATGCTCTTCACCCTTTCTGCGTGTTTCACCTAATCGTTCTGCTGCAGACTCAACTTTTTTCGACATGATATATTGCTCATCCTCGTCGTCGTCGTCGTCATCATCGTCATCCTCACTGTCGGAAGACGAATCATTGGGTGCGAACGTCATGGGCCGTGCGGCTGCGGCTGCAGTCAACCCAGATGATGTTGACTGTTGCTTATGTGTTGCTGCTGTTCCAGGCGATGCTACTGTTGCAAGAACGCCATCAGCTCGACGGAGCGGAGCCACGGTCGTACGAGCCTTGAGCCATGCCAACACATCGTAATATGCTGCTTTGGCCGTACTTTCTTCCATTTCCGTCACTTGCTTTGTCGTCTGTTGACTCCAAGCTTCGAGAACAGGATAAATAGCAAGCATGACCAATGATTCTGAGAATTCGCGAATGGGTTCGAACAACAAGGCGGATGAAGATGAAGCAGAGGATGGCATTGTGGCTCCTGTACGGGCACTGTTGTAAACCCGGTCATTATCGGCTAAAAATTGGCGTTCCATGTCCGTTAATCGTGCAGATTGCCGTGCTTCCCGTTCAAACGCGCTGATTTGTTCGCCTTCAACCGCCTCTTCCATTTTGGCCATATCTGCCATCATGTTTTCAAAGACGGTGCCTGTGACCACGTTCCCAAACACATCTTCGTTCTCGAGTAGAATGCGCAATGCGCTGAGTGCACCGACGAATTGGACGCGTGACGAAAGCGGTAACTCGAACTTTATGAACAAAGATGTTCGGTCGTGTGTGGATGAGTGATCGGAACAGGAGGAAGACGATGATGAAGAAGAAGAAGAGGATGATACGGATTCGGTGGATTTCCGAGGACCGTGGTCTCTGGCCATTTGACTCATTTCTAGGCTTGTAGAAAGTCGTGAGTGTCGTTTGGATGCTTGTCGTCGTTGCGGTAGACGGCGCTTGCTCGTAGTTTTTTCTTGTGAGCTTGCAATAAGAGATTGCATGAGAATGATCGGAAGAACATCTTGAGAAATGCCAGTGCATGTGCTGATGAGAGGCTCGATGACTTGTAATGTCACGCGTGTGGTAATAGATCGGACTAGAATTAAAGGACGATTAATACTTCAGTAAAAGAATCCTATTGCATCTATTAGCTCACACTTGATAGCCATTAGAACCAAGGCCTTGGCGCATGTCAGCTGTACGCGCTCGTGCGTTGATGCGACACACATAGAGACAAGTGTATCCAGACACTGTTCTCGAGCAACACACGCAAAGTTTTCTACATGGTAATTGACGGGGTCAATCATTAGCTGATCCAGACTTGCTTTTTGTACACAAAGATTCGAAAATACCTCTCATGGCTGTCAAGTTAAATATTGCTCCCACTGCATTGTATTGGACTTCAAGTTCTTCGTACGATAACAAGTTATTAAGCGCCGACACAACCTCGTTTACGTGTCGATCCAGGATGGGTCCGTTACTTGCTATTTCAGGTTGTCGTTTGGTTAAAGTTAACATATGTCACTAGATGGTGTGGCCTTTACTTTCTTACCAATACAGCAAATGAGGGATAGAATGTCGGATGCAAAGATGGCAACATGGATTTTACGCGAGGTTGTCAGTTCAAGCATCAAGCCAAATTCATTTGATGTAATGATATCCGGATGAGATTCCACTGATTTTGTCATTGTCAGTGAGTTGGTTAGTGGTTTCTTTCTCTTTCTCTGTCTTTAATCGGGTCTAAGATCTGCTTTCTAGTTGTAAGATACATACGTTGAGCGGCAACGGCGTGAATGCACAAAATGCTCCAGTACCGCACATCATCATCGTCCAGTGTAAGTCCGCGCATAATTTTTTTCACCATGCCGCTATTCACCATTTCTTGCCGAAAATTGTCTAACAATGCACATCGTTAGCCATTCTGATCGATAAGAGGAGAAGCCCACATTTATGTCGTATTATTCGATACCTTGTCCATATGCCATGAATTTTATGGTCCGTAGTACAACTCTTGAAATGTATATTTCTTCTGCACCCAACAAGCCATTGAGGATCGCATGTATACCCTTAATTTCTCGAAATTGCTGTGCAGCGACGTCTGTGAATTGCATTATTTTTGTTCTTTTAGCATACGATACAAGATCCCACTGTAAGACTTTTCTAACCTTTGAGAACAAACTCGTGCATCAATCCAGCAGCCCAGTATACAAGTTCAAGATCCTCTTTGATGCCAAAGACATATAATCCAAATGAGTAAAGGAAAAGCCAACCATGTGTCTCCCCATTGCAACAGCCATTATCTTTTCCTTTGTCAAACTTACCTGATCTTAATGATATAGAAATAAGATCAATAACATTATATTCCAGTAACTCTGTCAAGATAGCCTTGGCCTCAACTACATCGACATTGGAAATAATTCGGACCAAGCTTTGTATGCAAAATTTTGGCATGTTCGTGTTGCCATATGTAATTCGCGCCATTTTTGCAAGCACTGCAACAAATCCATCCTCAATCAACACCTTTGGAAATGGATCTATACAAAATTGTTAAAATTGCAGTGAGCCAAAACATAGTAACTAAAATGCTCTTTATAACGTGTGTCTCACATACCACTGCGTGAAATCTGGTATAGTATCATTAGAGTCCAATATTTGAGTTCGTTGTTACGGATTGTTGTTGAAGTAAGGATGCGTTTGATTGGTTCCAAAATGCCAATATCGATGATGTAGTATTTGCTGATGTCTAAATGAATGGTTGGTACCCTTATTCAGTGTCATTGTGTTAAAAACATATACAGGAAGGTCAATGCAAATTACCGCTCATTTGGATTAGATCGCATATCGATACAGCTGCATAACGTTGAACCGATTCTTTCATATCTGCGTCCGTGCACTTTAATGCATCCACCAACACATCCAATGCACCGTTTGATAAGAGTGTCGCTCGGTTGCTATCTAGATTGTGTGGTATGCTTACACGTTAATATGTTACACATGAGCTAATGCGTAATTTATATTCTTTTACCTCGCCGTGTTAATAGCTGAAGAGCAGATATAGCACGCATCTGCACCTCGATAGGTTTGTCCCTTTTACAGGACTCTATTAATTTTGGCAAGTATTTTTCTGGGTAACAATGAAAGTCAAAAAAATACTGTTAGCTCCTTATTTTTTTTCCTGATTCTTGGTTAGCCTGCGCCAATATGGCAGGTAGTTCTCCTTGGTAGTAAGTAGTGAAGCACGACATCACTAAGCTTACCTGACATGGCCCGATCTAGGATTATTTTGACAGCGCTAGTTCATTCCATACATAAAACAGATACGTACAGCGAAAATAAAGTTTTAAGATAACTAAGAGGACCTGCATGAAACTCTCTTTTCCTTTGTTTCCTCTCGCTCTCTCCTCAAATGACCGCTGGCAGTTTACAATAAGCACCTACCCATTTTGGATATTGATATTGGTCGAATGCGTCAAGTAAGCCAACGACTTTAATGGTATTGCTGCAAAAAATGAAAAAGTATCCGGAAGAATAATTTTGTGAATATGGTGCGCATATATGCGTATGTTGTCGTGGTATCGTTTCTGGTCTTACAGTCTTCGATTTGTCTGTTGGTTTCTTGTCGTTGTGCTTCTCGCTTTTTTCGACTCGTGTGTTCATGAGTGCGGTTATGGAATGTTTTTAGATTCGAGTACATTGAGTATGCCATGAATGCTGCTGCAACGCCGCTTAGAAAACAGAGCGCCACTGTGGCCGCTTTAGTATTCTCTCCGGAATCCGGAAGCGATCGTTGTGTAGAGGGACGCATCGCTGCATGAACACACACTGTCGATGCCGTGTTGTTAAAAAGTAGATAAAAAGAAAAGGCGTTATATGCTCTCGGTCACGGAGTCTTTGGGTGCTATTTAAAACTGCTGCTTGAATTTTTCTGCGGGGTTGTTTTGCAGGAGAAAGAAAGAGAAGGGAGAGGAGAAGACCTACTCTGCTACTGCGACTATTACGGTAGAAAGGACCAAGAAAACGTGAGTGAGAAAAGCAGTGTTTGTTCTCGGTGAGGTTAGAAATGCATACCTTGAAAAAGCACAGTCGAACAAGGAACTAGTTAACGTTGTCGTTATCGTTGTTTTATATATCAGGAGCAAGAGAAAATTTAAGAAGGAACAAAAGTAGAAACGCCGCTGTTCCTTATTATTCACTAACGAAAGCAAAGGTTGGATTAATATCATACACGGTAATGTCTATCGCAAAGCAGCTTCGGTGGTTCACGTTATCACACACGTACAGATAACTTGACTCGCATTCTTTTACTCGATGAAAATCATGGTGGAACACACGTGCATATATACTATCTTGCGTGAAAGGCTATCCATGTGTTGTCCACCATCAACTAAGGAGCTGTCACCTTGCTTTCGAAGCACGTACTTGTTTCCCTCTTTTTATCTGCCTTTTACTCATATTCATTTTCAAGCATCAGTAACTGCTATGTAATCAATCTTGATTATGCTCTTATTTTATTTCTCATGCTACGTTTGACGAACTAGCGATATGTAGAGCATATTGTTTGTGTTGATTATAAATGATGTCAAGCCTCTACCAATGTATGGTACAATGATAGTAGTCGGCGCGCTGTAAGCAACAGCTTACACAACAAGTAATCATCTCCGACTAATCATAACCAGAGAAAATATCAAACAACAGCATGCCACAACAAAGATCAGAAAAAACATCATGATAAAACAAGAACAGGAACATCACCTGTCAACATAAAAGCAAAACATATATAAACCCTGCTCATATCATAGCAAGTAGAGAATCATTCTCTTATATCTTCGGAATTTATATCATCTTTATTATTCTTCTGTAATCCCATTGATGTACCGCAGCTGTATCTTACACGCGCGTAGTCACTGACGATCTTCCCCTTGAAAGAATCCTCAATATCGCTACTCGGGCATAACAAACGTATGTGGGAGACAAAGTTATATGAACTTGTCACGCGCACTCAGGCCTTAGATTTATTGATTGTGGTACAGAAGCTGCTAGGTAAAAGCTTATAAACGCCCAGAATTTGTAAACAACGCAAACAAAAACAATGGCATTGCTCTTTGGCACACAATTGCTACAGAGAAAATGAAACAGCGGTACCGACGGTTTTGAGTTCTTCGTATCTACACCGGAGTATCCGTCACCACGCGTAAAGAAAAGACACTCATAGGTCAACATGGTTTTATCAGCCGACCATCAAAGATAATGGCTTATTGATTATCTATAAAATAACGCTAGGGAGCTCTCTGATCGTCAAACCGCTTCTTACCATATCAAAAAAGAAATGCCGAGGTACAAAAACACAGCACTTTTGAAACGAAAGTGACCATGACAACAAATGATACTTAGGTTTCGGTAGTTTCCAAAGTGATAGACCCCGAATATAGTAGGACAGTGTGCCCAGAAACAAACATCTTCAGCAGATAAAATATGTTGGTTCAGTACCTACTACAAAATGATGGATCTATTTCTTTTCTTTTCTTTTTTTTGCGCGATTGCTATCTGCTGTAGAATTTAAAAATCACATCAGCTTGCATTATGACAGTCAAGTCAATTGTCACCGATTCTGCCGGTGTTGAAACTGATCCCGAGAAACTGGACCGTCATGTGGAGCGACCTGATTCTAACAAGGAGCAAATTGGAGCTGGTGATAACGACGATGACAAGAAGGCCGAGTATTCTTGCACGGCGAGCATCTTTGGAAGAGAAAAAGACGTTGATAATTCAGTGGTTGAGAAGCAGCTCGTCCGGTGAGATAAAGAGCCTCTTTTTGATTATAACCAGTCCCTAGGCTGGGACTGTTCTTCTAGACCGTTTGTAATTCACTAATCCATAGAAAATTGGATATCAAGATAATGATAATCTTATGCGTGTGGGAGATGTGTACACGTTTAGATGGGTATGTTATGTTGCTGTTATTATTACTTGTTTAGTAGCATTACCCATATGTTTAGAAAACCGAAATCATCATCATTATGCATTTACAATAGCATGTTTTTCTACTAGCGGAGGCGTTCTACCACAAGCGAGATTAGCAGGGCTTATGACGGATCTTAGCATGACCGAAGCACAATATCGCTGGTGCTTGATCGCACCATTTCTAGGATTTTTAGCTTTCAGTATACCCATTAATTTGGTCTTACGAAAGTGGCGCCCATCCTATGTAATGGGAGCAATGGCTCTGTTAGTATAAATATTCAGGCTACACAATACTACAAAATTACCCGTCATCTTAGCTTACTGACTACATAAAATGTCTGATACGTATTTTCAAGAGTTTGGGGCGGCGTGACAATGGCATGTGCCGGCGTAACGAATTTTGAAGGACTATTAATATGCCAGATTGTTCAAGGCGTCCCCGCATCTGGTATGTATATATATTTAAATTTTACTAGAGAATATAGATTAAATGATTTTAACTACGATACCATGTAGCAAATGATGCTGCTCAAATGTAAGTATTATGGAGCAGATAAAAAGCCAATCACTAATCATTATATTTTTTTTGTTAATCGGGTTGAACATCTTTAATTCGTTATCCTCTTCTTCTCTTCTGTCGCAAACACGCTCATTTAGGTATTACATCTCCCTGTGGTACAGGAGATGCGAATCTGCTCAACGTTTCGGATGGATGTTGATTGCTGCAGGTCTATTAGCATCCGTTAGAGGGCTTATATCCTATGGTATAACATTTATTCCGACGACAACCATGAACAGCTGGCAATGGTTCGTATATTGTTAAATTTATGATTGCCAATATACTATGCATGTAATTTAGATGTACTCTTGTTATGTTTACGAGGAAAAAGGTTTAATAGTCAAATATTTTATTTTTTTATAGGATGTTTCTATTGTATAGCATACCTTCTGTCCTATGTGGGATATTTTGCCTCCTGCTCCTACCAGATCAGCCAGAAACTGCCACGTTTTTAAACGAGGAAGAGCGAGCCTTAGCCATACAACGCCTGGCCACAGGTAAATAACGTTGTATAGCAATGAAGTCAAACAATGCAATTACAGATATGCAACAAGCAACAGTTTCTTCTCAATATCATCACGAGACTTTTGGTTTATCAAGTGATACTAAGCCGCAAATATACATGGATGTCTTATACATAGAGCAAGCTTTTACTGCAACGCATGCTTGGTCCTGGTTACAAGTTGCTAGCGTGCTTACCGATTGGAAGCTTTACTGCCTCGGTATGATATTCATGCTTGGTGAAATTGCGGGAAGTGGCGCGAGACTGAATATGCCGGCGATTATTGATGGCATTGGAAACTGGGACGAGGCCGTGTCCCTTGCTTTGACAGCACCGCCGTGGGTAGCAACCTGCATCGCTCTGTACTTTTATCCGAAACTATCAGGTACTTTATTGTTGGATGCCGCATTCACAAGATGCTATGTGTGCCTCTACATCATATCGCTGAAAGAGCCCTTGATACACTAACAGTCAAACATCGCTATGATTGGTACTACATTGAAGATCAACTACAGCAACGCGCGTATTTTATAGTCGGATCATTTGTACTGCTTGCTGTTGGCATGCTGCTCATCATGTTTGTGCCAGAACAAGTTGTTGGTGCACGGTATTTTGCTGTGATCATTTACGCCATTAGTGCGGTTAGTACTTTTTTTACTCCCAACATATTCAGCCATCACAAAGCAGCTGAGGGACATTAAATTATCAGTTATCTGATTTTATATAGAGTCTTGATACACCTATCAGAAACGCATGGTGTACTGACAACTTTCAGGGCTGACCCGACGAGCGGTGGCTTCTGCATTCTTATACATGGCGGCGGCTGCCGGGAATACTATTGGTGGTCAGGCATATTTTTGATCCTCCGCGGTACATGATGGGACACACTATTGCGTTGTGTGCTGTTGCCGCAGGAATTGTTTCGACCCTGGGGCTCCGGATTGTGTTGAAACGCATAAACAACGAGCGAATCATGTTGATACAGAATGAATCAAGGAAGCAGGAAGCAATCGCCAGATATGGAGAAAACGTAATCGGCGACAGACATCCAGAATATCGTTATAGCGTATAGTAGTGTATGTATTTGACCTTATACGATCGAATCAAACAGCATTAATTGCGAATGTATATACGATTGAGATTTCCTGTGCTCTATATAGTGGTTCTCGCATTCTTTCAGCTCTTTATATTTATGGGCTGGTACAATGGAGGAAGCAATCATCATACTGCTTGGATAATGCATAGCTTCAAATGTCTCTTTTTTTTAGACCAGCCTACATGCAGTCGGCTCCAGTTTAATGATGCGGGTCATCTATTGCTGAACTATCTTTACATCTCTTAACAACTCGCCAGTATCTACTGTCAATTCTGCTAGGTCTCTACATAGTGATGTTGTAGTAGGACTGTCACCACGGCATTAATCAAATAACTTTTGACGCCACTTATGGCTGTGGGTTTCCTTCGTATTTTGTCACTTCAATTCTCATTTAATGTAACAACACGTACCGTCTTAATTGTCTTTGAATATGTACTGTAAATATGATCGTTGTCAAAAAGTAACCGCTCAATGGAATGTTATGGCATGCATATAGATTAGTACCATGAAAAATCGCGTTATCGTCAATTGATCATACAGAAGGACTTCACACCAAACATCAACCACGTCACACACGTGCAATGATGAGAAGAACCCAAAACTTGCCCTACGATCAACTATGGGTTTGCCTACCGAACTGTTCCTCAGTATCGGTACCCGCTACATAATTACCTGCAACGTAGATACGAGCGACGGACTCGTGAATGGCGCGATGGTACTTACGTAGTATGGACATTGCGACGCATAGACAAAGGGCGGAGGACATTAGACCACTTCGCTTGTGAATTGAGTTCAAGTACGAGCCCACTGATAGAAAGCAGCGAGAGAAATGCCGATCGCTAATGGAGCGAGAAGGCATCAGCGGTTGGACACCACTCGAGCACGTTACAAAGCTCATCAAACCGCGACCGGAATCTACAGTAGGCATCATTAGAATGCAATTCCCGCTGACACATGTTGAAGCGATTACAAGGTCAGACATACGAAGTCGAGGTTATCGTACTGCCTCGAAGACAACCCAATCACTTTTTGCTCTACGTCGCCTGTTCAAGTGCAAAGAGACCAACCGGTCTTTATCTGATCGGAACTTTCCAAGCTCTGACGTCTTCAGCTTGATCGTTAGCTGAGACAGCATTGGCACAAGAGTTGGCAAGGTAACTAACGCGTTTCTGCATGATGATCGAGGGAGGACGCATCAATTTGTATTCCACAATATCCAAAGTCTGCAGAGATACATTACCTTGTATGAAAGGATGCCGTGTATCTCACATCAGACTTCCTATTATTCGCTGAGACATGGACTTTACCAAGCGATACAGACAGCTTGAACATGATAGGTTCAACCTCATCACACGACAAGACTCGAACGCAGACAGAACAGCAAGACGCGCTCTCGGAACGTGTGCTTACATTAGAAGCAAGGCGGTATCCCGCATCCGTCATGAAAGCAGTCACAGCACTAACCCTATGATCAGCTCTCCATCGTCGGATATAACGGTCCACTAATATTATCTCAACGGTATATGCCCGGCCGCGGACGCCAGTGGAGAGTTTGATAAGAGCATTACATGAAATTATCAACAATCATCAAAACGCCGCACATATCATCGCTGGCGATTTTACGTCAACTTTCTCGATGAATCGCACTAAACTGAGCAACTTGAGAATTTCTTTACGCAAAACAATCTGCTGCCGGCCCTTCCAGAAGGTGCCACCACAACACTTGCAAATACCAAGATCGACGAATTTTTTACGAGTTTCCTACCATATCATCACTGCAAATACTTAAATCACTACTTTTCCTTCTTCGCACAACCCTTGTATACTTTTTTTCAATTGCTCAAATAAACTACTTGAATGTTTCAACAGGCAATGTAACCAGCCTAAACCATAAATTCCAAATTTCCAGAGAATGGAAAGCCTTCCCCCATTCGCCGAAGGCGAATTTTTTCAGCTACGAGAGTTGTTTCAAAATTTTGCCGGTCCAGCTAAAGGAGCTGTCACCTTAAGTTCGAAGCACGTCATCTATTTATCTGCCTTTTCTTCATGTTCATGTTTAAGCAGCAGTAGCTGCTATGTAATCAATCTTAATTATGCTCTTAAGCTAGGTTTCCATGCTACGTTTGGCGAACCGGCGTATGTACAGCATATTGTTTGTGTTAATTGATTTACTGCAGGAGAATGATGTCAAGCTACTACCAGTGTATAGTACGATAATCGTAGTCGGCGCTCGTAGTAGTCACCGCTTTTATTTTCCTCTGAAAGAATCTTCAAAACCACAACTCTTCCATTTGATTTTGGCTATAACAAACGTATATGGGAACAAACGTGCCACACGCACTTAAGCCCTAGGTTTTCTGCTTGTAGTATGGAAGTCGTTAAACACGCAGGAAATTTAAACAAAAGCAAACAAGACCATTGGTACGGCGGTTGCTCTCGAAGAATGAGTCATTCTCCCCCTCCTCACCCAGATTCTCAATCTGATTAAAAGTCCGTAAGGTGATGAGTATGTGGGCAGGCGCACATGGAGAAAAGTCAAAATGCGTTCTTCTACAAGCCATGATGGCGTTCGACCACACATATTATATGCATACCCACATATTAGTCGCACTAATAAATAAGGTGCTAACCTTCTATTCCTTACATGTACGATCATGGCAAATTTATCAAGCTTCACCATATCTCACATTTTTTATGACCATGGCAACAAGTGCAGGATAAAGAAGACGCACCTGCCCACATACTCATCATCTAAACTTTTAATAAGATTGAAAATCTGGGGTGGCAAATCGTATAAACTTGCAGATATGAGGAATTGCAAAACTAGGGTAGGACTGTAGTTCCCAAAGTGGTAGACCCCGAATATAGTATAACAGTGTGACCCAAAAACAAACATAAATATTGTTGGATGAGTACCTGCTACAAAGTGATTGATCCATCTCTTTTCTTTTCTTTCTTTTTTGCTCGATTGCTATCTGCTGTAGAACTTAAAACCATCAGCGCGCATTATGACAGCTAAGTCGATTGTCACTGGTACTGCTGGTATTGAGACTGATCCCGAGAAACTGGACCGTCATGTGGAGCGACCTGATTCTAACAAGGAGCAAATTGATGCTGGTGATAACGATGACGACAAGAAGGCCGAGAATTCCTACACCGAGAACATCTATGGAAACGCAAAAGACGTCGATAATTCAGTGCTTGAGAAGCAGCTCGTGCGGTGAGAAAAAATAGCCCCTTTTTTACCAATCACTTGGCTGGGAGTGTTCTTATACATCCTTTGTAATGCTTAACTAGAAAATTGGATATCAAGATAATGTTTATCGTCTGTGCATGGGAGATGTGTACCCGTATCGATGGGTAAGTTATATTATGCCTCATATGTAAAAGAACGAATTATTGCATTAACAATAGTTTTTTTAGTGGAAGCGCTCTACCACAAGCAAGATTAGCAGGGCTTATGACAGATCTTAGCTTGACCGAAGCGCAGTATCGCTGGTGCTTGACCGCACCGTTTTTAGGATTTCTTATTCTAAGTATACCCATCAATTTAGTCTTACGAAATTGGCGCCCATCCTGTGTAATGGGAGTACTAGCTTTGTTAGTATAAATATTTAGACTACACAATACCACAAATTTAACCGCCATAGTAGTTTACTGACTACATGAAACGCTTAATACGTACTTCAAGGATATGGGGCGGCGTGACAATGGCAACTGCTGGTGTAACGAATTTTCAAGGATTATTAACATGCCAGATTGTTCAAGGCATCGCCTCATCTGGTATGTATATATAATATTTTGTTTCTTACTAAACAACATGATATTAACTAAAAATACTATGTAGCAAATGACTCTGTCCAAATGTAAGTATTATGGAGTACATAAATAGTCAATGAAAGCTGTGGTATTGATCACACATGTTGGCCTTGTTGAGAGGCCTTCCCAAAAAAGATTGTATTATTGCTACTACCTCCTTTTTTTCTGACGCACACATATTGATTTAGGTATTACATCTCCCTGTGGTACAGGAGATGCGAATCTGCTCAACGCTTCGGATGGATGTTGATTGCTGCAGGTCTATTAGCATCCGTTAGAGGGCTTATATCCTATGGTATAACATTTATTCCGACGACAACCATGAACAGCTGGCAATGGTTCGTATATTGTTAAATTTATGATTGCCAATATACTATGCATGTAATTTAGATGTACTCTTGTTATGTTTACGAGGAAAAAGGTTTAATAGTCAAATATTTTATTTTTTTATAGGATGTTTCTATTGTATAGCATACCTTCTGTCCTATGTGGGATATTTTGCCTCCTGCTCCTACCAGATCAGCCAGAAACTGCCACGTTTTTAAACGAGGAAGAGCGAGCCTTAGCCATACAACGCCTGGCCACAGGTAAATAACGTTGTATAGCAATGAAGTCAAACAATGCAATTACAGATATGCAACAAGCAACAGTTTCTTCTCAATATCATCACGAGACTTTTGGTTTATCAAGTGATACTAAGCCGCAAATATACATGGATGTCTTATACATAGAGCAAGCATTTACTGCAACGCATGCTTGGTCCTGGTTACAAGTTGCTAGCGTGCTTACCGATTGGAAGCTTTACTGCCTCGGTATGATATTTATGCTTTGTGAAATTGCGGGAAGTGGCGCGAGGCTGAATATGCCGGCGATTATTGATGGCATTGGAAATTGGGACGAGGCCGTGTCCCTTGCTTTGACAGCACCGCCGTGGGTAACAACCTGCATCGCTATGTATTTTTATCCGAAACTATCAGGTACTTTATTGTTGGATGCCGCATTCACAAGATGCTATTTGTGCCTCTACAGCATGTCGTTTGAAAGAGCCCTTAATACACTAACAGTCAAACATCGCTATGATTAACACTACATTGAAGATCAGCTACAGCAACGCGCGTATTTTCTAGTCGGATCATTTGTACTGCTTGCTGTTGGCATGCTGCTCATCATGTTTGTGCCAGAACAAGTTGTTGGTGCACGGTATTTTGCTGTAATCATTTACACCATTGGAATGGTTAGTATATGTTTTTACTCCCAACAAATTGCCATCACAAAACAGTCGAGGGGCATTAAATATCAGTTATCTGATTTTATATAGAGTCTTGACACACCTATCAGAAACGCATGGTGTACTGACAACTTTTCAGGGCTGACCCGACGAGCGGTGGCTTCTGCATTCTTATACATGGCGGCGGCTGCCGGTAATACTATTGGTGGTCAGGCATATTTTGATCCTCCGCGGTACATGATGGGACACACTATTGCGTTGTGTGCTGCTGCCGCAGGAATTGTTTCGACCCTGGGGCTCCGATTTGTGTTGAAACGGATAAACAACGAACGAATCACGTTGGTACAGGATGAATCAAGGAAGCAGGAAGCAATCGCCAGATACGGAGAGAAAGTAGTCGGTGATAGGCATCCAGGTTATCGTTATAACCTATAGTGGTGTATATCATCTTATACGATGGGATCAAACAGCAGTGATTGCGAATGAAATATACGATTCAATTTTTTTGTACATAGTCTTGTGATTCTCGCATTCTGTTTGCTCGTTATATGTATGCGTTGTTACAATGGGCGGCCCACCTGTCTCGCTCTATTTGTATAAAGTATGCATGGTAATATAAGTAATATTGATAAACTTCATTTTTTGTTAGGCTCTTCCTTTTCAAGGAAAATCAAATCCCTTCAATGGAAAGCATAATTGCTGGTGCTGTCGAGCAGTACTTGACGTACCAAGCGAGCTCAAAGTCAAATTAGATGACTATTTGCCCTTATTTGCAAGTCATATAGTGAAGTCCAAGGAAATGATCTAATATGGGCGGATCAGCAGCTTCTTTCGTGTGTTTTAGACAACAATTTTGAATCTCGATAGCAAAAAGCTGGCTTAAGCAATCATGTCAGAAAATTAGCTACGGTAAATCCTTCAAAGCACAGTGGTATGATTAATCCTTCTAGTCTACTGTATGTGTGTGTGAAATCAAAGATTATTTTAGCTACTTTCACACGTCGACAAGTTGATACTTGTATATCACCAGGTGCCCGTTTACATATAAACTGCCACATTTTCGTTTCAGAGGCCATCTTATTGTTTATCACAAGAATGCAAGTTCTTAACTTCGGTGATTTTTGAAGTCTTCAATGGTCTAGATAGCTTTCAGCCTCTGACCTTTTTGATACGGTTGGTTCGGCTTGGTGTTTGCACCTTACCCTTAAGCACAAGCAACAACTGTAAGTACGGTACAAAAGGAATGTGTGCATGAGCTGGAGAGAAGTCGAGTTTCTGTTGGGGATGCTGATGCCATGACGTGCCAAAAGTAGCTGCATCTTTAGAACATCCTGCTCATGATCTTTCTTCTTTTCTTTCTACTTCAGGTTCCGCTTTATGCTGGTTGGGTTCATCGTGCCCGGCGGACAAGAAACAGGTAGTAAGTATAAGCAAAAGGGGGACTTGTACATGGCTAGGTGTCAAATGGCGTGGGTGCTGGAGATGATGTGACAAAGTTGTGCAGTGTGCGCAGCAGCGTGACGAGACAGGATTCGTGATCATGACGTGTGCAGTATGGCAGTCTCTCCTTTTTATTTTCAGAATTGGTCGTGCCCTTCCTGCTTTTCCTCTCTCTAAATCAAGGTTCTCTTCCTCCAATTCAAGGATGCACTAACAGTAAGTAAAGCTGGAAAGAATCTTGTGCTTGTGTATGTCCTTGCGTGATTGGAAAACCAGGAAGATGTCTGCATGACTTGTCGAAAAGTGTATGCAGCTGCTCATAGATGTTTTCCTTTTTAGTATTAGAGGATGGCTCTGCGGTGATCTGTTTGGACTTGGATTGGCTTAGACCCCATCTCTCTCTGTCTATAACTTTGCTGTAAAACGACAAAATAAATGTAAGTATAGCTGGATCTAGCTTGGGGATGGAGGAGGATGGTCATGTCGTGTCAAATCAAAGATAGCACAGTGAGTGCAGCCCTCTAATGACCATTTTTTCATTTCCAGCTAGAAGAGGTGTTTTTTGTCTTGGCTGCGATTCTCGACTCTGCTCTAGCGGGGTGTTCGGCTTTCCTGTGCCTCATCGGCCATGTTGATAAAGGAGTCAAGAATGCAATGCTTTTCAAACATACCTTTCCTTGCATCACAATATTCTTTATATATTATATGAGCTCCACGTGTAAATCAAATATGAATTCTGTCGCGGTATGATGAAAGGCTGAAGCATCATGTAGCCGGTTGAGGTATCAGGACGGGGGTAAATGGTATAGGTTCTATTTATATATCCTGCTGTCTTATGAGCAATATACAGTACTGATAATTTCAGTGTGCACAAGATGCTAACATTATACGCTTGCATTGCTAATTCATAAGAGGCAGTGTTTTGACAGTGAATAAGCTCAACCCTCTTGCACTGGAACCCACTACTTCTGACGCAACACAATTGTATCACTGTTGTTTTAAAAGCGCTGATTCGGCCTTGAACTCCAGGAGGGATCCTCTGGCGACGCGACTGCGAGAATGACTCGAAGCGCAGCGAAGAGCGATCGCTGGTTCATCTTTAAAGTAAAATTTACTCCCGTTTTCCAAGCACTCTATATTAAAGATAGAAACAGCAGTTATAATATCCTGCCGTTATATACATTATATCATAAAGATTTTACAGCAGGAACCACAGATAAATAAAACATCTATGGTATTGACGAGCTTTGGGTACATATATTTCTTTTCGTATGTACGACGCATAAGGACGTCATGTAATCGCAAGGTAATAAACTTAAATGATGGATAGGATGACAGCATAGGATGGCAGCTCATTTTTTTCTTTGTTCTAATACTTTATGGAACCTTCACGTTATCTGAGTTGCCTTATTTCAAATATCACGCCAAGTTGACAAAAAAGCCTTTTGCGTGCTAACCTTAATAAATATGACGAAGAAGCGCTATTGTGCTCAAGCATTACAGCCGCATCTGAAGATTCGGCAAACAACGAGAGTGTAAAACATGCTTGTACTATTTGCACTTCACCTTACGCCAACGGAACAACCTTCTAGCTACTTCAATCAGTTTTTTTATAATATATTCTAAGGTACAAGTTTTTCTGCGTGTTGATATGTCTTTCCCCATCTCCTTTATTTTAAACTTTTCGTAATGTAACATGAAAGTAACACTTGTTTAATTAAGGATTTTGCTTTTAAATTCAAAAGGACGTCATTTAGAATCTGCCGAGAGCGTATCACAATGACTCGTGAAAATCATCGAACCCTAAAAGAATTAAATATAGAAACAGATCGTATGATAACGGACATTTCGTAAAATGTTTGACCCGAGAAAAAAAAAGAGGAACATCGTGTGTGCTCGACAGCAAAGCGTCAAATGTAATGGGAGCCAATTAAAATGCAATTTTCATTGATTCGAGAATGGAAAAATGGTGAGATATAACACACTTTATATATTTTTGCAGCTAGGCATGGACAGTATATTGTTGATCAACCATTCTTTAAGTCTTAATGTTCTGAGCATAGCAGAGAATGAAGATTTTAGCAAGTTTAGCCTTTTGTGGCTAGTTTGTGGTCGGCTCAGCCTCAGCGTGTAAACTTGGACCGACGTTCCCGTTTGCTGATGGAATCTCCCCGCTTGAAGTTTATCTGTATAAAAGGGAGGGTATGCTTCATTTTCGCGAGCCTCTCGCAATTGTTTTATATATACCTTTATAGTACATACTACAATAATATGGCTACAGCGTCGGCATCCTATCCTACCTCACTTACGGCAGTACTAGCTCTTAACGTTACAAACACCGTCCTCTCGGCCGCTGCAGCTGGTGGATCCATATTCATGTCTTATCGTCTTCGTAAACAGTACCAGATGGCATCAATACTTGCATCTCTGTGCTCCGTAGCGATGCTTATATTCCACGCCTTTGCATTCGCTAGATGGATGGGCAACGGAGGATATGCGATGGTTGCAAAGATGCTGTTACTCCAATGCATATTTCCACCTCTGCTGTGGTGTCTTTTATCCTACATAATACGAATCATGGCTTTACCCCGACTACGGTTTCAGGCACCATCGGATGAGATGGCTCAATCAAGAAGTATCCTGCGACTCACTTACTTTATCACGACCGTGCTGGTAATCGCCAGCTTGATACTAGCCATCCTATGGGGCGTTAGTGATTCGCCAAACTTTAATCCTACAATTACTGCCTTCTATTGCGTCTCCGTCATCGGACCTCTCTACCACATGAATGCTTTTTTCTATTCCTTGTACAAGATCAAATATTATCGAGATATTCGTCCGTTTTTAAGTCCTCTTTCGGTGGTGCTTGTCCTTTTGTGCTTGGGCACCCTTGGGGCTTTCGCTGCAGTTCTAGTGGAACTTACTGCACGCAGCAGGGACGATGTTGTCTATTTGATGTATACTGTTATGGTCAGAACCGCAGGATTGGTCGCTTTAATTATGATTACGTTCCTATTCCCTACCGTGTGGATCCGCCGTATCCGGGAGCATGAAATCAAAAACGAGCTGATGCAAGACGACGGTGGTGATGACGCGCAACCATCGTGGAGCCCTAACAGTCCATATGATACGAATCAGCGCGATTACATCACCATTGATAATCAGCAGCAACAGCAGCGACCCTTTGCTCGGGCTCAACACTAGTCGCGCTCAGAAAATATAACATTAAACGAAAGTGTTTTCTGTCGTGAACACAATACACAACATATCATCATGCAAGTGCGTTCCCACAACGCCTTAATTCATATTTACAAATATGTAATACTTGGACTTTCCATTATACCTTATCATATCACCACATGTATACCCACCTTTGTACGTATAAATTCGATGTACTGTAATAACACTGTAAAATCGTGTCTTAATGCATAAATGTTTTTGCACTTATTATCAAACCCCCGTTAAATATACAGTACTCTTGTAATTGTAACATATGTACTTTCGTGGGCGTAATAGCCTAACAGACTTCAGCTTCAAATAATGTACAGCTGGTGGCAGCTGAGCTACATACTATAGTAGATGTCTGTGCTTATGATAGGATTGTCTATATATAGTTGTTGCTAAGTTACATACCGATAGGAAACTCTTGAGAACATAGTCTTTCGGTTGTTTGCTACCAGTAAGCGAATGATTGATGACAGCAAGCATCTTTATATACATTTGTATCATCGTTAAACTTTGAAAAAAAGGATGCGCATACATTTTATATACTGTTATGTTGAATCCTCAAACAAAAGTAAAATAAATAAAAAATTCTAAGAGACTCCTTCCACTGGCTAGTACAACTTTGATGGAAGTTCTCTGCTGCAGTACGGTAGTAATTCATTAAAGCCGCAACAGCTCCCAAGAAAGGCAAATAAACGTTAGGTGTATTTTGATCAATTGAAACAAAAACAGAACAATAAGCATTTGCGTTTTTTACATTACATACACAAAGAATCAAAGGAAAAAGAGGGTTTTTACTAATAATGCAGTATATTTTTTACTGTCTCTTTTCATGCAAAAGACAAGATAGGCGAAAAAGAAGAGGAGATGTTGATGCACTTTTTCTTCTCTCTACACAATGATACACGAATCGAAAATCATTACTACTCAGACCATATCCAGAGACAATACCGGCAACACATCATCAACAACAACACTGTCAGATTACCAACAATGATGATTACGAGGCTGTACCACGACAAAGCAACCAGAACAAAGTGCAGAACAAAACAAGAGACGCTCTAGCTGCAACGATTCCATCGAAAAAGAGCTCTTGTCCTCCTGATTTCTGCCCATCCACTGTTCGGCTATCTTTATTTGCCAGAGGAAGTCATTATGTTTAGTAGCACGAATTCAAGATGATCATTGCATTTTTTCACCCATGCATCTTTAGACAGCCTTGCAAAGTTGTCGCCAATGGTGCTGCTTTTTCTTTGCAGATCGTGTCCTTCGTTTTCTTTGTTCGCATCGTTTTACAAATCTAGTTTGTAGAACTAGAAGAAGGATTACCATGTATTGTTTCTACTCACACGTTAACAAGAACCCTAGTGTCTGCCAAATGATCGTCTCGAAATACTTTTGTTACGTCAAGAAAAACTGGTTCATCAACAAAAAAAATCATATGCAGAAGTGACACTCCTTACTAAAGCAACTTCGGCAACTGTAGCAAACGTTTGTGAGCCATATCATATCAAAAAAGAGTGGAAAAAAAGAAGAGGCTGATGTCTGGCCAATATGTAAAAAACAATGAGGCGTTATACGAAGTGTTATGATTGTTTATTACTAGGTGATGAAATCTGGAATAGCACTTGTGTAAAATAAAGATTCACAGAGAAAAAAGAACTTGAGGATTATTTACAATGAAAGGGATGGAATGTATTAATGACAAAGCAGTTTTATATCGATTAATGGTTGTTTCGTTGAAGCGGGCATAAGCGTTTACGATTTTGAGATGAAGAAAATAATTGGTTAAAGCTTGATGGGTCAATGGTACGGCGATGTCGGTCAGGATTACGCACATTGGCAGACGGAATGCAAATTCTCTCAAATACATCAATTATGAGTAATAGAAGAGGAGCATCCATCACCAATTTCGTCAAATCTTGCAGGTTGTTTGGGATTTAGACTTTGTCAAGTTCAAGAAACGCGTATACACCATTTGCTGGCAACAACAAGATATAAAAAAAACTCCTCGACCAATCGCTTGAATTCCAATTATGGCTTCTATGTTGTGAGTATCCATAGCATCTTTACAGAATGTTGCCACCTGTAAAAGATCTTTGCATAAAAGGAAATGGTTGCTGTCGAATGCTGCTGACTTGACCTCTCCGAAGCCATGGTTGATAGTGAATCGACTGCCGTAAAGACTGGTGATGCAAATGTCAGGTCGGTTTTTGTTCACCAAGTCATCGTTCTTTTTAGCCTCCAAAGTAATCTCGTTTGTCCACCGTAAATACATGCTGCGATTGGGATCGTCGAAAAGACCACATAGAGAATTAATCCTTATCCTTATGATTAATAACAAAATTATGAAACCTACTACATTTAATAGTTTAAATATAATTATTAGAAACATTATAATAATAATCTACATATACAAAAATAATTAATTTTATACTTAATGTTTTTGGTTTTAAAATAATCTTTTAATATTTGTTTTTCATTGAAATCTTTCTCATTTACCTAGGAATTATCTGTTTCATCATAATCTTTCCACTTAACAAGAACTTCATATTCATTATTTTTACTTAATTTATGTTCTATAACTGTTTCAACTTATAAAAATTATTATTTTTGTTAATTTCTCTAATTAAATTTAAATTAATTTTTCTTTCACTTTTATTTTTCTTTCTTTTTTTTTCTATTAATATTTTTATATTCAGGGAAATCTATATCTTCATTATTATCAATTATATGATTATTAGATTCTTCATTATTATTATTATTATCAATAATCATATTATCACTTTCTAATGATAAATCTGATAAATCTTTTTGTAATTCACTCATTATTTTAATTTTTTCATTTGCTTTATCTCATTATTTAAAACTATATCTATTAGTTTTTCATCAGTAGGAAATTTAAAGTTTTTTTCAGCCCATAGTTTATGGTGTTCTTGTGTAATTATATTGAATGTATCTGTAAATAATTGTATATTTTTAAGTAAAAATGCTACTTTTATTTGTAAGTTAATATATTTATAATCATCTGTTTTTAATATAGAGTTAATATTAGAAAATCGTTTAAATTTATTTCCTAAATCACAAAATTGGTTTTCTATAGCTGACCAAAAACTTCTAAATACATCATTAAAATGTTTTTCTTGTATATTCAATTCTTCATTAGGATCTTTTCTAATAGGATATAAGAAATTATTATCACTTAAATGAAATATGTTTCTTTTTACATAAGTCTTCAAACTGTTTAATAAATAATGTGTAACCACCATCAATAGCTAAAACATCTCTTTTATCCATTTTCGTATATAATTTCATGTTTAAAAACATACCACCATCACTACTAACTCCACATAGTTGACTATTAGAAACTGCAATTATAAAATTATTAATATCTGTTAATACTTATGTTCTTAAACCTGATGTTTTTAATTTATATGACCATCGTTTTTGTGCAGAAATGTCAGGCTTATCATATTCAATAGTACTATCATGACCATCTAATAGTAATGTTATATTTTTAAAATTTTTAGGGTTTTTTATTAATGCAGAATAAATTCTTATTTTAATATTAGAAAACATATTTTTTAGACATATATCTACATATTTATTCAAACTATCATAATTTGTTATCCAAAATTCTTTATAAATTTATAGAATGATGTATATGGTATATTTCGTTTCATATCTTTAGATATAATACCTGATACAAGATGATATATTAAATATAACCCTTTTTCAATTTAAAAATATGGTGAAGGAGAATCCTTATGTGTATATAATTTAGTTAAAATAAAAAATACAGAAGTATATCCTAACTTTTGTAATAATTCTTTTTTAATTTCATCTATTTCTTTAATATATTTCAATTCTGTTCGATGCTTATAATTATTTTGTTTTTTCTTCCAATTTTCATTTATAAATCCCCATTCATTTATAATTAATTTATCTATCTCTTCCTGTAATAATGTCTTATATTTTAAAACTTCTTCTTTATTTAGTGAGCTATTATATTCATCAAATACTATTTTGAAAATTTACAGGATTTTTCATCTCCTAGCGGACGTTTGAACTTTTATTTAGGCAGAAGGGATTTAATTTTAGGCAGAGTGGACATGAATGTTAAACTGAGTGGACATGAATGAAAATCGAGCTGGACATGAATGAAAATTGATCTGGACATGAATGAAAATCGAGCTGGACATGAATGAAAATCGAGCTGAACATGAATGAAAATTGAGCTGGACATGAATGAAAATCGATCTAGACTTGAATGAAAATCGAGCTGGACATGAATGAAAATCGAGCTGGACATGAATGAAAATCGAGCTGGACATGAATAAAGATCGAGCTGGACATGAGTATAAAACGATCTGGACATGAATATAAATCGATCTGGACATGAGTAAAACCAATCTGGACAAGATAAAAATCAATCTGTACATGAATGAAAATCATTCTGTACATGAATGAAAATCATTCTGGACAAGAATAATAATCAATCTAAACATGAATAATAGACAACCTGGACATAATAACAGTCAACTAAGACATAATAAAAGTTGAAGTAGATAATATATTAAGTGTTGTAGCAGAGCAGAATATTTGAGTATCTAAGATTTTCAATTCAAGTCAAGACATAATAGATGTTAAGCAGTACAAAGCCAATGTCACGATATAGTAGTATGGCTGTTTCACTCGTGACAAGAAGCTTGTAGGCTAATGTATAGGAAATGGCAAGGGTGCGTCAGAGACTCACTGTGCGCATAAGCCTATTTTGCTGCTGTGGGAACAGGGCCTGAGCATTTCCCCACATTTCATTTTACCTGGGTTGAGTTTGAAACAAATTGGAGTTTGTTAGCAGCAGCAGGGAGGAAAAAATCAACAACCAAAGATCCTTTTTCTTTCTCAATACCATTCGCCACGGCAAATCAACAGCTTCGACGCACACTTGTAAATGGCTCCTACTCTCTTCACGATGAATAAAAAACAAAGAAAACAAAACGGCACAATCCACGGATTTATTTGAAAAACGAAATGAAGGTAACTGTTTTCTTAAAAAAAGCATGTGCTCATGATTTATTAGGAGTAGACCGCCGTTACTGCTGCTTAAAAAAACGCTGGGTAAGTGAACAAGGGAAGGAAAAGGTTATCGGGTGTGCTTGAGGTATAGATTTAGTGGATATATGCCCATTCAGAATCACTGCTTCTTTCTCTTTTTCTATGTATATACTTATGCACCATCTTGTACTATTCCAACGTCAAACTTACGTGCGTAATACAACATCGTCCTCTACCTGCACAAACCATTCGTACTCACAACAAGAACGACGCAACAATCTTCCTCTCCATTACTCATACACAATTATATACAACATGACGCTGATCCGCCATTGACTTGCAAATTATACAGCCTGACGCGATTACTCTTTTCCTTTTGCATATACCAACGTTAACATCGCCGGTCTTCATGGATAAATGAGCTGTAGATAGCAGGAAAGATAACTGACGGGTTTCTTTCCTTTTGTGTTGCTGTGGATTGGATGAAAATAAAGTATGATGACCGTTATATAAGAAAGATAACAAAGAAGGTTCTATAAGAGTTATACAAGTGCGAAGGATGTTGTTTCGTGGTGAAGGATGGTTATTGTAATTATTGATATTGCATGGCAGGGCGTCTGGTGCCATGCACAGTCTCGCGTTTGTGAACCCATTTGTAGCCACACAATTCCGAGATGCGATCCTTGAAGATCTGCCATCGAGCAGTAGGAACGCACACGATTTCATTAGGAATGAGTGCAAGAACTCCACGTCGAGTGAGAGAGAGCGTAGCGAATGTCGTCAAGGGTAGTAACTTGTCGGTTGTTCATAGTTGTTGTTATTAACAACAAATAAAGTTGCTGTTGTAATAGCAAAGAAACTTCCTCCTTCATAACAACAAACACCTTTTCTTCTTTGTCCCTGCCATATTATCATCACCGCTCAGAGCTATATCTATAGTTTTTATAGAAGCACTTGTAATAACATGCAATCCCATCTCACACCCGTTTATGCAGACAACTGAAACATAATGACTACATAATGTATGATCTTTTACTTTTATTTTTTTCATCCCAACCATAACATCTACAGTAACAATGATAAAACCCTACATTACACACCGTCAGCATATATAACTACCTTATCCATCAAGACCGGCAATGTTCGTGTTGGCATATGCAAAAAGAAAAAGGTAATCGTTGTTGCCATCGTGTGTGTGCGAGTACAGCAAATTGCAGAGGAGGATTATAGTTGTGGTGGTGTGTATGCATCATAGGAATATAATTATCATCGCATTGATGTGAATACAAACAGCAAAGAAAGAGATGACCGTCATTACGATGATGATGTGCTTGAGCGTACAAGTATTAAAACAAAAAGACCGGCGTCATAGTCGTCATCGTGTAATATGGGCGTACATGATAGTGAAAAATAAATGCGTCAGGCTGTATATTTTGCAAGTCAATGGCGGATCAGCGTCATGTTGTATATGATTGTGTTTGAGTAATGGAGAAGAAGATTGTGGCGTCGTTCTTGTTGTGAGTACGAATGGTTTGTGCAGGTAGAGGACGATGTTGTATTACGCACGTAAGTTTGACGTTGGAATGGTACAAGATGGTGCATAAGTATATACATAGAAAAAGAGAAAGAAGCAGTGATTCTGAATGGGCATATATCCACTAAATCTATACCTCAAGCACACCCGATAACCTTTTCCTTCCCTTGTTCACTTACCCAGCGTTTTTTTAAGCAGCAGTAACGGCGGTCTACTCCTTATAAATCATGAGCACATGCTTTTTTTAAGAAAACAGTTACCTTCATTTCGTTTTTCAAATAAATCCGTGGATTGTGCCGTTTTGTTTTCTTTGTTTTTTATTCATCGTGAAGAGAGTAGGAGCCATTTACAAGTGTGCGTCGAAGCTGTTGATTTGCCGTGGCGAATGGTATTGAGAAAGAAAAAGGATCTTTGGTTGTTGATTTTTTCCTCCCTGCTGCTGCTAACAAACTCCAATTTGTTTCAAACTCAACCCAGGTAAAATGAAATGTGGGGAAATGCTCAGGCCCTGTTCCCACAGCAGCAAAATAGGCTTATGCGCACAGTGAGTCTCTGACGCACCCTTGCCATTTCCTATACATTAGCCTACAAGCTTCTTGTCACGAGTGAAACAGCCATACTACTATATCGTGATATTGGCTTTGTACTGCTTAACATCTATTATGTCTTGACTTGAATTGAAAATCTTAGATACTCAAATATTCTGCTCTGCTACAACACTTAATATATTATCTACTTCAACTTTTATTATGTCTTAGTTGACTGTTATTATGTCCAGGTTGTCTATTATTCATGTTTAGATTGATTATTATTCTTGTCCAGAATGATTTTCATTCATGTACAGAATGATTTTCATTCATGTACAGATTGATTTTTATCTTGTCCAGATTGGTTTTACTCATGTCCAGATCGATTTATATTCATGTCCAGATCGTTTTATACTCATGTCCAGCTCGATCTTTATTCATGTCCAGCTCGATTTTCATTCATGTCCAGCTCGATTTTCATTTAAGTCTAGATCGATTTTCATTCATGTCCAGCTCAATTTTCATTCATGTCCACTCAGATTAACATTCATGTCCACTCTGCCTAAAATTAAATCCCTTCTGCATAAATAAAAGTTCAAACGTCTGCTAGGAGATGAAAAATCCTGTACTTTACCTTACAGAGATAATGAAAAAATGTATTGTCCTTTAGGATCATGGAAAGGATGGTATTTTTCTGAAGAATTAAAACAATCTAAAGAATTTAATTATGAAATTAATGTTTTATATGGTTATCAATTTGATAGAGGTAAAGATGTCTTTGAAAATTATGTCCTAACTTGTTATTTCTATAAACAAAGAACAAAGGTCCATTACGAGAAATTTATAAATTATTATAAAATTCATTATTTGGAAGAATAGGTATGAATGAAATTAGTGATTTATTTTTTTTTGATAAATAAAGAAGAAAAGGATAAATTATTAACTTCCCATATTATTAATACTATTTTTGAATTACCTGAAAACAAATATTTAGTTAGATATAATATTACTCCTGATCAAAATTTATGTGAATTATCTGAATAAGATATTAATAATGAACTTCTAAAATATGATTCTTCAAAAAGAACTGTTTCATAATCTGTTCCTATTGCAGCAGCAGTTACAGCTTATTCACGAATGTATATGAATAAATTAATGCATTTAAAAGGGTATATATATTATTATACAGATACAGATTCTTTAATTGTAGATAAAGCTTTACCTTCTAAATATGTAGGAACAGAATTAGGACAATTAAAATTAGAATATTCTAATTTTAATGGTTTATATATAGGTCCTAAAATATATTTAGTTGATAAATATAATAGTGATATAATTATTAAAGCAAGAACTATTGGGTCTGATTTAACACCTCAAGATTTTAATAAACTTGCTGCAGGTATTTCTGTTACTAATATAAAACGAAATGGTTTAAAAATCTATATACAGCCAATATTCAAATTATAAACACAGAGATAAGATTATCATTTAATTTTAACAAACGAAAAAAAGTGTTTATGAATGGTGAATGGGTTAGTACTGCACCTTTAAATATTAATGAATAAATATAATTTTAATAAAAAGCTGTTAATAAATTTATTAATGTTTTTATGGAACATAATATTTTACAGAATATTTTGTTCCTTTTTTTGTAATTAAATACAATTTTTATATTACTTTTAATAGTATTTAATGAAATTGATAAATGAAATAAAGATTTTAACTTATTAGAAACCGGGGGTGGGATTGGAGGCTCCTTGTTACCTTTATTTTATAAAAAGGGAATTTAAAATTACAGGATTATCTTTATGTTTTATTAAGATTATTTTTACCACTTTAAACTATCCTTCTTCAATACGTATACCATAAAAAAAACCCCATCTCCATTTATTATCTAGATAATGAGGAAAAAAACATTTTTGTTTTTTATTAATTTAATATTTAATTAATAAAATAAGTTGATTTCATTAATTGTGTTGTTAAGTTTAATGTTTTCTTAAATTCTGGTTTATGGGGAATATTATAAACATTATTATTATTATTATCAATTACTATAGTTTTATCAACATTAATTAAGTAATTTTTACTAATATAATCTAAGATAAATTTGTGAAGATTATTAATAAACTCATCATTACCATAAATTCTAATAAAACTTATTTTAACCATGTTTTGAAGAATATATACATCATTAGCATTTGTAGCAAAACAATCATGTACAGTTAAAATATTTATATTTTTTTCTTTAGATAAAATTTTTTTAATAAATAATGCTACATGACTTCTATACATTGAATGTACAAAATTAGGAATATATGCATTTACTTATTTAATTTTATTAATTTTTTCTTTAATAGGACTTTTTACAAGAATTTTCTTGGTTTTACCTAAAACTTTAGTAGATAAGGTTACAGATGTGAATTTCACATATTTTTGACTAATTAATAATCCTGAAGGAGTAATCCAAACAATAGGAAGGTTTAAATTAAATATTAATAAAACCATATTATTAAAATAGTTAGATAATTCATTTAATTTAGGATGTATAACATATAATGATTTATGAATAATTTTAGCTAATAACATTAATTCTTTACTTGTAATTAAAGTTAATTTATTCTCATCTTTAAGTTTATAAAACATTTTCCCATTAATTTTTTTATATATAGAAAAATGATCTTGAATTAATTGATTATAAATTCCTTTAATCTTAACTCCATATGAAATAGTTATTAAACTTCTTTTTACAATCTTTCTATTTAATACTAAACCCTTTAATCTGGCATACTTTAAATCACATTCCTCTATTTTCTTAATTTCTTCATTAATAAATTTAATATTAAACTATAAAGATCATTAGGATCATCTTTTATATCAGATTCAACTAAATTAACTTTACTAGCTAGATCAAAATCAAGAATCATTGCAGCTAAATGTTGTACACCATTACATGTTACATCTAAATAAATTGGTAATCTAGAAATAAAGTTTAATGGATCCTTATTATAACCTTATAACTCAAAACAAAAAGCTAAAAATAACATAGGTACATCAGCTTTTCTCCATAATCCTGAATTTTAATCTAAGATTTCTGAAAAATGTTGATCAACCTATTCTAATCTTTTGGTAATAGATAATTTATTTAATCCAAAAGCATTTGCTCCATAAACCTTTAATGAATTTAATCCATTTTCAGATAATACATTACCTTTTTTGAATAACAAATATAATCTTGCTAATTCACCACCTTGGAAATTTAATTCACCCCCTTAGCAATAAACTCTTCCTCTCCAGTCTAAAAAGAAAGTAAAATAAAATTGTTCAACATCTCTATAAAGTTTAGCAATAGTTAAAATTGAATTATTATATAAGAATTTACTATTATGAGATGTAATTTCAAATTCTTTTTCTTTATTATTCTTTTTAATAATCTCACTCATTTCATCTGTCTCCTTATGTAATGTTCTAATAATTAAATCATCATTAAGTGGCAGATTCATTAGAAAATCTAATACTTTAAGATTAATATTGAAACCAATAGATGACATATAATTAACCATTTTAATTGTCATTTTATTTATAAATTTAATATTTGATTCAGTAAATCTTTTACTTCTAATTAAAGGATTAAAATTCTTAATATTATTAGTAATATATCCACCATATGTCTTAAATTCTTTGTTATCATTTAATTCCCAATAAATAGGTGGATATACTATAGGTAATTCATGACCATCAATCATACCTAAATATTTAATATAGTTTTTCAATTGGTAACTAGGAATAATTTCTCTATGAGTTTTTTTACTTTTAACATCATATCGTTCTAAGATATTAAAAAGATCACTTTTCATATCCAAATAACTAATAACAGTACCACCAATATTAATAAAATTCTCTTCATTTATTGTAAAATTTTTCAAATATAAATTAAAAGTTACAATATCCTTAGATTTATCATCAACTTCTTTAATATATTTTTGATATAAACATTCTTTATATAAAGTTTTTCCTAATCTATGAAATAAAGTAGTAACTGATTGTTCTTTATTATCTTCATATTTCATAATAAAGGGGATTAACAAACTTAAAATCAAGAACAGCATCAAGGATTTATCTATTTCTTTAAACATAAAAAGATATTTTTTGTTTCTAATATATTTTTCATTTTCAAAATACATTTTTAAGTCATCTTCTAATAACTTATAGTTATTTAAAAATATTCTAAACCCAGGATTTGTATTTAAGAAATCCTTAGACTTACTCATTTTTTCTAGTTTTTTCAACCATAAAGAATGTAATTTTTCTTCTAAATTTAATTGTTTTTCTTTAAGAGATAAAGTATCGTTTGATAAAATTTCTTTAATAGTAATATAACCACTAGAATTTTCATTTGTAAGAGAAAAATCTTTTAAATCATTAAAAGTTGAATTTAAAATATTATTTTCTGAAGGGTTTTTATTTATACATACCACTGAAGGTAATAAAGCTAAAAGTAAATTATCCGGAGTATTAATCCAGATATTACTAGTAATTAAACCATCAGGTGTTTTAATCCTGATGTAACTTGAAATAAGCTCTGTAAAAGAGTTTAAATCGCAGGTATTCGAAGGGAAAATAGGGCAATCGCTAAAAATATAGAATAAGTTTGTAAACATCATATTTTTAAAGTAAGTAAGTAATTAGATAGCATCTAATTTTTAGTAATGATTTATTTAGTTTCAAGATTAATTATCTCTACTTACAGTACCGCCACGAGAAGGCATAAATCAAGGTACCGGGGGAGAATTTTATAAAATAATAATAATAAAATAATAATAATAATCTTTTATATGAATCATCAACCCAGAATGATTCGTTTAAATAATAGCAAATAACTAAAATTCCAATATGACATAATAACATAATTATTAATAATACAAAATTATTCCAATCTCTTAATGAAATAACAAGGCAAACTAATTTATGTAATAAAGGTCTATTCTTAATAAATTCTCGTTCTTCAATTTTAATTAGTTTACTTAACATACCTATAATTAAGAAGAAACAACCAAGAATTCCAATAAATGTAAATAGACAAACACATAAAATTAAAATAGGAGTAGGATTTCCATCACTACCTCTAAAATATTCATTTAATAAATTAAATACATCTTGTGGATTTTCAATTAATTTTGAAATGAATTCTACAAAATTATTACTATTTTCATTTGGAGAATTAATTTTGAAGTTTCCATCTGGTGGAGGACTACCAGATCTTTCAATAGAGTGATAATACATTCTTTCACACATTTCTCTCATTTTTTTTCTTTCTTCATAGTTATGATTCATCATTTCACCTATATCCATAAGTAGCAAAACCACCAATAGTACCAACAACACCTAAAAACAATCCATTTCTAGGATTTGTTTTTGCAATTTTAACTGCAGCAGTTATTGTTGTTCCAGAAAGAATTCCCGCAGCAACTCCAGGAGAAGTAATTGGTTTATCATTATTAGAATTACTATTGATGGATGATTATTTGACCCTGCACCTCCATCTCCAAAATTAACATTAAAGTATTTTTGATGAAGGATTTGTATTAGATGAATTAGGGGCAGAACTTATATAAATTAATAAACCTAGTAATACTAAACCTAAAGAGCCTGTAAAAATGTTAGAAAGATTATCATTTAAGAAGTGAATAAATTCTATAAAATAAAGATGAATAGAATCAACTAGAATATTAGGAATTAAAAATACAGATGCAAATCTAAAATGATTTTTATCTGTAGAATAGTAATACTTATGTTTATAAACTTAATAATGGATAGAATATTATTCTGTAATAAAGAATAATAAGTTTGTAATAATCTATTACATCTATAAATAAGTATTTTAAACCAATAATTAGAAATAACCCAAACTAAGTTTAAAGTTAATCGCAGGATATGAAGGGGGAATAGGGTGATTGCTAAAATTTTAAAAGATATTTTTACAAACATTTTTTTTTATAAATTAATAAAATTAGATAGCATCAGTTAAATAACACTACTTTTTTAAAAAATAAAGACATTTAGTTTCTCATTAAATAATGATACTTATAGAATCCACCTCAAAAAGGTATGTCTGAATAAGATCCTATCTAGAAGGAAAGAAGTATGTTTGTTTTCTTTCCTTCTAAAGGAGGATATGTAAATAACTGTTTCGTGTTAAACCCATTACCCCCACTGGCATCGAGAGATTGTACCATGATATGGTTTTGATGATCTGGAGGTACAAAACTGATGCCACTCGGATCCAAGAGCTCATTTTCGATGGTGTGGCAGCTAAAGCATCTTTTGTTCTGTTCCACACTTTGCTCAGGTTCTTCTGTTGTTCATACAGCCTCGGAATCATCGTTGTTGGTACTTTGACGATGTTGTTGTTGACGATGCATTGGAGGTATTATGCCTGGATGATCGGAATAGTAGTGATCTTTTAGTTCCTGCACTGTTGAATAATGCTGCAGATAAGCAGGACAGCCGAGCTGCTCTTCGATCGAATCATGCGCAGTAGTTGTTTTGATGTAGGTGAAATTATTATTGCTGTGCCATTGAGCTCTAGTTCTGTCAGGAATAGTAATGGAATGCTTAGTGACTAGGTACTTCCTCAGGCTTTGAGGTTGGGCAACTCTTTGGTTGCATTCGAAGCAAGCGTTTATGATTACGACAAGCTTTGCCATTGGGTTTAAAGAATGAGAAATGTTGGGAAGAGTTTCAGTGAGACTCTGTAAGACGTTATATCCATGGATACTCGCTTAGTGTGACCGGTCATAATCAACCCTGCCCCATCCGCCATTCCTATATGCTGTTCCTTGCGCAACATGGCTCTTTCCGTTCCCAAACCACACCCCCCAGGGGGCTCTTGATAGTAGCACCCAAAACAATGCCGGAAACTCGAATTCACTGTGGACGCATGACCACGTCGCTGACTGAACATGATTCATCAACTGTCAAGGACACGCTGTGACAGTTAACAGCAGACAACGTATACATTGATTCTTATTTGCTTCGACGCGGAACCGAAGAGTTTAGCGTTTTCTTTGATACCACAGCCCATCCAGTTCAAGAATCAGAATTCTTTCGCGTATCCAGAGAACTTTTTCCAGATTTTAACATTGGCGTAGGTCTCCTACCCCATCGCAATAAAAAAACAAGTGCCTCACGAGATGACATTCACTGATGAAACGACGTGCCAATTAGCAGTCGAAAAAGGAGTGGAGGTTGCGGGTCATCATTACTGAGCTGTTCGTTCATTGCCCCCTGAACAACAACTCACGAAATTGGAATTGTCTCATTTACCAACTGGTTTGGAAACTGGTGACCTTGAGTTCAAGTCAAGATCATCCTTGTCCAAATTTAGGCATGTATTGCACTTAGACCTATACTGGTCAGTGGCAGGCAGCTGGTTCCAAGCAAGGGTTTTGCTCTGCTGATGATACCTAAAGGACGAAAACGACGGCCGATATGAAACTCTCACGCATTGTATCAACTTTGGGGCGATTCACAATCGCAACCGTGTTTTCTACGCCACTGGCAATTTATGGGTGATTATTGCAGATATTGTCACTCTCAGGATCACATGATCAAAGATTGCCTCGATCGCCCCGATTGTGGTAAACTAAGATCCGGTACAGACAGATGTCTTGATAGAAGGTTTCTCTTTACCGCACTGGGATCCAATAAGGGACACGGTTGCGCACATGCACCTAGCTGGATTGAAATGTGAATCCTTCATATAACTCAGTAAAGAAACCAAGTATAAAACAACCGTCTAAGAACACATCTCAAACCATCATAAAAGTTTTTTATTCGTTCTTACAGCAAAGCACCAGTAAGGTCCTTGCTGACAAAGAAGTTGATAAGCTTTCCACCTTCAGATCTGTTTCTCCGTTAAGACCGAGTTCTCAAACAATGTTTGAAAGTTAGATATAAAAGAAGATAGTTTCTATAGCTGATATTGTACTTTGTTCAATCTTTTGAAATAATCTATCCTCAAACGACTTATCTGTCTTTGTTTATTTCAATTTACCACACCGATCCCGAATGCTTCAATTGTGGTCGAAAAGGCCATATCTCTGTGTCTTGCCCACAACCACGAAACAACTACCCACGTAAGACGCCCAAGACAGAACAATCCACCGAGTCAACATCCCCGCGTAAGAAGGAAGGTCAAGGTAGCTCGAATCCCAAGGATACTAAGGGAACGCATGCTCCAACAAAAAACAAGTTGCCTGGGACCCCAAAGGTACAGAAGAGTCAACCTAATAAGGGCACTGACAAAGCCCCCACCAAAGTCTGGCTCCTGGTAAAGGATCCCGATCAAAAAAAGGTTGAAGCACAAGAAAAGGAAAAGCAGGAAACAGATTGGACGAAGACACTCGAAAGATCCCGACGGTTAGCTGGAAAAACCAGTGCTTCTGCCAGCAACGTTGAATGGCCCGAGGACAGACAGTTCGAGGACATTAGTGGAGATAAGTCTGGGCAGGAATCCAGCTCAGAACCTGGAGACGAAGATATGGAATCCCGACACACATCAGACGACGAGGAAGCTCAAACTGGTGCGGATGATGCGATGGAGGAGGACAACGAAGAGCTTGATCTGCTTGTGCGGGACGCCAGCTTACCAATTAACACCGTCATCAAAACATGCAAGAACAAGGAAAATCAGGCACTAATGCGTCACGCCACAACCCGAATACCATTAACGCAGTTGCATCCGCTTATGTCACTGCCCAGTCGACCTCTTCAGCTCCTTCCACCTCCGCAATCACAAACGATGTTTCGGGGAATGGGATGAGTACGTAATCTAGAATCATATCAAGACTAGGAAAACAAAGCCTTTTCCTAACAAACAAAAGAAACAAAAGAAACAAAAGAAAAAGAAAAAGAAAAAGAAGAGAATTACAATGAAAGTCAATCAATGTTAGATGTCTCATCAAACTCAATCCACAATCAACAAACTACTTCATGCGTCACTTGCGACAACAATCCTTGGATCTGCTGGCGTTACAAGAAACATTTATCCTTGACAGTGTCGACGCACGACAAATTTAAGATCGCTTTCAGGCACGTTCCGGTGTATGGAGTCGATCTTGTGGCATCATCAATTTCGCTGCACAAGCTTCATGTCGTACTAATTTTCATCACCAGAGATGGTCGAGGAATACTGGTAAATATACAACATGCAACAACGAATTCCACCCGTTCAACGTTCATATTATCTATGCACCATCTGGTACGAATCGACACGCCCGTTTGGTATTTTACAGTCTGCCTATTCTCTGTTATCCACATCGTGCGCGTCAGAACAACTCAACAACACACTAATTCTGGGGGATTTCAATTATTCCTACGCTCGCACGGACTCGTCTTTCCAATCAGCTCCAGTCGAATGGCGTGTTTTTCTACAAGAACGTAATGACTACCACAGACCATGGCGGGCACTTGGCGTCGACGTTTCAACGTGGATCCAGCTCGTCATCTATCGACTACATATTTGCGTCACCAGCACTTGCACTCATATGTTCAACTCCCAACATTGGCTTCATCTACTCGACTTGGACTGATCAGTGTTTGATCTCGACAATCTTACGCCTTCCAAGCAGCAGCAACCGGGGTCTTGACATGTGGCGAGTAAATCCTAGGATGATGTGTTCGTCTGCTTTTCATCAACAACTTAAAGATGCATTAACAGCAGCTCATCCGACGATCAACAATTGTGACAACGCTCGCGAGGCTTGGGACGACGTGAAGCAGATCGTAGAAGAGACGTGCCGTAAACATGGGCGATATCAAGCAAAAAAACAGCAACTTCAAGAAAAACATTTACAACGGCTACGCAATAAAATGATGCGTCAACTCAAAATCACCAGTGAGCGACCAAGTCGGCTGGAAGCTGTATGTGCCGAGCTTGCTGACATTCAGACGGAGCGTGCGCACATCATGGCACTCAAGGCAAACGCTCGATGGCGGGAGCACGGGGAGAATTCAGCAGGATACCTGCAAAGGACGGCGAAGCATCGACAAGCTCAAAGATATATCCCAGAATTACAACATCCAGAAACTGGCATTATTGACTCTTCCCTTGAATACATTCATGAAGCCGCAAGGTTGTTTTACTCGTCTTTATACACACCTGATCATGTGGAAGAGGATGCAATTTCGGACCTTCTTGATCATATACCGCCCACCTGTGTTCTATCGGAAGAGTCCCGTCAAGCGCTAACAACTGAATTCACGGTCGATGACTTGACCACCGCCGCTCGCCGAGCGCCAAACAAAGCAGTCCGGGTATAGACGGGCTACCATACAACATGATTGACGCAATCTTTCAACACCCCCTGTTTTCGAATCTAGCTGTAAGGTATACAATGATGCATTGCAACAAGCGACATTTCCAACGTCATGGTCAGAAACGTCTATCTGTTTACTTCCCAAGAAAGGTGATCTCTCCACACATGAGAATTAGAGACCAATCGCCTTGATCAATTAGATTCGAAAGTATATACTCGACTACTCAACGCACGCATCGTCAAGGTCAGCGAATCGCTTATCAACAAATATCAAAGTGGATATTTACACGGTCGATACATTGCCGACAATGGGCTGGCGGTCGAGCTTGCAATGGATCATGCCACAAGCATCAACGCGGACGATATTGGTCTGACAATAGATATGGTCAAGGCATATGACCGGGTCCATCCAGCTATCTAGTCCGATGTTTAGAAAGATGGGGGTTTCCCCCAAGAGACAATATCATGCATTCATTCCCTTTTCTTTGGCACAAATATCCAAACCAACATCAATGGCACACTATCAACAGGCATTCAGCAACAAAGAGGAGTTCGCCAAGGTGACCCGTTGTCCTGTACTCTTCAATCTGGCGCTTGAACCCTTTTTACGGCGTATTTTACACGATCCAATGACATGGCTACCAGCTGCAAACGCTTGTAAATGACGACGGCTCAACAGACGACATTTTGGACAACAACAACACAACCAAGCTTAAATTTCTTGCGTACGCCGACGATTTTTTCATCTTCATTCACGACGCTCAAGATATGCAAAGGATTTACATGCACCTGAATACGTACTCGACAGCGTCAAATGCCAAGATCAATTTGGCTAAGACACATGCGATATCACTATCTGGCAAAGCATCATCTCAGCTCAAAGACCTCATACAACAATCTGGTATTAACTCGTGGTTCGACAGACTGTCGCTTCAACCACTGGTATATCTGGGATATTCACTTCACTGCTCGCCAATGCAACGCGACGTTTTCTTTGACGCATTAGTCAACAGTCTACAATCAGCCCTCAACTTGCACTCGCAAGGATTTTTATCGGTACGTGGCCGAGCAACAATCATCAATGTTCTTGTTCTATCCAAACTATGGCATGTGATCCGTATCTGTCCGGCTCCACAGTCCTTCTTTAGCAAAATACGCAAGGTGTGCCAGGCCTTTTTGACGAAACGCATGTTTCCCAAAATCGCATATCCAAATTTATCAGCAAAACGAGAATCTGGTAGTGTTGCTATTTTACATCCTCCCGCACAACATGCAGCGCTACAGTTACGATGGATCCAGTCCTTGTTTGAGGAAAACCACCCACAACGCTCTTTCATACATTCCTGGATCTACAATATCCTTGCTGCTTGGGTGTCGAATCAAGATCCTCTTATGTGTCTGTTATTCTCGCGCTTACGACCTGCCATCATTACAAAGTTCGTATCCGTCATCAAATCGCTCTGTGATGTAGTGGATCATTTTTACATGGATACTCAACAACCGGTACTAGCGACTGCAACAATTCTCCAACTGCACATTATGGACTTCTTTGCTCCAATATCAAGGCCAATAACTGCAGAGCTGGACACGTTCCTGAAGAGGATCGATAAGCATCGGATATTGGTGACTGATCTGTTCACTCGGGATGATTCCCTTAGATGTTTACGCCGAAGGACAAGGACTCAACATCAGGTCTTCCCGCGCTTATTATCGACAATCACCCGTTATATGGACTTAGGCGAAATAGGAGTACGCACATTTGCTCTTTGTTACTTACTCCTTCAAGCCTGCTGTTATCACGTGACGGTGATCTGGGTTCAAGACAACATACAGTATCAGAGGTTGCGAAATGGCTTAATAACAAGGATTTGTGTCTGGCCACTACCACAACAAAGCGATTACGTCAGTCAGTCATTGGAAAGTTTACCCTGGAAAACAGTTGGAAAAAGGCCACTCTGGATACAAAGCAATGGTGCTCCTTTTGGAAGTTCGAATCGTCGACGACGGCCAGGAACGTATGGTTTCGCCTGCTACACGGAAAACTATCATGCAGGGCAATGTTATACAAGATACTTCCGCAGGAGTTCGAGTCGAGCACCTATCCGATATGCAACGATGAGATCGAGGATGCTAGACACTTTCTGTACAGCTGCCGTATGAAATGGCCCGTATGGTTATCTGTGCTATCAGATCTACTGCTGACCAACATATCAACTGATATGGTACAAGATGGCATTTTTTCTCTCACATTCCCTCCAAATCCCCCTCGTACTGCTTGCCACATGATTTTCGCCTTCATCATAGAAACATCTGGAAAGCTCATTGGAACTATGTCTTCAATAACGCTCCTTTCACCCCCGAAAGCATTATTTTTTCCACTCATTCACAACTTCATAGTTTTTCCGCCCAAATGTGTATCCCTTCTACTTCTGTATCTTAAAGCATTTACTGCTCAATATGACGTAGTCTGAAATAAAATTCGACGCTTCCATTCGCGCGCCTAAAAAAAATGTTTAGTAGCACGAATTTAAGATGATTATTGCATTTTTTCACCCATGCATCTTTGGACAGCCTTGCAAAGTTGTCGCCAATGCTGCTTTTTCTTTAAAGATCGTGTCCTTCGTTTTCTTTGTTCGCATCGTTTTATAAATCTAGTTTGTAGAACTAGAAGAAGGATTACCATGTACTGTTTCTACTCACACGTTAACAAGAACCCTAGTGTCTGCCAAATGATCGTCTCGAAATACTTTTATTACGTCAAGAAAAACTGGTTCATCAACAAAAAAAATCATATGCAGAAGTGACACTCCTTACTAAAGCAACTTCGGCAACCGTAGCAAACGTTTGTGAACCATATCATATCAAAAAAGTGTGGAAAGATAAAAGAGGTTGATGTCTGGCCAATATGTAAAAATCAATGAGGCGTTATACGAAGTGTCATGAGATTGTTTATTACTATGGTAATGAAATATGGGAATAGAACTTGTGTAAAATAAAAATTCACAGAGAAGAAACTTTGAGGGGTAAATACAAAGAAAGGATGGAATATACTAATGAAACAACAGTTTTAAGATCGATTGAAGGTTATTTCGTTGAAATGGGCATAAACATTTCGATTTTGAGATGAAGAATATAGGTGGTTAAAGCTTGATGGGTCAATGGTTGGGCAATGTCGGTCAGGATTACGCACGTTGGCAGACAGAATGCAAAGTCTCTCAGATACATCAATAATGAGTAATAGAAGAGGAGCATCCATCACCAATTTCGTCAAATCTTGCAGGTTGTTTCGCATTTGAACATTACCAAGTTCGAGAAACACGTATATGCCATTTGCTGGCAACAACAAGATATAGAATACATCTCGATCCGAAACCACATCTGATGGTAAGCCGTGCTGTCGGTATATCTTATGCAAGAATAGATGAGCAAAATCCTCTGCTGTATCAGTCGTCTTGCATGTAAATCACTCGACCAATCGCTTGAATTCCATTTACAGTTTCTATGTTGTGAGTATCCATAGCATCTTTACAGAATGTTGCTACCTGTAAAAGATCTTTGCATAAAAGGAAATGGTTGCTGTCGAATGCTGCTGACTTGACCTCTCCGAAGCCATGGTTGATAGTGAATCGACTGGCGTAAAGACTGGTGATGCAAATGTCAGGTCGGTTTTTGTTCACCAAGTCATCGTTCTTTTTAGCCTCCAAAGTAATCTCGTTTGTCCACCGTAAATACATACTGCGATTGGGATCGTCGAAAAGACCACATAGAGAATTAATCCTTATCCTTATGTTTAATAACAAAATTATGAAACCTACTACATTTAATAGTTTAAATATAATTATTAGAAACATTATAATAATAATCTACATATACAAAAATAATTAATTTTATACTTAATGTTTTTGGTTTTAAAATAATCTTTTAATATTTATTTTTCATTGAAATCTTTCTCATTTACCTTGGAATTATCTGTTTCATCATAATCTTTCCACTTAACAAGAACTTCATATTCATTATTTTTACTTAATTTATGTTCTATAACTGTTTCAATTTTATAAACATTATTATTTTTGTTAACTTCTCTAATTAAATTTAAATTAATTTTTCTTTCACTTTTATTTTTCTTTCTTTTTTTTCTATTAATATTTTCATATTCAGGGAAATCTATATCTTCATTATTATCAATTATATGATTATTAGATTCTTCATTATTATTATTATTATCAATAATCATATTATCACTTTCTAATGATAAATCTGATAAATCTTTTTGTAATTCACTTATTATTTTAATTTTTTCATTTGCTTTATCTCATTATTTAAAACTATATTTATTAGTTTTTCATCAGTAGGAAATTCAAAGTTTTTTTCAGCCCATAGTTTATGGTGTTCTTGTGTAATTATATTGAATATATCTATAAATAATTGTATATTTTTAAGTAAAAATGCTACTTTTATTTGTAAGTTAATATATTTATAATCATCTGTTTTTAATGTAGAGTTAATATGAGAAAATCGTTTAAATTTATTTCCTAAATCACAAAATTGGTTTTCTATAGCTGACCAAAAACTTCCAAATACATCATTAAAATGTTTTTCTTGTATATTCAATTCTTCATTAGGATCTTTTCTAATAGGATATAAGAAATTATTATCACTTAAATGAAATATGTTTCTTTTTACATAAGTCTTCAAACTGTTTAATAAATAATGTGTAACCACCATCAATAGCTAAAACATCTCTTTTATCCATTTTCGTATATAATTTCATGTTTAAAAACATACCACCATCACTACTAACTCCACATAGTTGACTATTAGAAACTGCAATTATAAAATTATTAATATCTGTTAATACTTATGTTCTTAAACCTGATGTTTTTAATTTATATGACCATCGTTTTTGTGCAGAAATGTCAGGCTTATCATATTCAATAGTACTATCATGACCATCTAATAGTAATGTTATATTTTTAAAATTTTTAGGGTTTTTTATTAATGCAGAATAAATTTTTATTTTAATATTAGAAAACATATTTTTTAGACATATATCTACATATTTATTCAAACTATCATAATTTGTTATCCAAAATTCTTTATAAAATTTATAGAATGATGTATATGGTATATTTCGTTTCATATCTTTAGATGTAATACCTGATACAAGATGATATATTAAATATAGCCCTTTTTCAATTTCAAAATATGGTGAAGGATAATCCTTATGTATATATAATTTAGTTAAAAAGAAAAATACAGAAGTATATCCTAACTTTTGTAATAACTCTTTTTTAATTTCATCTATTTTTTTAATATATTTCAATTCTGTTCGATGCTTATAATTATTTTGTTTTTTCTTCCAATTTTCATTTATAAATCCCCATTCATTTATAATTAATTTATCTATCTCTTCCTGTAATAATGTTTTATATTTTAAAACTTCTTCTTTATTTAGTGAGCTATTATATTCATCAAATACCAATATGAAAATTTATAATAAAAACCGTTCTTTTAACTTATTTACAAAGCAATCAGGAAAAACTTATAACCTTAGGCAAAAACCAAAATTAAATATCTATATAATTATTATTTATCTTATATTTTGATATCTAATTCATATAATATAATAAAATTCAATTTTATAGAAAAAAGTATGTAAAATTATTTTATAAGATAAAAATTAGGTCATTATAGTACTGATAATTATATATAATTAAAATAAGTATAAAGTTATTTTGAATTTTTCAAAGACAAAAAATGTTATTTTTTTATTAAAATTCAAGAACCTTTCTCTAAGAGAAAGAACCACGAAGAGTCACGGTGCAATTTTTTTTACAACTTACACCTTATAAACTATCAACCGCTTTGATTTATATTCACAATAAATAAATAGAATTGTTCCTCCATGGTAATAAATGTAAATAGGTTTTATATATTAAATTGATATTCATCCTAAAAAAATTTCAAAATCTGAAAATTATATATATTTATAAAAAATTATTATTAAGTCATTGATAAATATTAAACAATTAATGTGTTATATTTAATAGTTCCAGTTTAATCCCCATAAAAATGGATCGATGTAACGAGATCCAAGTTCAGATTCGTTCATATCATTACTGATCGGAGTGTAGGGCAGCTTACCCATCAGTTGGATGATAGATTTGACGAACCGGTTTTCATGTGCTGGGAGATCGAGAGATCGAGAAGTTGTATAACACCTTTATCACGACTGATAACTGTAGTTGATACGTCTTGGATGATATTGAGTATCTTGGTGATGGTGTCTATTGGGAGTCGAGGTTTCTTAATTTGATAGGTGTTTTCGATGGTTTGAATGATTTTAGCATACATGGTTTGATTGAAGCATCTAGATATATCATTAAAGTTATACTGGTCTGGAGGCTAGGTTATATCTAATGAATCTGCTGCAAATCTATTGGTTCCAATAGCATCTAGTCCTCAATGGTTTTATAAACTTGCTCAAATTCATATATTGAATTATAAAAATTTTGATTTTGTCTCGATAAATATAAAAATAAATTGAAAATTGAAAATTAATATTTATAAAAACAAAAAGTATTCTAGATTCAATAGAATTATTTATTATTTTTTAAGATAAAAAGAAAATGGTCTGCTTAAACAAATATCTTCTATTTGATAAATTAAATTTAAAAAATAATATTATAATAGAATTAAATGAAACAATAAAAATAGAATTAGATAATAAAATAGATATAAAAATTATTACATATATTAATAAAACAATTAAAAATAAAATTGGAGAATTATTTGATTCTAATCATTTTATATATAAAAATATAGAAAATAACTTTTGCGCTTATAAATATAGTAAAGGTAAAAATGAAGGGATGATTTGTTGTAAAAAGATAACAGCAAAAGGAAATAAAGATGAATTTGTATGCACTAAATATAACCCTGATCATATTCCTGAAAGAAGAAAAAGGAAAAAAATAAATATTAAAGGTTTATTTGAACCTAAGGTTCTACAAAATATAAATATTTGGCTAGATAAACCTTTTGATAAAATTAATAAACTAAAGAATAATAAGAAAAAAATAATTAAAAAATTAAAGAAAAATAAAAAAATTAATCATATATATTTTGGAAATATTAGGCAACTTGATTTAAAAAACATTATAGATAAACTATTAATAAAATAATTTTATTTTGTTATAGTAGTCTATTTTTAATAAAAAATCAATATATGTAGAGTATCTTATTTTTTTTATTGTTAATCATTTTATATCATATAGGCCTTTTAAAATTAAATTTTTTTAATTGATAAACATTTTATCTCATAATAATAATTTAATGCAATAACTTTCTTCTAGGTTATAAATTAGTAAGTAGTTTATAAAATTACATGATATAACAATATATGGTCTAGTGTCCTCTATAGATAGAAAGAGAATTAAATGTGCTGCCTTAGCCGAATGCATGTGATCTTCAAGAGTTAATTTCCATTTACTGATGAGGATCGATTGTTGTAAATCGAACAGGGCTAGGCTGACATCGAGAGATTGTACCATGAAATGGTTTTGACGATCTGGAAGTACAAAACTGATGCCACTCGGATCCAAGAGCTCTTTTTCGATGGTGTGGCAGCTAGGGCGTCTTTTGTTCTGTTCCGCACTTTGCTCAGGTTCTTCTGTTGTTCATACAGCCTCGGAATCATCGTTGTTGGTGCTTTGACGATGTTGTTGTTGACGATGCATTGGAGGTATTGTGTCTGGATGATTGGAATAGTAGTAATCTTTTAGTTCCTGCACTGTTGAATTATGCTGCAGACAAGTAGGACAGCCGAGCTGCTCTTCGATCGAATCATGCGCGGTAGTTGTTTTGACGTAGGTGAAATTATTATTGCTGTGCCGTCGAGCTCTAGTTCTGTCGGGAATAGTAATGAAATGCTTAGTGGCTAGGTGCTTCCTTAGGCTTTGAGGTTGGGCAACTCTTTGGTTGCATTCGAAGCAAGCGTTTATGATTACGACAAGCTTTGCCATCGGGTTTAAAGAATGAAAAAAGGGAAAGAAGGCGAAAATCACATAACCCAACGAAATCACCTACGTAATAGGGGTCGGGTTTTCAATACTAGTAGTGACGGTGGGTCAAGTTTTATTTGCCTATAAGTATCGCGGAATGAAAGAGATATAGACAAGAAAAATAAGGTGTAAGCGTGGAAAGGAGACGAGACACCTCGGGAGAGCGATGGAGACGGACGGTTGAACTAACGAAAGGTGCTGGAGTTACTGGTAATACTGCTCGATAATATTTTTGTGTGTGTGTGTGAGTGAGTGAGTGAGTGAGTGAGTGAGTGGGTGTGTAGTATGTGTACTGTGTAAGGGGAAAGAGAGAGGAAGGATAGTAAGTGCTAAAAGGCTATACCTGAGTGTTGATGAGTGGCTTAAGGGGGCTCATAGGACAGTAAATGGCAATTACTAGTGATGAGAAAGTGGATATCACGGCAAATGGTGTCATGGATGAATGGTACTTGGTCAAATACATAGCGCCAGTGAGCAGACCATAAGCCATGTAAAATGCATGCAATAATGGCATGGCTGCTCACGGGGGAAGGGTTATATGGAAGGCGAGAGAGAAAATAGCATGGTGAACTTGTGAAGATGTAGGCGAAAAACGGACCATATAATGGACCAAATGGCCCACTTGCTAGGACAGGCATATAGGAATTGGGTGATAATGCTGAGAGTAATAGGGCAGAATATAAGATTGTTGAATGTGACGCGGCATGAAATGTTTTGATGAAGAGCACGATACCAAACTTTGCGGACGGTGTGAGATATGGGTTCCAACCAAAACCGCTTCCAATGTCGCGACTCGAGAGGCTCACTAAGGAAGAAGTATTGGGATTAGTGAGAATGGATGGAGTTACTGCTTTACGAAAAACACGAGAAGAAAGTGAGTGAAGAGAAGAAGGGAGACAAAAAAAGCTATTGAGTACAGTGGCAATGGATGAAAGGGAAGGGGGATCTATGTACTAGGGAAGTTGACAGAATCGAGCGAGAAAGGAATAATATGAAAGGAGGTGCGATTCAATGAGTTGGAAACACTGAATAATAACGGTTGGGGAAAAGATGATTAGGTTTGCAAGTGAGAATCCGGCGCTAGGAGAGCAGATGTGAAATGCATCCGCCACGTTTGGCCAAGCGACCCAGGATCGGTGGCGGAGTAGAAGAAGTATAAAAAACAATACTATGATATCTAAGGGGAAGGATACAAGTAAGTCAAGCGAGGGGCGATATAAAGTGGGATCCTTTAGGGCATGCGTCCAACGCACGAAACAGTAGACCCCATGGAAAGTTGAAACAGAAAAGGAGGAAGGACGCAAGGAAGGAAAGAAAAGACAAAGTAGGCGATCATGCGGGTTACATAATGAATTAAGAATAGAGAGAAGCCAAGGGTGTGCAAATGAGAGATATTTGTGTGCGATTGATTAAAAAGAGGCAAGAGCCGTCGAAACTGTAAGCTGAGCTGCTGGACAGAGGGTGGTGTGAAGTAGAAAAGTGTCATACGAAATCTTGGGAAACATACTATGATTAATAAATACATAGCAGACAGAGCGTAGTGAAGTGAAAAAAGATTTTGGGAACGGGATTAAGCGTAGAACATGCCACAAAGAAGAAAGGAGCAGAACATTTAAGCACAGTGGCTCTACCGCGTTTTGAGAGATTTCGTTGCGAATGAATGGCGCATCCAGCCTTGATTTTTGCAAGTATGTATTTCATAAGTATATACAAACTACAATGCTTGGACTTTCCATTATACCTTATCACATCACAACATGTATATTTTATTCCCCATCTTTATACGTATAAATTCTATGTACTGTAATAACACTGTAAAATCGTGTCTTAATGCATAAATATACAGTACTCTTTTAACATATGTACTTTCGTGAGCGTAATAGCCTAACAGACTCCAAACAATTCAGCTTAAAAATTTACAATAATGTACAGCTGGTGGCAGCTGAGCTACATACTATAGTAGGTGTCTGTGCGTATAATAGGATTGTCTATATAGAGTTGTTGCTTAGTTACATACCAATAGGAATCTCTTGAGAACGTAGTCTTTCGGTTGTTTGCTACCAGTAAGCGAATGGTTGACGACAGCAGGCATCTTTATATACAATTGCATCATCGTTAAACTTAAAAAAAAAGATGCTCATACATTTTGTATACTGTGTCGCATCCTCAAACAAAAGTAAAAGAGTCCTTCCACTGGCTACTACAACTTTGATGGAATCTCTACTGCAGTACGGTAAATTATTAAAGCCGCAACAGCTCCCAAGAAAGGCAAATAAACGTTAGGTGTATTTTAATTGGTTGGTTACTTTCAATAATCAATTGAAACAAAAACAGGACAATAAGCATTTGCGTTTTTTACATTACACACAAAAGAATCAAACGACAAAGAGGGATTTTACTAGTAATGTAGTATATTTTTAAAACTTTTTTTTACATGTAAATGTTGGATGTGTGCAGTTATCATGATATATATTTAATGAATGGTGTGTCAAATAGGTGCTTTGTATGTGCGTTGTGGTAGGGATTGTTAGCGGTAGTTATTTAGTATTGAGAGGCCATTTGCTGACAAGACTTGAGGGCATCCAAGTACCACTGACAGGCGGTAATATCGTTGTTGCTGCTTTCCAAGCACTTGGTGAAAGCCTTGGCATCAGCTTCGCAAGCAACACCACCGGGCTGCTGTTGGAAGGCCTGGGGTTGCTGGTAGGGTTGCTGGTATTGCTGCTGCTGGTATTGAGGAGCAGCTTGGGGCTGTTCAGCAGGCTTGTCGTCAGAACCGCCAAAGATGCTGGAGACACCGTTGGCGAGGCTGTGACCGACGGCAGAACCGACGGCAACACCGGCAGCAGTGGTGGCCATTTGAGCAAACATACCGGGCTGTTGGGGTTGAGCAACAGCAGGGGTGCTAGGAGTAGGTGCGGGCGTCATGGCATGTTGCTGCTGGGGAGGAGCATGGTGTTGCTGAGGAGGAGGAGCACGGTGCTGCTGTGGTGGTGGAGGAGCTTGACGAGTAGGCATGGTGTGTGCCTGACGGGTCTGCTGGGCAGGTGCGGAACGTCTAGACTGTTGAACACACAATGAAATAAAAGACGAGCTTTGTCAGCATTCACAATTTCGAAGAGACAACTTATGTGGGATCCATGACTTTTTTTGAATTTTAGATCCTACCTGGCGAGGCATTGTTCAAAGAATCAGAAAGAAATACGTGGAATATCAGCTCAACGAATTGTTTATTTTTATTTATACTGGAAAAAAGTCCGACGACAAAGCTTTTGTGGAGACGACTATTACTCGCTCTTCACTTCCGGCCCGGTCCAATAGAGTGAGTCAAAGCAGATACGGTTCGTCCCAGGAACGGCGGGAGAATGGATTAGCCAATCACTAGAACGCACCGTTCGCATGCTCTCGTCCTTCGGTTCTCATGTATACGCGTAGTACGTAGCATGTCTATTCGTGCTATTTTGGACAACATTTTATAACTGGCAAGAGCAACAACGCGTTTATTAGTGCCATACATGTAAGTCCATCTTAGGGTCATCCACCATATTTTTTCATCTATCCCGGTAAATGGCTTTGTGTGTGTAACACTTACTCCAGCTGGGTAATGGAAAGTCACTACCACAAAGCATGATGGGTTCAACCCCATGTATGTTTTATTTCATGATACCATCATTCTCTGTGTACATCCAGGCACTGTCTGTATATATCGCGTAACGTAATAATGATTATCATTGCAATGATTCCAAGCGAACATGATTCATGGCTGCATGTGAGGATGCAGTAATGCCAAAGCTCATTTCACCAAGCCTTTGAAGAGTGCTGTGCCTGTTTTATTAAACTTAGAATAATGCTTTTATTCACAGGTTGGGAGTATGAGTTTAGTTGTTAAAACGTTGAAAGAAGTAATAGCATTAAATGGAAACTAACACACGGTCGAAACAATAGCGACTCCAATTAGCAGTGTTCTTATATTTTGAGCATAAGATACAGCAACTTCAAATCCTGGATGAAAACTCATTCTGATATGCATCAACATGCGCCACTGTTTTTGTATACTCTATGAGGATGCCCCAGCATAGTGGACCTTTTTTTCCCCATTTCAGCACCGGTAAGAGACACAAGAGGTCTAAGAAGCACACAGAGAAAGAAGAGAAAAGGCTATAGTGTAGACCCTAGCCTAATTTCCATGTAACCGGCTACTGTGTGTAACTGTGACTAAGGCTGATATGAAAGTGCAAGAACAGCGATTCTTTGAATATCACCATTTATGGACACATCAACATATGCGTGATGCATGTGTGGTCATACAAGCAATAATTTCAAGTTGTCCACTTAACGACAACAATCATTTTAACTCTTCTCCTTAGTGTGGAAAATTTAAACATCACGCAAGATGGCACCATAGAATGATTAGCACACATCAAATATACAGTCAAAGTGCTAACAACACCTGCATGTGCTAAAATAATTTCCGCGTGAAATTATTCTTGAACCGGACGAGCGGATCAATCTGCCACAAGAGAGATCCGATCAAGAGTGATGCAACACTCACGACAACCAATCCCACAAACTCCTCCTAGTATTTCACTCAGCTCTCTTTCATACTCTTTTTCAGCTCTGCTTTCTCTTCTATCTATTATGCGTCCGTTCCTAAACCACCTGAGTAGACGACAACCTCTGCGAACGCCCATAAGTTGCTATCACCAGCACCACCATCGACGACGCCTGTTTGCCTCGTGTCATTCACTGCTAAATAAGAATGACAGTAATATCAGCACAAACAGTGGCGAGACCCCAATACCACGCGCCGCGTCACTCGACTCGATAAAGTCAAACGCACCCTACCATTTCTACCAGACCAAGATTCTCGAAGAATATGTACGCCGGCCTGCCAATGCAAGTACTTTAAGGCAGTATATTTTCTACGGACGACAAATGACAAGCGATCGACTCATCACTGCGGCCAATTGGGTCCGGAACGAATTATTGACACGACTGGCACATCGTATACGGGATTTCCAACAATTGCCCTTCTTTGTGGGTATGAACCCGCATATCGAGTTTGTATACCGACTATACTGGGGAGCATTTGAAAAACTACGAAAACAACCGGCTATCAAAACATTGGACGATAACGAGGACTTTTGCAAATGTTTGGAGGACTTGTTGGATGATGGCCAGTTGGTGGTGCCAAAACTCGCATTGGGCATAACAGAATGTGCACGGCATTATTCTGGCTCACAAGATCTCGACCGGTTCATGAATCGAATGCTGCGGTCAAGGATATCGCGACGGATGTTGGCTGAACAGCATCTGGCGCTGACAGAGGCGCATGAGCACGGTTGGGATATGATGGGCGAGGGCGCCGATGGCTACGTGGGTATTATCTTTGTTCGATGCTCGGCAAGTGATCTGGTGTCACAGGCAACACGGTTGGTACGGCGCCATGCAGAAACGATCTATGCCAAGCCAGAAAACTCTAGTCGGACTCCACCGGCCATTCGAGTCAACATCCATCAGGACACCCAACAAGGCTTGCAACAAGTAGAGGATTCAAAAAAGATTGTCTTTGCCTATGTAAGTTCACGGATATTACCGAGTAGAGTGAGAGTGTGTGCGTATTTGCATGTAATTATCATTGTTCTGTTTCCGTTACCAAGTGATTAATTGTATCTTCTTATTGACAGGTTCCAGAACATTTAGAGTATATTTTATTTGAATTGCTAAGCAACGCGGTTCGATTTACCATGGCAGCATGGGAAAAACAACCAGAAAACCCTTATCCACCCGTCCAGCTTACTGTGAGTGCAAACGAAACAGATGTCTACTTTCGCGTAACAGACCAAGGCAAAGGCATTGCGCCTGATGTTTACAAGCACTTGTGGTCGTATCAAGCACGCGCTCCCTCTGGCCAATTTCACCACTTCCATCAAGTCCAAAAAATGCCTTCCAGTATAAGCGAACGTGCAACACAAGCAGCCGATCTTGGACAAACTCACCTTGGTATGGGCCTTACCATGAGTCGGATATTAGCCGAGTACTGGGGTGGCGAATTGCAGGTCATGACGATGGAAGGATTTGGCACCGACGCCTACGTGAGAATACCGCGATTAGGCACCAAGGCAGAGAATCTTGGATTCGAAGATCATCCGGCAGTGATTCCTACTGCAGTCCAACCCAATGGCGGTAGTGGTGGTAGAGACAATATTTTCAGTGAGAACACTTCTTCGCACAAAAAGAGACGCGAATCTTCTGAACAGCAAGAGAAGCACCTGATCCAGCAACAGCCACTCAACTGGTACCATCCTTCAGTTATACAAAGGAATACGCCTGCAAGCAAGAATAACGATGGAGGTGATGGATGGAGTAAAAGTTGCATGGTGCTAGAGTAATTATGTATCATACACAATAGACCCCCTTCATGTGACCATTCCCTTCTTTTCCATCAACACGTTTCACCTTTCCAATACCCTTTTCCTCGCTATCTCACTGCTTTGTACAGTCCCAAAGAAAAATGAGGGTAATCTCCTTTGCACACAAGTAAATAAGAAAACCCAAACATACACACAAAACTGAGAAACACATTGGGTTGATTTGGTTATTTTAGAGGGGGTTGAATGCCATCATCAACAAGCTTCTATGCCAAATTTATTCAAGCCTTGACAGCATACTTGCGAAGAGGGAAGTGGTTCTCCTTCTTCTGCTGCTTCTCGGTCTTCAACTTGCGCTCGAAGGGGGTCAAAGCGCGGCGCATGGCACGGGTCTTCTTGACACGGAGGTCAATAGGGATGTACTTCTTCTTTTGGTAGAAGAGACGAAGCTGCTCGCGCTGGGTCTGGTTGATGACGGTCAAAGTGCGGGCAATGTTCTTGCGGGCCAAACCACTAAAACAATGTGAATTATAATTAGTTTTCTGTTTATATTAAACATTCTAAATTTACCCACAGCTTTGCGAGCCTCTTTGCGCACCCCGCGCTTCGTTATTACAGAGCAACTTACATTTGGTGGAGCTTGGAAGCAGAGCCACCGGCAACCTTTTGGACGCGAAGCGAGGCAAGTTCCTGCTTCTGCTCATCAAGGATCTTGAGAAGCTCGGCCTTGTTCTTGTTGCGAAGTTCGTATGCTTTGACGGCAACCTATTCAAAATCAAAGACACAAGGTTTAGTTTTCTCGAGGGTTTCTTATCTGTGAATGTGCACGAGAGACAACGATCAAGAGGATAAACTGAATTCAAGCCCTTTTCGTTCCCTTCCAACTGTTCAAATCGTTCCGTTTATCACCATGGCGAGTTATGCACTGGTTAGCGTCGTGAGTCGTTGGTACAATATACGAGGTCGCAGAAAAATGGCTGTCGCCCTTCCCTTTTAGAGAATTGGCCTAATGGTAAACGCATGGCGAAAATGTCAAAAGTAACTGGTCGAGAGGGCGTGTGCGAACAGGAAATTTCTTTTGGTGGAAGCAAAATGTTGCATATCGATGGATGGATATACGGATGGATGGAACGGATGGATGGGCAAGGAATCGAGAATCCATTCATCCCCTTGATTATTATGTCTCTCATGGTCTTCTAGGCTTACCATTTCGTGAAAAGAGGAAGTTCATCATAGTCGCCTTGCGGGCAATATGATACCCACCGCGCGAGCCGGGTCGGAGTGACGAGCATTTCCTTTTTTGATAGGCAGCCGCTCTTTTCCGTTTGACACACGCATTTTCGTTTCGTGCGCTGCGCATTCTTTTGACAACCTTTTTCTTCTTATTCATAGACTCTGCTTGATACCATGACGATAGGTACTCAAACGGTAAGTAACTCAGAAAGTCGTCCTTGTAGATTTGTACGCTTTTTAGTTTGTTGGAACTGAATTTGTTTGAATAAAAAACGATCCAGGATCCCGTCCTTAAGCGCAACACAGGGCGCAAAGGACCAGTATCGTTCCTAACGCACATTTGCGAGTTGGAAAAACGACAATATTTCAGCGTTGCCAGCAGTTACAGAACTGGCTCTTGTCGGCCATTTGAAAAGCAAAAAGAAAACCATTACACTCCAATTAATGGTGAAGTGGAGTATATGATCACAAACAGCCTTGACGCGGGTCATTGTAAGTATGCTGGCAAGTCATAAAAAAGAACAAATGTATATGATAAACTGATATGATACTAGACGAAGGTGCACTCAAAACTATCGAGGAAGCGATCATAGCCAAACGGCGATGCACACGGTAAGACCATACACATACCCACAGGGGGCGCTTGCGCGTTTTTTGGCGTTTTTTTTTTTAAAAAAAACCGTGAAATTAACATATTTGGCATATGTATAGGCTCGTGATCTCCTATTTATTTGATCTTATTCTTCGACCAGGTCAAGCATATGAACGCTTATCCCCACAAGAGGTTCTTTCAATGTCACGAAAGGCTCATCACATGCTTCTAATGATACTCGAAACGTTTGGCACAAGCGCGTTTGCCGATATATGGGAACTGTTCCAAGACAATAAGCGGCCATCGCGAAGAATGCGTAAACGTACGTATCGGATAGCCATGAATCATGACGATAACGAAGATGAAGAGGGGGAAGTATACGTGAGCGCTCTCACCGAATTCGATACGTTCCAAGAGTTCTTTGCTTGTTGTGTGGAATACACCGATGATTTCAATGTTTCCAAAAAGCAAGTGAATGTCAAACGAGGACCTTCGATGCGTGCTCCTGCTGCACATCTAGTAAGATACAAATGGAGGATACCAGCAGAAAGAAGTAGACATATGTTTTTGTAACATGTCTATTAAAAACGCTTTGGGTATTGGATTTTTTTATTTTGCAATAGCGAAGAAAGCTGGTTCTTGATGTGCTTTTATCGTTGTTGGAAGAAGATTTATATCAAACTGAAGGTAATGAGAGGAACATAGATATAAGAGAAGGAAATAACGGAGATTGGAGCTTACTGTATATGTGCTGCGCAATGATGGTGTTGATAAACGAGTGTCTGTTTTGTATGTTACATCTTAGGCGATCCATCACTGCTGGAAAGCTGTGTACTTGTCAAGTTAGTCAACAGCGGCCGGGATCTGCAACGCTGGTTGGACGTTATTTTCAGTTCATTGGGTGCAGATCTGGATCAGGCGACCCAATCGAATTCGCCATCAACACGGCAAAATACCGTTTGTGCAGAATTTGGAGCGAGGATGCTAAACATGGTATGTAACAAACAATGGGCCTACAGTAGTCATTTTTACTGCAAATAAATAAAAGAGAATGTTAACTGTTTAATATCACCGTGTCATTTGGAATATCAAACATAGCTCGTGGCTGCCTCCTATTGCGAAAGCGCGTTCGATCTCAAAGACCTAGAAGAAAGATCGTGCAGAAGACTGGCTCAATTGGGCATAGAAGGCTGTAGCAACATGATGCAGGTTAGTGTTTGCACTGAGTATGGTATCGGTGAAACGGACGTTGACGATGTTCCTGTGGATTATTAGATGATCAGATTCAACACTTTCAAGTTTACGATCCTTGATAAAGTCATTTCGGACGCCGACCGGGTCAATGTGCAGCAGCAATGCAAGTCTATGCGCAAGCAAAAGGCGTCTCCCAATTTTATGGATAAATTTATAAAGTTCGACTTAAAGACGCAGCCCAACCAACTTGTTTGCATGGAGGACGTATATCGTCATGTACAGATCCTGACGTGGAAATATATCTTGGGCATCAACTTACGCCAAGTTCATCAAAATCAACGCAATAGTCACAACGATGGGAACGCCATGGATACTAGTACTTCGGTTGGTGCTGTTACGAATGCTATGCTGCTGGATGAAACACCGACACTTACACACACAACGATCAGTGCTTGGAAAAGACATATTGACGACATGATCCGGGATGCCGAAGCACAGAGCATAATTCCAGAGTTGGAGGATGAAATGAAGCGAAAAATACACTGGACAGTATCTCTTGTAGAGAATATAATGGTATAGAGATATTCACATACACATATGCAATTACACACACACTCACATATATAGATCAAAAATACCTGCATTGACCCTTTCATTTTCTTGTACATATCCACATTAATTTAAACCCGTAATCACGTTCTCGGCATGATGATATACGTCACAAATTGTTGCTATTCGCTATAAGCAGTTTAATTTTAAGCTCATACATATAATGTTTGGTAGCTTCCTCTTCCGCTCTCGCTCAGAACCACCAGAATAAATGTCCCTTGAAAAGAGTGCATCCCTTAGCGCATCAATTCATGCGCCCAGCCTGGCGAGCCCAGGATGACATGGGCGCATATCGTCCAAAACAAGCGTGCTTCGCTCATGCACCACGTCGACGCCACAGCACCCACCATTGACGACGATGGTTGGACCGTTCTGCAATCACAAGTATGGCACAACGGGCGCTTTACGACTGTGTATTTTTCGATATATCAACCCGTCCGGAATCCCTGCATACGCTTCTACAACTCGCAGCCTCTCAATTTCCAAAAAGAAAATACAGGTGCCTTTACTTCAACGAGATGGATCTCGCCGAGTCTTACTCGAAGTGCGTTTTGATCTCGACATGCCCTTGCAGCGGGCGTTAAATTTAGTTGTGCATCTTACAGAAATACCTGGAGACGATGACGGCGAAGAAGAAGAAAAGAAGGAGGCAGACCAAGCCAGTGAGTCGAACGAACACGGCGACAGCGGCGTCAAAAACGTGCCGCGTATATATGAATACACGTACAATTGTCGCAGAAAACAATTAGCGCCGATCCAGCCTAGCAAAGAAAGAAGAGGGAAAACAAGCACAAGCGAAGCAAGCAAGAAAACAAAAGGCGTTAGCTGGAGACAGCTTGATCGTTCCGTTTTCTTCAGCTTTAATTTATATCGTTAAAACACTTTTCTACTTGTATATATATATAAGTAAAGCCTTTACCAACCCTTTCATGAATCCTTTTGACGTGACGCTGTAATGATGAAATGAAAGAATACAGTTACAGTATTCCCCGTGAAACTGATCAACTTTGAGGTGGTTTTTGTGTGTGTGCGTTTGTGGAGAATTGACAATCTTGAACTCGCTTCTTATTATCAACAGATCATCATTGATATCATTGAGTGACCTGAAGCGTCTCACACACCGGTTTACACAGAATCATTGCTCATTGACTGATGATACATAACCCTTTGAATATACCAAACAGGGTACAGCCTCAACGAAATAATTGACTGTCAAAGTGTGTAGACTGAACATCGATCTATCCCTTTCCGTTGTAGAATTTCGCAGCAGCTATTACAATAATCCGTTTCCCACATCAAGACCTTGCAGCATCTGGGGCTGTGCGCGACATCAACATCTATTTACAGCACGCTGGTAAATTGACGTATCACCGTCGTAACATGCTTACTGCCAAGGCTTCAACGCTAAGGACGCGCCCAACATTGAGACGGTAGCTGCTTCAATTCGACAGCTTAATATCGATTTTCCCGGCTTTTGTACGGTCACCACTGGATATCCCTCCCGATACGTTCTGCATTCCTTTTGCGTATCCTTTCATTCAACAGCATATTGGCTGCACCTTCCAACCGATTCTTACGGATGTCACATACTCTTGCATTGGTGACGGTTGCTACATGTGCAATTCTGTCATTTTCTACAAAAAGTTGCAAAGGTATGTCCCAGTTTTTCAAGCAACTCTTGGTGGTTTGAGTACAGAAAGTTTTGTCTCGTACTTCAATACAATGTTCAAGGTGCTGGATAATAAGAAGAATGACGCTGATGAACCATCCATGTGTGGATTAATAATTAACTTTTTCCCAAGCCCAGAGAGCTTGTTTTTATTTTCTATCGCTTCATACAACACTTTTTCCTGGTGTCAAAAGTGGTGAGGCATTTTTAAAGGGTTGCTACTTTCATCGGAAACAGTCGGTTAAACGTATCCAGAAACTGGGTGAAATTATTCTGGTGGAACTATGAGATTCGACATGGTTACTGGTGATATGAAACGAGAATTCCCGCGCACTGCGAATTGGATCCAAAATGATGATGCTGAAGAACTGCTACGAAATGTTACAAGAACGACATATGCCATAGAGCCCCTTCCATCGCTACATTTAACGTTTTGTCCAGCAATTCGAACCAGATTTTTCTGCGTTACCACAACTTTTTAATTACTTGCGCAACGAAGAGAGTAATCTACTGCATGTTCTTGCTGGTAAGAACATACGTAATAAGACCTCCTCGCCGTCGTAAGTTTCATTCTAGGAAGGGTGCGCTGAAATGACCTTTAGTGATCGTCCAGCTTAATTCATTCTCTAAAATCTACCTGCAGCTCACGCAAAACATTAAAAAAAAGGTTGAATGATGGTCGTCCTCCAGAGAAACTACAGCAATTGCCTAGTAAAAAGTCCATTACTAAAACCATCAAGTACAGCTCAGAGAATCCTTTGACCGAAAATAAATCAAACAAAAGAGCAAGAGAAGGAACTGACAGTACTTCACTAGGTAAAAAGGAGCTGTTTCTTGTGTGAAACTGTAATAAGTAATTGAGGTGATATAAAAAACATGTAGATTCTTTGACCATACCTAAAACTAGGAAGGATTAAAAAAAATGACGATAGTCGAAAAGAAGAAGCAGCAGCCAAGGCTCGAGAAGAACGTGGCAAAAAATATAAGAAGCAGGTTAATATCGAGCGAAGAAATTCACAATGGACAACGTGAAGTACGTAAATTACAAGGGAATGTATGATAGATTCTAACATAGCGTGTATACTTGTTATTATAGCAATCAGCCTCATTTGACTTTACGAAATGAGTATCCGATCACTATTGTCCTCAACGCCGATAACGCTTGCTTCATCGATAACCTTCTGCAAATATTGTTAAGCGTGATTATGCCAAATATTTGTGAACCTGCTAGAATCGGCAACGATGAAAGAGCACGGTTACTCTCAAGACTGTGTCGAAACATAAGGACTTTACCATACATGCCTTGCCGTTCCGCCAGTTTGCATAGAATCACGGTGCATCCTTTGATGTTTACGAAATAGGAGCATTAGTGCTACAATGTTTCCTTAGGGTCAATGTTACTTTGAGTTCGCATTTACGATTCAAGACACGGCTCAGGGCTAACAAGTAGCTACAACCAACGATGATAGCGCCAAAATATGGATTCGCGAGACCTGAGTTGATGCAAAGAAAACCCGCAAGTACTCATCTCTTAGTCCACCTGACTGACAAAGAGTATGAGTAAGATGACGTTGAAAACTACCGCACAACTGGCTCTAGCAAACTGCTGCAGCAAAAGGCTATAAACGCCAAGGTCGAAAGCAAAACCTCTTCCTTCGTAACATTGTCAGTTCATCGTCGTTCATGATTGGCAATTAGGCGAAGATAACGAGTGACCAGATCGGTAAAGTAGAATATCTGGCAACGACCCTTAAGTCTTAGAACCCCTCCAAAAAAACGAAAAATAAGTATCCACTACTTTTTCTTTCCCGCTTTCCCTCCATATAATACCTCTCTTTCTTTTCTGTTTGCTTCAATGCCCTGCCTCTTTGCTCTTAAATGTTTACAATCCTATTTTCTTACTCTGCAGTTAAGTTTAATTATGTATAAGGTACTATATGCTAACAATCAATAAAATACTTGCTTAGAAAAAGTGGATCATGCATTAGTTGAACCACGATGATGGCGGTTATACAGAGTCAAAGTAGGGTACAACAATGTAGCTATCTGTATGATTTACTCAAACGAGGCACAGAATAGATAAAAAGTACGTAAAATTTTATACAGTGTCAGAACCGATTTGCCTATTTGAGTGGCGAAGTATGCAAATTCTTGGAGGCTTGAGTACATAAAAATCGAAAGAAAGAAGGTGAACTACGTAAAAATTTGCATAACCCCTTTGTTTCTCTCATATATTAGAAATATCTTTACGTTTGTCTTCTGCTGGCTACTACAAAAATTAATGATACCATACACACAGATGCTATAGTTCCGTCAAAATAGAAACAATGAGCACTTATCGGTTGCGCTCACCTTCACCAAGATTTGATTAAAATAAAAATCGTTCATAACTATAGGTACTATATAAGTTAATACATTTCCCTCAATTGCACTGATCTCATTGTTGAGTGTGAGTGCATAGTATATACTAAAATTTGTAGAGGAAGCACAATGATACATTATTATGTACTATACAATGAAGCTACATGGATTCATTTATACCATGCGCGAAACCAACTGTTGTCGTCCCGCCTAATAAGAAATTGTGATTTGGCGCCTTTATTTTTGCCCTTGAATGACTAATGACCAGTAAATGCATGTACTTTTAAATGGGCATAACGGGGCAAAAACATGAAGAGAAAAAGAATATCGATCGAGCTCTTTCCGTAACCATTTCCCCGTCACCGTCCATTGTTTTGGGGGGGAAAAGTATATATATACGGATATCCGTACCCATCTTTCCAATTCAAATTTTACTTTCACAAAACCACAGCGCAATACACAAAAACCCTTTACAAGAAATTTTTCTATTAGGCAAGTAGTTATTAAAAAGATAAAGGATGCACTTTGCAAGTCGGGCTGTTACAGTGATTTTTAACAGACGCTCGCTTAATAAGCTCTAATTCAAATGTGTTATGTGTATTAGAATCACAACGATAAATGGATAAAGACAACATCGCTCGTCACAACCGAGAAAAAGGCCAGTCGTCTTCTCGCAAACGCTCTCGCGTAGAAGAAGTAGAAACCCTAGGTAACACTGCAAATCAATCACATCACAACAGAAGCAACAACGTTACTGGCGAACAGCAACGCAGATTGATGGGCATGACAGCGCCCTCTCTTGATGATCACAGGTTGCCCCATCGCAGGCGTAGGGATACTAGAGTAGGCAACAGCAGCAGTAGCGCTAGTAGTGGTTAGTGGTAGCAGTTTGACTATCAGTCTTCACAATGATAATAGTTGTAATAAGACAGGAGTACATCTTTTCTCACATACTCACAATCGGATAGAAAATCAGCGACGTCTCGCCCCTGCGATCCAGTACGGCAATTATACTGTCAATGATGACACTGGCAATACCGAAACTTCCACCACAGAGAACCTGGACGTTGTTGTTAGAGACGAGCGTCCGTCCAGCACTGATGGAGTAAATAATCAATTGACTGCTGGTACGATGGAGGCAACCGGATCTACTACGACGCAGGAAAATCAGTCTGATGACACCCCACAACTAGATGGCAATCAGCCAGTTGCCACGGTAAATTCCCAACAGCCGTCGCTGAACGATGTGCAAGATGAAGAGTCTCGTATCGTCCGCATTTTAAATGAAAGTGATCCTGATGATATCCACGATCATGCTAGTACGAATGAAAGCGTACCAGAACAAAGCGGTGAAGTAGATGCTTACGAGATTGTTGAGACTCCTGCTGAAGACGATGAAGCAGCCGATGACCAAGATCAGCCTAACAATGGCACACCAGAACAAACCAGTCAACAAGAAGTACCACATCCCGCACCATCCCCTCCACAAATGTATTCACAACTACCACTACCAGCTAGTCATTTGCACAATCATCCCCATCCCCATCCCCGTTATTATCGCATTGCGTATCAAGCTGCGTTCAACGAAAATCCTCAGGAAGCTGAGTGGCAGACATTGAGTACTACAGACGTTTCTTTGCAAGATCATCAGGAGCATGGCTACCCAGATAATTTAATCCACAGCTGTAGTGCTTGCCTCAGTGAACATCTACGACGAATAGAGCACGTCCTACGCATTCTCGGCGAAATGCTTTTTGTAAGGTATGTAAACATGGGCTACACCATGCCACTCTTTCTGTTGCACGTTGATGATGTTGGCAGTAGTGCTAGTAGTAGATTTGTTTGCTTATTAACACAACACCTGTAGTAGCTATGAGTTCGGACCACACTAGCCCGGAGCCATTGCCGTTAAACTGCAGGATCGGGGTGCTCTCCAGTCTCTAAAGATTATTTCCTTACTTTCCGGACCAGTCTCTCTTTCTTTTTCCCGTGTCTTCTTTTCTACAATTATGTGGATGATTTCTTTTTTAATCTAGCAATAAAGCTAAGATGGTGGCTGCAGCTGCTTTACTAAAGTCTGATTTTGCTGTTGGCGAGTGTTGGGCTTTGCGCTAACTCTTGCAAAAACTGTAATATTACACAGCATCCGTTGGGAGATGAAGCGGGACAAGGAGCGACGAGCTAACTACTTCATTTACGACTTTTCTTTACATACGGCCGTGAGAAATAATGGAAAGAGAAGGATGGATATTGATTCATAACGAACAGAAGATTGAAAATCAAGGAGTTAGTCACATACATTTAGTGCACGCGTTGCGTTCGAGTCGTAAGAGATTTTTGTTACGTACCACACCATCCACTTATAGCAAACCCCTCCTCTTCCCCTTGCACCTGCACTTGTACGATTTCCACCTTTCGCTTTTCTCGCTGTAGCAAAATGATAGAACACGCGTAAAACTGGAACCATGCGAGTGGTGCATTTTCTTTTTGGTTTACAGTCTGACAGTAGCACACTGGCACGTAATAGGCTATGTCTCATTGACTCTAACCATGCGCACATACGCGTCTTTAAAAGGAATAAAGCGAAAGAGGTTGAAGTACAAGAAAAGGAGAGGGAAAAAAACCGACAACTCGGCAAAAGGGTGGGTAAGGTTGTGTGTTGTGGGTGTAAACAGGCGGTGCAAATTATTTTCTTCCCTTCTTCTTTGCTTCTCTTTTACTTTTTTCCTTCTACCCCCAAGTCTAACCGTTCTGTGGCAACCAACTAACAATAGCAATACCCACAGCAACAGCAACAAACGCAGAGCGAACTCACCGATACCCGCTTCTAACAAAAGGTACCCACTTGTCAGATTGAACGACAAGCTTCTTTTTTTCGCGTTTTCTCGTCGATTGAGAAAAAAAGTAATCACTTTTTTTTAAATGGGCACATCATAGAACCATGTCTGTTTACAGTCATCGCGCTATGGTCCCTCCACAAAACCGCATCATTGAGATGCTAGATGCCATTCGAGTAGAGTTTGAAACACTAGCTCAAGAAGCATACGTATGCAAAACACAGCGGGATGACTTTGAGCACAAGAGTACGTAATAGATTGATGTCGTTCGTGTAGATGTGCATATACAGTCTCAATCACTGTTTTCGATGCTCACGCACACCCTTTGTCAACAGTGAATACCCAGATTCAAGAAATGAACAGCTTCCAGCAAAGTCTTCATGAATTAGAACGAACGCAACAAACGATGAGAGACCAGTAAGTATATCACAGTAAAGAGGACAAAAAGGGGGAAGCTAAATGATCTATTTTGAGTGCTGTATCTGTGTTTGACGCGTCGATAACAAGAACTGACTACTTTTATATCTTATACTTTGCTATTATTGCTATGCTTGATCAGCTATGAAGAGGAGCTGACAAGATTACGACAACAATTGGAACAAGCACAGGCGCGTGGAGGGGTTCCACCGCCTCAACAGGTCCCGCCGCATCGACAACCACCCCCACCACCGCAATCAGCACAGCCGCCATCTACACCGGCTGCACCTAGCCCACATCATCACCCATCACAACAGCAGCCTGCGCCTCCCAATATTGGCCCTGGCTCATCCAACTACTTTGGCGGTATCATGAACGCACAACAGCAACAACAACATCATAACGGCAGAGAGAGTGGCAGCAGTAGTGGTAATAACTCCAGTCAGCCGCCTCCACCTAGTCTGGGACCACCTCCTGCTCCACCTTCACATCATGAATCACATCAGCAACAACAACAGCAGCAGCAGCAGCAGCAATATCCAGGTTATCCACCATCACAACCACCGCCTGGACCGCCACCACCTACAAGCTCATCATCAGGCTACATGAATGGATCACCTAGTATGCCGCCACCGCCGCCAGGAAGCAATCATCCTGGAGGAGGACCACCACCACCACCACCACCACCGGGCATGTACGCAGGAAGGATGCCCACATCACCTGCACCTGGTCCTTATCCACGTCAAGAACATGGTAACATTGACAAGTCACATTAAAGAAAAGTTACAATAGGACATGAAGTCCTAAAGTAATAAAAGGGAGAAGAACATTCTAAGACTTATGACACCTCTGGGATACACGCTACTGATAGGCAACTACGGTTATCCTCCACGGGGTGGTGGCGCACCAGGCACGCCTACTTCACAACCATCGCCTGCATCACACCATCCACAAATTGAAAGTCCTGATAAACGCAAGCAGCAACAACAAGGTTTGGGTGTTATGCCGAGTCGATCATCCGGTAGTATATCCAAGATGGGAGGCGGCGGTCCACCCCCACCACAGCCTGGAGGACCACCACCACCGCCTCAACCAGGTATGCCAGGTAGCGGAGCTGGTCCATTCACTGAAATGGACCCCGAACAAGTCCCTTCGCATATGAAGATTGAAGGTCAAGATTGGTTTGCACTGTAAGTTATTCATTGCGGATGCATTTATAATGGGAGCAGCGGAAAACATATACGTGCATGATGTACATAACGGACAAACAAGCGAAAACAAGCAAATCAACAAACAAACATTTACACAAGCACACAAACAAAAACAAAAGCAAAAACTGTTTTTCGTGTCCCTCTCTCTCTCTCTCTCTCTCTCTCTCTCTCTCTCTCTCACCAAAGATAAACAATGCGTATATACTAACCTGACTCTTTACCTTTTCTTAATTTTAAAAAACAAGGTTCAGTCCCAAGGTTTCACGATATTTGAATGTGAATTTGGTGCATACACTCGACCACGCGAGCGTTGTTTGTTGCGTCAAATTTAGTGCCGATGGTCGATATTTAGCAGCTGGATGTAACCGGAAAACCTATATTTACGACGTCAAAACGGCTCAGCAGATATGGTAATGGTTTCACACATATACAAATACATATCCCTCCCTTCATTTCCACTTGTTGAGGATGTGATTCGGTGGCTGATTATCTATTACTACTACTATTATGCAGTGCTTTGCAAGATGATTCTGTACAGAAAGACGGGGACTTGTACATTCGCTCCGTGTGCTTTAGTCCAGATGGAATGTACCTTGCAACGGGTGCTGAAGATAAACAAATCAGAGTATGTCTTACATTTTTACACGAGACACCATCGACTAGAAAAGCTCACTGACACCTGCCTGCTCTTAATTACTTGCATTTTAGATTTGGGATATCGCTAACGGACGTATTCGCAGTCGATTACCTGGCCATGAACAAGACATTTACTCGCTTGATTTCAGCCGCGACGGACGCATTGTCGTATCTGGATCAGGTGACCGTACCGTCCGGATATGGAGTATGACTGAAGACCGATGTCTACACACGCTCCAAATCACTGATCTGGATCAAAAGGATCCTGGAGTCACCAGCGTGGCAGTTTCACCCGATGGCCGCTTGGTGGCAGCGGGAAGCTTGGACAAAATGGTGCGCGTATGGGATGTGAACACAGGTCAACCTTTGGAACGACTTGAAGGTCACAAGGATAGTGTATACTCGGTCGCATTCATGCCAGATGGTCGACACTTGGTCAGTGGTAGTTTGGACAAGACGTTGAAGCTTTGGGAACTGGGTACAAATGAAGGACGTGGCTACGGAATGGAACGAGATCGTAGTAAAGGACCGTGTAAAATGACATTTACGGGCCATAAGGTAAACAGTCCATTGTAACTTGACTCGCTCCATACATGTTTATAATTGAGGATTATGAAGAAATAACCTCACCTCCCCCTTACGTGCAATTTCATGCAGGACTTTGTATTGTCAGTCGCTTGTACGCCTGATGGCCGCTGGATTGTTTCTGGATCTAAGGATCGCGGTGTCCAATTTTGGGATCCACGGACTGGCCAGACTCAATTCATGCTTCAAGGTCACAAGAACTCAGGTTTGTATCGCCAATGATATTGTCAAACAATAACAACGGATTTTTGAGTTGCCATCCACAAATAGATGCTCATCGGCCCTGCACACTTGTTTTGTTTTGTTTTTTTAGTTATTTCTGTCGCTATCAGCCCAAGTACAGGTCGCCCGGTCTTTGCAACAGGTTCCGGAGATAACAGAGCGCGCATTTGGAGCTACGATCCGATCGCATAAAATATCTATTTCGCTTCTCTATTTTTTTTTATTATTATAATGCTTTCCTTATTCTGTCGCTTCTCCTTCTTTACCCGTGCGTTATAAATGATACACATCTGCACATCTGACAGTTTTAACCCTAAAGCCGCTTCTCGCTTTCCCTTTCCCTCTTTACCATCCTCTTCACTTAACACTCCTACATCTACGCACCACAGCACCACAGCACCCCAAAAAACAATTACCACTGCAGATTGTTTATCTTCAACCAAAAACAAAAACCAACGAAAAAGCAGCCACTAGGACAGCATCTGCGCAGATAAACAGACATTTACATCATTCTTTGCTTTTTTATCTTTTCCAGCGGCATCAGTATATACATTTGCCCAACCGAAAAACATGCAACATGATCGTAGAACCTTACTCTTTGAGTGTGGACATCCACTCTTGCAGTGTGCGATCTTGATATGTGTAATCTAATCCGACCGTCCCTTCTTCAATATGTTGTCTAGTTCATAGAGCGAGTTAATATCTAAAATGTAACAGCCATTTATCATCATCATCTTGAGGATGGTCTTCATTTTTTACCGTTCTTCTACTGCATCCATGACAGCCATGGTCTCCTTATCAGCTTGCTTGAGTGTATTAAGCTTGGACCTTAATAGGGCTTCTTGCTCTGCCACAAATTTGGATTGGTATTTGGTACTGTGCTCTATATTATTTAGTGGGTAAACAAAGTCGATCAGTATATAGCTATAATGTAAAGGCTGTATTTGCATATATCCCAACAATATCGACATCGTCAATCAGTTACTCATTCGATAAGCTACGTACTTTTTAGTGCTGCCACTGACTTTATAAGAGCATCCACTGCGTCTTCACGAGGTTTATGTTCACCAATATCGACATTGCTTTCTTCCAGATCCTGTTGCCATCGTGCTGCCAGGTTTTCCAGAGTCTCGCGTAATTCGGATTCTGGTGGTTCAGTGACAGCCAATGCGTTGACTAGAAATTTTTAGATAAAAACAGTACAATATTTCTCTTTGAGTGAATGGATCAATAGATGCATGTTTTCTTTCTATTCTAATAAAATAAATTGTAGGGGCCTTCATTACCTCGTATCAAGACTTCGCCTAGTTGATCAACAACACCTTGACGAGACTATATATAATTATGCACAGAAGATATTTAAGTATGAATTCTTTCATTCTCCATCGATCAGTAATTCTTACAGGTCGCAAATATGGATGAAAGCAGTCTTTGATTTGCTCCAATCGTGTGCTATCACCTTGAGTTGCAATGGCATCATTACTAACAGTACGACGTATATTAGTCAGTGAAGAGAATTTATAACCAAAATCTGGAGTATCATGTTACCTTCCATTAAACAGTGGTAGTTGGTGAAATAAGTCAATCTTACGACGAATACTGTTCTTGAGCTCTTTGCAGTTTCCATCCAATTGCTCCAGTAATGTTTTCCGACGTTCATTTTCTTCATTATCACACTTTGAGAAGGATGGGGAAAATATAGCAATTGATGAGAGACGAGATTTATGAGCGAAATTATATCAGTATGACACGAACCAAGCAAACTATCTGGGAGAAGAAATTACCTTTTCACGCTGCTCCTTTAATTGAAGCGCGCCTATCCGTACAAGTCCCATCATATGTGCTATTTGACGCTGCTTTTCTCCTACAGCATTGACTGTACTTTCTATATTAACTTGATTATTACTGGCAGTACAAGATATATGGGCATCCATTACTTTGGCCTGCAAAGCATTGGCTTGTTCTTGAGTCGCTTTTCGTTGTGCTGCTGCGCTCTGGCTTTCTGCTTCCGTTCGAATCCGTTTTCTAAATTTATTGTAGCCTGTTAGATATAACACTCACATCCCATACCATAGCAATCATTTATCATGGTAGTTTGCGCTCGTTTGTCATAAATATCTATGTATCACTTACAATAACGTCGTTTGAACGTTAAGATCGCGGTAAAGTTTGCGGATACGCGTCCGTAAATCTTGCTCTAATTGACCCACTCGTGCTTCCAAGACATCACACTCTTTTCTGACGCGTTGCGTTTCGTGTTTGCGCTGGGTCAAGTCGTTTTTTATGCGACCTTCTGTATCCTCATCGATGCTTTTTCGTTGCCGTAACGATGGTGATGATGATGCTATTTTATCGCTTGGTGGCTCGATTTTATTGACTATCTCTTTAACCAGGTCAAAAAAAGGTGTTGACGACGACGACGAAGACGCGCTTTTCTTAGACAGTGTCGATGCGAGCAGTTCAAAAATATCTCGAGCATCCGGTGGTTCTTGCTCATGTTTGAGGATCTGCTGGTATACCGCTTGGAATGACTCAAGTTTTTTTTCATTACTACTACTACTGCGTAGGTATTGATTTGACTGCTGTTGTCTGTCATTGTCGCTATCGCCGTTCATCCAAGACAAAGGTTGATCAGAAGAGGTAAACATTATGGAGTGATAGGCATGTTGACGTTGTGTGCGTCGATCGACTTGATTGTGGTATAGACGTAGGCATTGCGATCGTTTCCGCTTGTCGCGAATCTCTTGTTCTGTCTTCTTGATCTCGTGTCCTACACTCCACCAACAAACACACACACATACGATTAGAATCAAGGCTGATCCAGTGTCGCTAATAGGGAGGGGAATAAGAAATATTCATACACACCAAGTCGCTGTATCCGTAAGAGTGTCTCTTCGTTGCGTTCTTTACTGGCAGCATAAGCTGCTCGAGAGTGATCCATAGCGAGAGATTAATTTGGGTGGAAAGAGTTAGCTTGATTTTTTTATCTCCTGGCACCATCGGGCACCCTCCCTTTAATATTAAATTTCTTTCTAACTTGTATTTATGCTTTACCTGCTGTCAATTATTCGTTAATCATGATATACGTAACGTGTACGTTTTTCGGCTGGAGTATATATAAATACAAAGAATTAAAGATTGACGAACACTTCTGTAATTTTAAATTCATGAGTACTAACCTTTCAACTAACAATGTCAATGTGGCGAATTGATACGAACCCGCAAGCGCTAGTAACTTTCAGGGAAATAATAGGCTAGGTATATTATATAGAAATAAGCATTTTGCTCCTAAAAAATTACAGTATTGCGTATAAAATGCGCACCTTGTTGCATAAATGTGCGGTTGTGGTATGAAAAAAGAGTATGTTATATACTGTGAAAGTTTAAACCTGAGTAATCAGTATATTATAGTACATAGCATACAATAGCACGCAACTGGATGTATCGATGCACACCTACCATACTGGCAATATCGGCAACCTTTCAAAGATCGTCAACTAGGGACACACTGGAGCTGACGTATACTTGTTACTTGCAATGAGTAGTTATATAGCCTCGGATACAATCCGTGCCAAAATCAAGGGAAAGGGCTTTATTCTGTGTGGTGCCAACTTGGTCAATGATACTATTGACAGCAAATCATCCAAGGAAAAATCCACCATATAAGCTTCATACACTTGAAACCTCCTGGCTGGCTGCTACCTAAAAATTACCAACGTACGATTTAATATACCATAAGAGTCACTTGAACCTCAAATATAAATCTGGTCACAAAACTTATATTGAATCCACTCTGTAATCATAGACATACAACGGGGGTTCAGTTGAATGTGGAAACGAGGTAGCGGGATGTGTCACAGCCATGTCGTGTATTACATGTTTTGCTTTCTGGTAAACTTCAAAAGAAACAATGACTAAGGGACGTACACGTCTACTACGGTGACCAGTGCTCCACCCCTTCCTTTACACAACCTCCGCCTCGTGTTCTACACGTTACAACTTGCAGAGATCAATTATGACACGTACGACTTTCGGATGGTATATAGAAAAGCAAAAGTCATGATGATAACCTAACGTACAAACACACGCTTCACTCCTCGACACCGACATCATCAAGCCTGTTCGTAGCTGGTAAGACATAAGAGCATTATTTAACCCTTATTTACAACATCTGCCATTGAGTAACGACGACAACAACAGCAGGAGCAGCAAAATGCTGCCTTCTCAACCAAACGATTTGAGTTGATTGAGTTCGCAACACCCTTGCACGCTTGCATTGCAAAAACTCTTCTGACGCAGCGATTTTCACCACGTATATACCGTATGATTTAAACTTGGTTTGTAAATCATATTTCGAGCCACTGTCGTCGTTGCTTCGCATCCATGCCCGATCAAAGGATTTCTGCCGGTAGCTTGCGCACAAATATTTTCCACGTCGAACTGCCGTGAACTGTGGAGAAGATAATCCATCGATGTAGCTAGATTGCACCGTTGACTGAATGCCTGCTCCAACGAATGTGCTGCTCTAGTGTACTAGCCAGTAAATGGATAATGAGCTGTTCTCGTGAATACATTTGCCCTGATTGTTATCAATGTAAGAAATATTAACGGACCTATAGCCTAGCCTCATACCTTTTTCCAATTGCACAACGGAAGTGCTGGGCTTTTAGTATGACTATACGAAACGGTCAAGAAGATGGTGTGCTGACAACAATCCGGACATTCGCGCAGTGTCATGCAATATGTCTGGGTGCTAATTATCGTCGTGGTGCCATTATGTGGAAACCTATCTCGACCTCGTGCTCCACTCGCTTTTAACAAGTATGGTAATAAATGCAGTGAACTTTTTATTTCGGATGTATTATTGTACAGATAACTTAAGGGAACTAGTTCTCGGTTTTTCTCCAGTTTGCCCATTCCTCAAGCGTGGCATCATCAATGTAATCATATCGCCAGATAAATCCATCTTCGCCTGCACAGATGACTTGACTAAATTTTCAAAACAAACATACATGTTAAAAATTAAAGAATGTTATATACGCATCTAGTCACAGTCTTTCTTACCGGCAGTCACGGGTAAATACACAGCATCGTACAGACTTTGTTGATCGTCGGTGAGCAAGTTCGGTCACTAGTTTACCAGTATGGATGTTATAGATAAACACACATCCTTGACTATTGCCTACACAAATAAACGACTCGTCCAAACTGTTCCCTCGATATAAATCAGTCTCGTTATCGTGTATAATCATATACAATTGTTCTTTTCAATCTCCTTTTTTACCTAACGTCGAATCGTGAAAAGTTCTCGGTTGTCCGTATCCGAAATGATCGAATGCTCTTTTCAGTCTCTGTATTCCAATACTCCATACGGCCATTAATAGACTTTGTCAGTACGTTCCCATTTGCGAACCGTATACAATCTACATTATTTTCCATGATAGAAGTATGAATTAACGTGGACATGTACATATTAATATAACATACATGAACGTAGACATACCGATATAGTTATCACCGTGATACTTTTTAAACAGACGTGAGTCTTTCTTTGTGATTGTCAGTGTCTCGTTTTCGGGAACATCCTTTGGAATAATCCATTCCCGAAGCTCGCCACGTGCGCTACCGGATATAAACTTTTCACCCGTTTGATCAAAGCAAGTGACCGTTGCATCAGCTTCAAAGATGGCCAGGCACCGCTTAGCATCAACGTCCCATAATCGAGCTGTACCGTCTTTGGATGTTGACAAGATGTAGTTGTCGCTGGAAGGATGTGTTTGTAAATCATGAATCGTTTCTACAAAAATATCATACATGACCGTCGTTATGGATGATAATTTCAATAATATCAAAGGAGCAGCATACATTCTTCCTCCTCGTGAAGAGCTGAAAACGTACTGGTATGACCATGTAGGATGGCAATTTCTTTTGAATTCGCCAGGCTGACAATGTGTATCAATCCATCGGTACCAGCCAATGCAAGCCATGCGTCATTTTCTCGATAAAGCCAGCAAAACGTGTGTAGATCCTATATAGCCCCACACAGAATATATTTTAGCAACAAACGATTTGTTGTTTTTTTTCGCTGTCGTTGCATACTTACGCGTCGTACTGGATCTTCTTCTTTGTTTTGAAGCACAGACAAGTCAAAGTTTGACATAATATCCAAGTGATCACCACAGTGCTCGTTATCGTAAACGTTCAACTAAGTCCAAATCGTAAAAAAGAATTTAGTCAGACAATGTACTTTTCAAACTGTTGTTGTATTTTACCTGGCATCCGCCTATTGTAGCCAAGACATTACTCGTGTCGGTTTGTTCACGCTGAACTGATCCTCGTTTGTCAAACGTCTTTGTCACGTCGATACCCACAGGGGCAGAAAAGTTCTTATTGTTAAAGAAGAATGCAAGTTGATTGACGTCGGTGCCGTGGTTTTCTTTAATAATTCGACGTAATCGCATGTTGCTGAAAACACGTTCCTGACGCTCTTCGCGTGAAAGTGGTTTTTCTTCGGTTTTAGCCATCTTGTTGCTCGGTTCCTGTACTTGTTGTTCAAGTTCTCCGCCATCGCTTGCATCTGAAAGTCGTCTTTTCAATGGCAGTGTTGTTGATTCTGTTGTTGTTGTGCCAACCATTGCTATTGTTGCTTCTTCTGGCTGTGTGAGTGTGTTTGTGGTTGAGGGTCGCGTATTGTTGGAGAAAAAGAGAAAAGTAAAAAATGAAGAACCCGTGTTTCGCGCACCGCGACAAACGGAGAACAACGCGTGACGTACCAGCGAGCTGAAGTATTATACAGCACTCTTAAGCTCAGCAGTACGGCGACGCTCCTCTTTTTCGATATAGCATAAGCAACGCCTTTTCTTATAAAGAATGCCGCACGTAACATTGTGAGTAACTTTGTCGTTACAAAAAAGATACGCGCGATGGATGGTTTCTCGGGATCTTGTATACTGACATTTAAACATTTTTAGATATCCTTTAGGTAACTAGTACTAGTAGTAATATAGCTATATGACGGTGTAACGAAAAGGAGATCTGCATACCCCAAAAAGAAAAAGAAAAAAAGCTGATCCGATTATCAAAACGTGAACAGAAAACTATACATTTGGCGCGAAAGATGCACAACCGGAAGAAGACTCGTCGGTAGCGGCTCGCTTAAAACGACTAGAAAATGACTATGAAACGCACGGCATGCGACGGACGGTTGAAGCTGTCATGGTGGTTCATCAACATAACCATCCTCACGTTCTTATGCTTCAAATCGCTAATGCATTTTTCAAACTGTGAGAACCGAGCTCGTTTGCGTTTGAAAGTGCGTGTGTGTGTATTGGAAGGTAATATTAATGTATGTAAATAATTAGACCCGGCCACTACTTGCAACCAGGCGTAGACGAACGTGAAGGACTCAAGCAGATTTTAAACGAACGACTCGGCCCAGCAGATCCAAATGAATGGCCCAACGAACCACAGTGGGAAGTTGGTGAATGCTTAAGCACATGGTGGCGACCCAACTTTGAATCCTATATGGTGAGAATTCTATCATCTTACACTAGTAAAAAAAATGTTGCACAACACGCAGATGCACATAGACTCACACGCACACTCTCATTCTTTATTGTATCAAGTATCCTTATACTCCTGCCCATGTTACCAAGCCTAAAGAAAAGAAAATGTTGTACTTAGTGCACATGCCACCACACAGTAAGTTACATGCTAACAGTACCGGCAGTAGAGTTTTGACACATCCCACTCACTCACACCCACTCTGTCCTTTTTTAAAGAGGTGCTCACAGTACCCAAAAACATGAAGGTCCTGGCCATCCCATTGTTTGAATTATACGACAACGCCGCGCGTTACGGTGCGCAATTATCTGCGATTCCCCATTTACTGAGTCGATACGACTTTGAATACAAGCCAATGTAAATATGTCTTTAGCTTCTAATATAAAAAGGGCCTCTTTTGCTCTTTAGGCGTCTTCAGCAGAGTGGTTAACCTTGGGGTTAAAGAAGAGCGAATCCTTGCCCCAGAAGTAGTCCTAGTCATTTTATGTTTCTATGAGAACTCTTGTCGGTTTGTTTCCACGGTAGTCTATTTTTATAGTACCTTGACGCGCCAGTTCATGTATGGGTACTGCACCCATTCGTGCGGGTGCTCGGCCTGATGCTTTTCGTGGGCCTTCATAAGGTTGTACGCATTGATACCAGAGCCCAAAAGACTAACGAAACACCCCAGTTTGCATGAGCAACCTTCTTTTTCGCTAAAGAGGATAAAAGAGTTGAAAAGGACTTACGCAGGAATGCACACAAATAAGCTAATCTTCTTCCATGTTTCAGCCGCGTCTACATAGCAACACGTAAACATCATAACATCAGCCGATTTTTTTTATCTTCCACCCGCCCCACAAAACCAAAAAACAAAGAAGTAGCTTTCTTGTTAAAAGATAGAATATCATTATTATATTACCGCCAGCATGGTGCTTGACTGCGTCACGTTCAGCAGCAAACTGAGACTGGTAGCGAACACCAGAGCGCTTTGCAATCTGTGACAATTGCGAGTTGAAAAGTACACGAGAGGCCATGAGAAAATTAAAAAACAAGAGTTGGGAGAAGAAAGAGGATTAAAAGGAGGGCAAACCCGATCCAGCTGTCGGCGACTTAGCAGCGTGCAGGAATCGCTGGGGTTGAAATCCCAGAGTGACTACTGTTCCCAAAATTCAGAGCCTTGTGTGCAACAACACAGCGTTTTGCAACAAACGTACAGTAAACAAAATGACCGAAGGTATATAAAGTCAAGCAATAAAGAAGAAATTGCGTTTGCATGATGCCATTACACAATGCAAACTGAACTGCTGTTTCTCATTTGTATTAGTCGCATCTCAGTCCGCTATGGCCAAGTCGCGTGTTCCTCTTGAATACCGCGATTACTGTGCCAATCTGCTCATTAAGTTGAACAAGTGCCGTGGCGAGACTTTCTATTTGCCCTGGAAGTGCGAGAACGAGCGTCATGCATACGAAAAATGCCAATACGATGAGTACGTTTTCTTTTGGATATTTACTTTTGTACAATTAAAGAAATTGTAGGTTTTCATTGAAAGTAGAACTAGACTAACAGCGTCCTTTTTTTTTGGTTTGTTTATTTTAGCTTCAAGAAGCGTGTAGAGGCCAAGGCCGACGAATAAATCACAAAACCATCATCCACTACACTATTACACACCTACAGTCATCAACGCCACACAACCACAATAAACGAATAACACAAAAAAATTGTCTTTTTGTATTCCAACTGTACAATTATATATATTTCTTGTTTACGACTATACACACGTACACAGACACACACATTCAGATCTATATCAGCGTTGCCCCTGAGTGATCGGACACGGTGGAAGCCCGAGCAGGATTTGCACTGGTAGCAGAGTTGTTATCGGCAGCGAGATAATGCATCAACGATTCGAGATACACTTCGGCAAACGAGGACATGTAAAACTCGTGTTCGGAACAATGGCCACTGACAAAATTGTGCGCCAACTCATGACAAAATGTCATGAACCAGTAGATAAGCGCTTCTTTACGCTTTGCTTTGGATTGTGCTGAATCGTCCGTCTCGTGGAGCGCCACATAGTATCGTAGGTTCAAAAATAAGCTGCCGTTCACATTGAATGCAATTGTCGAGCCTTGTGTGTCATAAAATAAATGCAGGCTGCTTTCCTTGAGCTCAAAGACGGTTGCCAGTCCCTTGATAATGTCGACAAAACGGCTCATGGCACCGCTGTATTGTTGGTGCACGTCCTCTGCAACCACATCGCGGTATACATAAAAGGAGATTCCCTTGACACGGCCGGACGAAACAAGGTTTTGCTGTGGTTTGACATCGCAGTAGTAGTTGGATTCGGCGACTTGGTTGATTTGCGGGCGCGAGAACAGGTGTTGGTCAGTATAGGATTTGCATGAATGGATGGCTCGACGTAAATTCTGCTTGACATTGGATGTGTAGTTGGGAGTGATGGTTTCTTCTGCATCGGGTAACATAGGCTTTTTGACGGGTTGTTTTTCGGGTGTCTGCGGCTGTGGAAGTTCCTTCTCGATGGGCGATTTGGGAGGTGGTGGTGTGGGTGTGGATTGCCGTGAGCCTCTCCAAGACCAGATTCGATCCAGCAATCCTCCTGCCCCTCCTTGATCAGCGGGAACATTTTCCACGCCTTCAGAACGATGAGCGTTGTTGTTCTTGGCCTCTTGTGCTGCAACCTCTTTATCACTCTTGACCTCTGAATTGCGTGGGTAATCATTGTCATTCAAAAGCTTGTTGATGACATTCTCGGCGTGGTTCTCGCGTTCCTGTGCCAATAATTGCCGGACATAGCCTTCTTGACAATCGCCAAATACTTCGAGCACTTGTTTTGTGCACTGGTCAAGTTGTGCCGGGGTAAGTGTTGGATGAATGGGTGATGTTGATGGCGGTGAGTGTATTGGGCTGCTTCGCTCCATTGGAGGGGAAATCTTTTGTTTCTCAACGTTTTTCCGGATGTTTAAAATACGGTCCACTGGAACACCTTTTCGTCGAAGACTTGTGAGTGTTGCAGTCAAGTATCGTTCAACTACAATCGCATCGTTGAAGCGAACACGTGTAAATATTAAGGCGCATAACGCATTTGCGATATCGTAATAGTCTATCTCGCCCATGCTGGATATGTATATGGTGAAGCTGCTTTTATCGGTGCATGCAGTCGTCGGTTGTACATTGTGCTCGCCTGTATGTTTGAATTTTCGGTTGATTCTGAGCTCTTTTGCTTGGATCACCTTTGTAATAAAGATTAGTTTTACACATAAATCTTGTTTTTTCTTTTTAAAAAAGTTGCTTACCTTTAAGTTTCTCTTTACATATTTTTCGTCGTGACACAACTCTTTTTGTCGCTGCGGGTTATCGCTCATCATTTGGTAGATGATGATGGGTACACGTTCAAAAATGGCATCAGTAACGGCTTTAGATCGATTAGTGACGCCCATATTATAGCTATATGTATAGGTTTCTTTGATTTGTCTATCAATAAAAGCAAGAAGAATAGAGGTTAAGTCTTAGAGCCATTAGCACTAAAGAAGCATTTATTTACCTTGACAACCGATCGCTTCCCAAATGCGCATAGAACTCTTCGAGCAAAGGCTCCATGGGTGCTGATAGGGGTGAAAATATTTGCTGTGCCATGGTATCGTCAATGATGAAAATATCGCTTGCTTGAGCCAGTCGATATTGAACGAATTCATCTTGTTCCTTTTGGTCATCATCGTTGTTGTTGTTGTTGTTGTCAGTTATACCATTTGTTGCGGCAGGTACTGTAAGTTGCTGCTGATCTGATCCTGGGCCGGATCCCATTTGACTCCGTTTGATACCAACGAGGAAAGGAGTATTTTTCATATCTTGCAATAACCGTCTATTGCTTTTGAGATGATAATACTGGCCCGCTATTTGTCTCAATACAGCCAAATAACGCTCGCCGCCACCACTGAGGTTCCAGAAGCGGGACGGATCCTTGACAAGCATGGATGCCAATTCCATGGTAGTGGGCTCGTCCTTGACACCGCATGAGCGTAGGAATGAATTGGCAAGTTGGCCAAAATCCACATATAAAAATAACTCTTTGTGGAAAGTCGCCTCTCCTGATTCAAAGTAGCACTGAGCAGGTTCTATCAAAACGGTATCGCCTTGATGGGATTTGACGGGAATAAACTTAACGTCACGCAGCTTGGGCCATTGCTCATAGCCGATATCACCCATACGACTTGCCATGTATTCAAATATCCGCTTGGCTTGAGTAACGTCCTTGGTGACTTTCTGTAGAAAGGCATCCACGAGTCGCTTAGCGTCTGGGTTTTCTCGGATCCCCAATTTGTCTCGGACGCAGACAAGGTCCCGGTGCAGCGCATGGAATCCAAGCACTTGAACGTCTGGGTTGGTAAAACAGTCTCTCGGCATTGAGTACGTTTTACCATCCGAGCATGGTAAGAACGTCATATCAATTTGTGATGGATGATACGAATCTTCGTATTGTTTGTGGTTGTCTATGAAATAGTGTAGTGCCCGCATCTGCAGCTGCCGGTTGTTGGTTTCAGGCGATGCAAGTGTCAGGATGGTCGATACAGATGGTGAAGAAAGCAAGCCAAGCTTTTCCATGAATCGTGCTTCGTCACTGCCGGAGCGCCAGCCACCGCTATTGCCACGGCTACCATTTTGCTGTTTCCAATCAATTAATGGCAAATTCAAGCTCCTGAGGTTCTCTGTAGGCATATAGAGATCCTTGGCCTTGTATCGACGGTAAATTTGTTTCTGGCGCTTTTCGATCACAGGTTTGCCTTCTGCGTCAACTGCTCCAGTCTTACGTTCGACAGTCTTCGTCTTGGGCTCTTCGCCTTCTTTTGTAAAGATGGGTGTCTCGCGTAATCGAACCACTTCGGTCTGACTCAGCGTACTTTGAACACTTGTAAGATATTTCACCAGATCGACATGAGACCAGCTACCATCCGAGATTAGTCGGTCAAACACCAACTGTAGTTCTACGTGCTTTTTTTGTCACGGGAAACGATAGTATTGATGAGCAACTTCTTAATGTATAAGAGAAGATAGTTTTTAATCTCTCTACCTTTCGAACACCCAGTGCTGCAAGGAAAACATCGCTGATCGTATGCTTGGTATTTTCAAAACGGACAATTGGTAGGTCATCAAAAAGTTTGACAGTCTCAAAGTACGACTCGTGAGGTAGTTTCATACCATTTCTTGTAGGTACACACTTTTTGCCTTGCAATATCTTGCAGATTTCGGCTTGACCTTTTGTAGAAGTATGACTGTATCCTCGAGAGACAACGAGCAGTGTACGTTCAGCAAACGTGGCAGATACTTCAAGCTCCTTGGCATTATCAACGATATAGCGAACCCACTCAACCATAGATAGCTCACACCAATCTCTAACAGAGTATTAACAATAGCAACATCTTCTCAGCTTTCTTGATCCATAGCAAATCGTCCCACCATACAAATCAAAAACAGTAGCAACTTACCCAAAGCAAGTCGCAAGATCTGCGCTATAAAGCGACTTGCTCACAGAGAAAGGCAGCACGGATTCAGGTACAGGCATATCAAGAGGAATCCTTTTTGGATTGATCCACCATTTGATGGTAGACAATGCCACCAACCGATCATTATTGTCTGTAGACAAAATAGCAGCATCCAGGAACCGCTTCCGTGCTTGAAGTATGTCTGCTCCAGCAATCCGTGCGTTTTTGTTTTGATCGATCCACCATTTCATGCACGCCGTCATTTCGCTCGTGTTCAAAGGCCGAGCTTCCAATTCCTTGAGGACATCATTCATATCCAGCGTACGTAGAATACCAAACGATTTCAGCTTTTCTACACTATCTTTGCAGGTTTGAAGCATCACGGGCGTAATCGTGGGAATCGTTTTTATAAAGTCATTCAAAAGCTGAGGCGAATTGAAAACAGGTTCTGGCAGGATGCGTGTCTGGGTAGCAGCCTGCACACCGTGTGATGTCATGACCATAGCAGGAGTTTTGCTTGATTTGAAGAATTGTTCTTCTTGCACACTACCGACAAGCGGACTGGGCGTTGAGTTTTGAAATGTAAATGATGCTAATGCATGCGCTGCTTGTCTTTCCAACATGACTTTGGCGTCGTCTGCGGTAGTTGCAGCAGAAGACTTATCCACAACATCATTATAACCGACGAGTTCTCGATACAGCCGATGGATTTGCTCCATCTCGCTGTTGTAGACGATGCGACACAATAGGCCGCCGACCGCCAATAATTCAGTATTCCAAATGCGCAGATATCGTTCGGCAAAATCAATGCTTTCGCGTTCGACACTGGGAATGAATCGAGCAGCCATGTGTGAGCAGCAACCGGTCGTTTGATGTGTTGGAAATCCAATAAAGACACGACCTTGGTTAGGGAAGGGTATCAGGTCTTTAAATATGGCACTATTGTTTTCCGACGCATCCAATTCCTCGCGTCCGGTATACACTAGCTGGAAATTGGTCTGTTTGGGTGGTTTTTTCTTTGTTGATCGTTCCATTTCTCGTTCAAAGTTACGTGGTACGCTGACGTCGAGTGATGCTGTCACAACGCGTAGAAATATGTTGGCTTTTTCCATCGGAAGTCCCGAGGACGAATCAACAGGTCGTTTGTTGTAAATGAGTGAAAGCATGCTGGGTGGTGCGTATTTCTCTGTGCTCAGCTGGATTTTGCGCATACTAGCCCCGGTGATGGTGAACATACGTTGCGGTGATGAGGTGTGTACTTTTCGTGCGTCGACTGTCATCGTTTCTGGCTCGCCCATGCCCTTGTTGATGGAAAATATCACGTGCTGGTCGAACTTAACTGTAATTTTTCGCAGGTTGGCAGTAAATCCCTGGATAGGAAATGCAAGTGTTATTTATCACATAGTTTTATGAATAAGACCACACCTTGTTTTCTTACCATGCTCGTAGATAAGAACTTGGCAAAATCATCCAAGTTTGGTAACTCCATAGGCTCCCTTAAATCCATCAAAAATGAAGTCCAAGAATCCCGATTCTCTTCTGGCACATCAGCTCGTTTGGCAAAGAGCTGATCGCCTTTAAAATAGAATGCCATGCATTGTGATCCAGAGAACACACTATTACCAGAAAGTGATTCTTTCCGTTTAATCACATATGGAACCTATCCACCAAAGAATCGTTGACAGTAATAGTATGATTAAACAACTTACAATGGATTTTCACATACGGAAAACAACGAGTAAAACCCGACACCAAAGGCACCAATCTTTTGCTCATCTGTATACAATTTTGTAAGTTTAGAAAAATATATAGTACGTACGAACACACATCTCACTTGATCAAAATAGTTTCTTTGTAGCCAACTATTACCAGGATTTCCTTCAGCTATTCGTTTCAAACGAGACCAATCTTCAGGGCGGAACGGTATACCGTTATTCTTAAAAGTGATCTTATTCATTTTAGCGGACAGGTTGGGTTTGGTTGGATCGCTCTGACCGGTATGAAACTGAATCTCGACGGTTGTAGAAGTTGCGTCGTCTAATTGATCCCAGCACATACAAAGGGTATTAACTCATTACGTTTCTCACTCTCTCTCTCTCTCTCTCTCTCTCTCTCTCTGTGTGTGTGTGTGTGTGTTTTTTTCTCTTTGCTGGTCTGCCAAGCTCTTTCAAGTACCACAGTTGACTCTCAAAGAAGACGGAACGGGCTTACCTGCATTCTGCATAAGTTCTCGATAGAGTACATATTCCGCGGAATAGCGGGCCAAGATCTTGTCGATAAGATGTCGTTGATTCACTATTTTTATCAATTGTAAGAGTCAGTCCCAAGGAAAATTGTATTATGCATTACGGAAATGCTTTGAATTTACAATACCCTCTACTTTTTCCTCGGTTCCTTCTCCACCCATCATATTGGAGCGTACAAGCTCCAAACGACTTTGCATTGTGTTGTTGTTGGTGCTGGTATAAGGTAAGGAAATGTTCAGGAAATTTAGAGTGAGGGTGGAGGAGGGGGGTGAGGTGGCGGAACGTTAAGAAAGAGAGAAAGCCCAAGCGCAGCTCAATGCTTTGTCTCGATTCAGATACTTCTGTTGGATCTGCTGACCTCCTTTTTTTGGCTCAGGTACAGGTAAATCCGGTTTATAGAACTTTGTATCCCACATATTTTATGCAGTGACAACATACATTTCCTTCTTACTCTGGGTAGTATAGCTTGTGCCGACTATTGCTGGTTGAGAAACAGTAAAAGCCTGCTACATACCTGTACTACTATTCACACATCGATTATCTATTGTTTGAGCAATTGACTATACACAATTACAAAGTCTGGACAATTAGATTCAATAGAGCTTCTATACGGATACGACCACGTTTTTGATGTTTAATTGACCAGCCGTGATAAGTCACAGCGGCTTTTTCGCATTGATGTGTTCGGTTGGCGTTGAAACTATCTTTGAGCGCATGCGCTGTGTTTTCAATCCAGGCAACTTTTTGTAGCCCGTAGATATTATAATGAAGGGCAATGGTTTAGCTCTTCTATACTGGAAGTCCAAAATCTACTTTGCTCCTATGCTAACAGTATCTTCTACTGCTACATATTTAAGAGAAAGGGTTAAGCTTTTCTTCGTGGTTCTAATATCTCCGTGAAATCTACACGCAGTGTTAAAAAAGATGTCAGTCGGACTGGGGAAGTATTAGCCGATGACTGATCGTGTAGTAACGCTGAATAATTATATTTCACACTTGCTCTTTTATATTTACTCTTTCCCTTCCTGTTGCTTTGAAAAACAATGAGTGAAAAGACTTTTGAAAAAGGTGTCTCTGATCCTACCCAGAAACTCGATGGCTCCGGCCTTCGCATCTGCATCGTCCATACGCGATGGAACTATGCTCTCGTCGACAACATGTACAAGAGCGTATATGAAACCTTGATCAACAAGTACGGTGTGTTGGCAGAAAACATTTTCACTGTGAGTAGTAGAACGGAATGGTCAACAAAAGCTTTTGCAACAAGACTATGTGGAAATGGATTGGGGAGAAAAAGGGTGACACTTCGTACACAACATAGAGGAGGCTAATGTGCAAACCAATTCCCTAGGATACCGTGTCCGGATCGTATGAATTGCCCATGGCTGCCAAGCAACTGATTGACGCGTCCAAGTCTCAAGCTTCTGCCACTGCTAGCGATTTGCTTGGATCCCCTTCGCCTGCCAATAAGGAGGGCAAGTCTAGCAAGAAGACGGGGCCTTTTGATGCAGTGATCTGTCTCGGTATTGTTATCAAGGGTGGCACTGCTCACTTTGAATACATTTGCGATGCTGTCACTCACGGTATTATGCGCGTTCAATTGGATACCGGCGTCCCCGTCATCTTTGGTGTTTTGACTTGCTACAACGATGAGCAGGCCATTGCCCGCTCTAGCACAGAGGAAGGTTTCCATCATTCGGAAGAGTGGGCCGCTGCTGCTGTTGAATCAGCTCTTCGTACCAACCGCAAGCTGTAAGAAACGAACAAAAACGAAAACATCAGGGAAGCATTACCTCTCCCTATATATATAAGCATATGTATATATATAAATATATATCATTGTTACGTACTAAGATAGTAAATATATTGGCTCTATTGAACTTGAATGGTACGTTGTTGGGAATTTGTTTGTTGGTGTTCACTTGTCGTCGTTGTGGGTATGTTCATCAAAGCACTGCCTTAACGTCTTCATCATTACTACTACGAGCAGCTGCAGGTAGCCGCGAAAAAAAAAAGGTCGGTTTGAATGATGCAAACATTTATTCAGCTATGGCACTGGATAAAACAGCTGTACAGGCTAGTGGCTGGTACAGCTCCTTGTCGACCTTTGCCATCTTTGCGTGCACGTCCGCCGTTGTGTTTACGTGTGGATATGCTACAACCGGCTTCGGTTTATCCAAAAATCTGCAAAGGCGGGTCCACCCTTCCCCCAGTTCCATCACTAGTAAACGCTCTGGAGCCACAAACGTCTTTACCCATTCGTTATGCTGGATAAATTTTTGCTTGATAGCTTCCTCATCCTCAAACATTCCTGGAATATCGCGTGCGCCGTCTAAAACGACACGCCGGGACACACGGGATTTAGGTCTATCTAAGAGGTGCTTTGGCCTTTCACGCTTCCGGAATATCGTGTTTGCCATGGATCGATACCTAAATTGATGTTAGTTTTGAAAGGGTGGTTTTCTGCTGAGCAAGTAACGACATAATGTGGCAAGAGTTCGTAGCTACGTAAAGACATTATAAGATAGATATATATACCAGCTATTAGGATCGCGTACAGTCAATATCACTTTAGCATCTGGATATTTCAGCATTAATGGTTCCAGCAAAACACACGTTGGCCAATCCAAAGCAGCATCAAAGTCTTCGTACATATAGTCGAAGTCCGCTTCTTCTTCGGGGTGCTCGTACGCCTCGATGAACATATCTGCACGTCCACCTTCATCGTTGAAGGTCTTCCTATGATGTGTCTTGTACCTATTGATGCGTGTGAAAAAAAAAGGTGCTTTTGTTCAATAGGTCAACTTAATCATGTTTTATGGCATGTCCTAATAAATACATAGTAGAAAAAGATATTCACCCTAGCATATCTAATGCTACACGCAAACTATCGGTACCCGTTCTGCCATAACCTGCACCGATTATCTTGAGCGGAGCCATTTATTACAGGTATTCGTAAAAGTTGTCATATACAGAAAAAGGATTCTGAGCTTTTATATGCATTTAGCCCAATGCACCGCCATACGCCACGGGGTACCCACACATGCATATATGCCGCCAACACTACGCCATCAACAGCTATGCTGCAGGTTCCTAATTCGTAGCAGATCGGCTGACTGAACTTTCTCTTTACTTGCGTAAACATATTAGCGTATGGTTGCATTTTATGTTTATTGATGTTTAAGTTGTACCTATCAGATGACCAGCTTTCCGTTAAGCAAGCTCATACGCTCTACTGTGTATTAGACTTTGGAATTATACGATATCTGAAGGATTTGTTGAGCCGATTTTAAAGCATAAGGCCACGTGTTTCTTATTGCGGATTTATTTCCATTTTCTCAGGTCAAATATTACTTGAGAGGTAGTAAAGTAATCGTCGTACATTCCTCATGCTTTTGATGTATGACTAAATTATGTTGTCTTACAGCTTTTATCTGGAATAACCATTATACATGCAAACATACAGTAGTTCTTGCTTTATATTATACAAGATATTCTTACACTGGTAAAATTATTTCAGTCGATAAGCCTTAGGTTTCGATAGGATGAAATGATCTTTGAGCTACAATAATGATGAGCGGCCTATCACTGTTTGACAGTATTCACTATCAATATACTTCCATTTCAACGACAATTACAAAGCGACTTCAACCAGTAAATAAAGTTAAGGAAAAGTCAGCTCGGGAAACCTTTTGCGCATATCCGATGTTTTGTTTACATTGGGGTAGTCTACATTCGACGGCACAGGCACGTCCAAAAAATCGCAGAGTCGATCCCATCCTTCACCGAGTTGCATGACTAGCAGACGCTCTTTGGGGACGATACGCTTGACACGCTCGTTGTGCTTTACAAACTTGGCTTTCAATGCAACTTCATCGTTGAACAGGTCAGGGTTATCGAATGCACCATCCAGGATGATTTTCCCAACCATGTTGACTTTGGGTTTATTTTGCCTGCTTGGATCACGGCGTGAGGCATTGTGTATGAGGAAAATAGTGTTTCTCATTGACTGGTACCTAATGTACGTACATTAGTTGATTTACTCTTATAAAAATGACGGATATTATGTAACGTACCAGCTATTAGGATCCCGTACCGTCAAGATCACTTTGGCGTCGGGATATTTTTGCATCAATGGCTCAAGAAAGGAGCATGTAGGCCAATCTACAGCCGCATCAAATCCGTCGTATATAAAATCCCAATGAACAGCTTTCTCTGGATCCTCGTAGGCTTCAGTAAACATCTCTGTACGCCCGCCCTCTTCATTGTATGATTTCATGTGATGGGTTGTGTAGCTTAAGAATACAGCAAAAGAGGTTGATACTTGGATTCTTTTTATGCAGAACTGTACTAAGAAACGTACCCGAGTATATTGAGCGCAGTGCGTGCCTGTTCTTCCATATCCTGCTCCAATAATTTTCAAGGGTGCCATGTGTCTAGTAAGGTCTATCAGCGTCGACTTGGTTCAGTTATGCTTTATATAGAAAAATATGCGCGCTATATCGGCCTTTTTTCAGAAAAGGTCGCATCGGCAGCACGGTCGCGCCTTTGTGCTACGCATGATCTTGATAGCTACTGCAAGTGGTATATGCTTATATTTCCAAAAAGAACCTGTTTCTATTAAGCGTAAATCAGATATAATGTCGATGTCAATATCACACTTTTGTGAATTGACAGCCTTTTGCTGCTTGGACCACCAAGAGCTTGTGTATCGAAGCACATTGTGTATACTGCTCACTATAATAATCTAGCTTGCCGGGTTATCGTCGCACATTCGTCAAATGGCTCACAGTATCTTACGAAGAACGACTACAATCTACGCTCCTGTTTTTAAAAGCAGTTTCCTAAAGTCAGTAGCAGGACCATCTCACATCATCTTATACTACAATAATGTACACAATATATTCCTCTGCATTCCTTTACTATTCGACCGGTGCTATTGAATTTTGCAAAGCGACTGTCATGAACATACCTCAAACTGCATACTATGATCATCCCTCAAACTTGATGACTGTATAATTACATAATACATTTCCCAACGTTGATATCGACAAACATCACCATCCGACTTTTCAACCTCAATGGTAATTTCTCCGTTTACTCGCTTTATTGAAGTCCCATAGCAACATATACCATATTCTTTGCATAACAAAACGACAACCAGTTACCTTGTAACTTGCTATTTCGTCATCATCTGATCACCTACCTTCTTGTCTTATCCTGTTCTTGCTGAAAGCAACCAACACATTCTTGTCCGATCTTTCTGTCCTCGTCTTGCTCTCCTCTGTTATTGTCTTGCGTAGTCCTTGTCCGCACCTTGCAGCGATGATCTTAAGAACTTGACTGAGACAGCTCTGTGTTATTGTAAGATGCAAATCATTAAAACAGACATTATACACGAGTCCTTATTAATGTTGGATCATATTAAAATATATCAATCACACAACCGTACGCTGTAATCAGAATATAAATACACAGCTTTCACAACAGAAACAGTGCAACACTGTGGAATTCGATATAAGAGTATCATTTCAGCGCAATAGTAGTTGACTTGGCTTAGTGATTGAGATCAGATACTTTTGAGACGCGTATATGATATCGTTCAAGTATAATAGTCATGAATTAAAAAAATTAGTGCACAGTGGCAATACATTTCACTTCTCCAGAAGCTTGTGATCAAGCGGGATAGCTACGAAAACAATAAAAAACAGTGACACAAAAAAGAAAAGAAAAAAACGGTATTTTTACAAAAGAAAGATCTGAGCAGTTGATTCTGCTCTTCGAATGCTGACCCCTGAGCGACTCGAACGCCCAACCTTACGATCTGGAGTCGTACGCGCTGCCATTTGCGCCAAGGAGTCTTGGATGTCCTCTTTCTCAATTGCAAATACAAAGAGTGCTGAATGCGGGATCAAAGAAGAAGTAAGAAGAAGAAGTAATTTAGATAATTTTAGGCTAAATTACAGCAATTTGTAAAGGAATGCGTGGGAATTCTGTTAATAATAGATATAGGGAAAAATACAGATACTGCCTCTAATGTGTACTGCCTCCTTTAAGTAGTAAGTACATATATTACTTTTGAAAAGTACCCTATATTCATTTAAATATTATATTTTTTTATATATATAATATTGAACAATAGGTATAAAGAATCTGGCATAGATAGTTCGATTACTGGGGTTCATGATGCCCATCTGCATCCCTTTATCCTTGTCGTTCTCTTCCTCATGCTTTTCCAATTATACTTCATTTCTGAGTACTTGTTATGCATCATTATTGACTTTTGCATTCTACTTCTTAGTGATCTCTAGCCAAGCTTTTCTATCCCTACCTCACTTATTACTCTCTGTTATATCACTAGCTTCTCTGCACTGACCGATCACTTGTGTAAATATATGTGCTGTTCTCGTTGCTACAGCCTATATCTTGCATCTGATCCCCATTGCCTAAGGACATGCATCAATGACGATATATGCTACAATAGTTTATGCGGCAATGAATTGTTCAAGACTGTCAGTAATCTTTGGGTATCTATAAAAGAGTATGCCTATCAGCCCTTGTCTGCGACTATTGAGAGGCTTTTTTTGCAGCCTAGATTCGAGGCAAAGATTGAGGAATGGCAGAGTCGTAGACGAATTGTTGGTAACTCATTGAACATTTATGACGGTGACATATGGCGGGAGTTTCGTAATTGTGAAGGCAGGCCATTTGTTGAGTAGCACCATGCACTGTTATTCACACTCAACGCAGATTGGTTTGACTCGTTTCTGAACTCCATATATTCAAACAGTGCCATATACTTCTTATCTACAAACAACAATCTACCACGATCTGAGCACTATAGGTCAGAAAACCTCATTCTTCTTAGTGTAATGATGCCTGGCCCACGGGAAGCAAGTACGTCTGACATCAACCATTACCTTCGACCCTTGGTTGATGAATTGCTGGCATGGTACGGCAGTAAAACCATCAGAACGTGTCAGTATCCATAAGGAATCTGCTTAGCATTGTTCGTCAATGCTTGTAATATTCCTACTGCAAGGAAAACAAGTGGTTGTATCTCTCATGCGAGCCTTGGTACCACCAATATCTATTACCCTGGGTTTGACGTTGCTAATTGGGTGCTGCAAACGTGGGAGGACAACCAGGCTTATACTGAGCAATGGCGGAATGCTGAGACGATGATGGCTTGACGAGAACTGGAACAGGCAAACAGGGCGAGATGGTCAGAGCTACAATATCTGGGCTACTTTGATCCTGTTCATTGCATGATCATCGACCCAATGCATAATTTGTTTCTCAGCAGCAAAACAAAGCATATGGCAAAGGTCTGGATTGACCGAGACCTCCTCACCAGAACCGGCCTTCAACAGATGCAAGTGCCCGCGGACGGTATTGTTCTCCCTCCCAACTATGGTGCCTTGCACCGCAAAATCGAAAGTGGTTTCTCATTTATGACTGCAGATGATTGGAAGTCATGGTGCATCGTATACTCGCCTTTTGTACTTGACGGTCACCTTCTGAGAAGATACCTTTAAAACTGATTGAAGTTTGTTGATGCGTGTCATTTACTAGTTAGGCGTCCTGCTATTAGTTGTCTAGCTGTTGGTTGTTTGTTGATTTTGTTATAGTTAATAAGCCTGTCCTAACTAGTATAGCCATTAATGGCTAATATAGTTTTAATCAGAATCATCACTATCTTCATCTTCATCTCTCTTTTCCTCTGCATATATCTGACTATATTCCATGATTAGTTTATGCATTTGCTCTTGGGTCATTTGCAGAATATCATCCCTGTTTGCTTCTTTTGCTTTTATTAAATCAATATAATATCTAAAGTATGTATTGAAAAATCTTTTATACTTATATTTTTCCTTTTCAAGTTTTTCTATTACATCACTTGCAAAGTTACATTGATATATATCCCATAATTTTGTACTACACTCGTCACATGGCTGTAAACAATAAAATTCACATTCATCATCTTTAATATTATTGAGTCCACCCTGTGAGGTAACCGCTCCGGAGGTGTTGACATCTAACATTGCATCGGAAATATGAGGAAATGAGGATTGCTGAGAATTTGGATTTTCAGCATATGCCTCATTTGTCTGTGTATTTGGCCTTTGAGGAATTTCAGATTGCTGAGAATTTGAAATTTGAGGAATTTCAAATTGCTGAGAATTTGAATTTTCGGTAACTATTTCTTTTGGAGGTAATGTATCTGGATTTTCATAGTATTTCTCATATTTATATAATTTTTCCTTTAGTTTTATATTTTCCTTTAATGTATTCTCTTTACTTTTTTTAATAGAATTAATATCTCTTTCATTTTTAGCTTTAATTAAATTATTTTTAGATGTCTCTTTTTGTTTTTTTGATGCTTTACGTTTTATTAATAATTATCATATTTTTCATAAATTGTTTTTTTAGTAAATTCTGTAATGTTTATATTATTATTATTTAAAAATATACTTAATTTATTAGTATCAAGGACAATTTTGTCATTGTTGAATGTGATTATGTTGTTCATGTTTAATATTATGAGGTGTTATTTTTATATGATAAAAAAAATTCAATTTTTATTTTTCCAAAATTTTAAATATATGCATGCCAAGACATACATAATTTAATTTTATGAAAATTATTTTGGTTATACTAACTTCGTGTGGCTACTCATCCAATTAGTACTAATAAGTCGGGGTATTGTTATTATAACCATGACCGGGCCCCTTAAGTCATCAATTACTGTAGTAGACGAAACTACAGAAGCAAATACTCTTCTCACAGAGTTCTGTATTGGTGTCGAGCATATATATGGGCTGAAGGAGATAACACCGAACATGCATCTTCATATGCACTTGGCCACAACGATCGATAATTTTGGGCCATTATACACTTACTGGCTCTTCTCGTTTGAGCGCTATAACAGATACCTCAAGGAGATCGACACCCACTAAAAGGACTCGTTTAGAATGACGTCCTTGAAAAAGTTCTTATAGAAGACAAGTGCTCGCGATTTAGTTCGGTCGTTTAAAGCCCTCTTCCAATACCATCAACATCATCTCTCCTTCTGGAACCTCCTCGGTCTTATACAGCCCATCCCGCGTGCAGCCAATGTTATACAGCGTCAAATCGATGTAATGCGTTTTTGGCGTTGTCAACAAATGTTGGTGGCATCCACCACATCATAGGATGTAAGCTGCTGCTGCCAGATGTATATATCTCTTGCATTATGAGCAGATAGCATTTATGCCCAAGCAATTGTACAATTTCTTGTTGGCATTTTACTGTGCTAAGTGTAGCAATCATCTCGTTCACTTTACCCAAGCTGGTGATAGGTAAGTTTTCGTCAGTAACCAGTACTGGAAAATGAAGACGATAACGATGATGGAGCAGACTTACCGCAGTGCTGAAGCCCTGAAGCGAGATCGCGGTGTGGTGCCCACGCTTAAGTTCTGTTCCACGTGGACGATCGTGGAGAACCAATTGCCTGGCTGAGATCTAACTTTTCTTTCAGCATGTGCAGTTCGTTCGTGGACAGCAGACAGAGCATGTATTTGCATATGTCCCATCATGGTACACCATCTACAGAGACAATGATGGTCGCCAATTTACGGATCCTTATCTTGAAACGTGGTGTAGTCGTTTTCGAGTGAAGCAATGGATTGTATTGTACCGGTTCATCGTTTATATGGAAAAGTTGCTGTTGTGAAACTGGGCACACAAAGAAATGCAAATACCAGAACAGTAGTGCTTCCGTTAGCAAAAAAGATGCTAGAGTAAACAACTATAGCTTTTTCATTTGCTTTTTTCTTGTCTACCAAAATTGTTTAATATTCCATGTGTCTGCTGTTACCTCAGCGTTTATAAAAGTATCATGTGGTGTTGTATGCACGCGTCGATAATATCTTGGCGGTAGCATTCTGTTACCTAAGTTGCAAAAAAAAGAAGAAGAAAGGTTTAGGGTTGAATTCGCAAACCAACACGTAAGCAGCAAAGCTCTAAGTATATACACACCTTGCAGGCTTACAGTGCTTTCGAACTTTAGCTATTAATTTTTGAGAACGGTTGTCGGATGCTGTTAACGAACTTCAAGCGAAACGTCTAACAGTAGTCCATAGGCTATATATGTAAACCATTAAGCTGATGGAATGCTTTTTATCACTTCGAGTGTTTTAATGAGTAAAGTGAGTGATGTTTCTGTTTGTGTCATAGTGAGAATTCCTTAGACGTGAGTGACATGGACAGTAGGAGTGGAAAAGAAGAAAAAGATGGGTCGTTCTCCCAACAGCAGCTGCATGCATAACCTTTTCTTTTTCCCACCCCATATACCCACACGACACAGTCGTGCAGCTATATTATTTCTTTAACTAGACATCAACTACCCAACCCTCTAATTGCTCTCGCGCATTATTGGGCAGAGTGGCAGTACTAACGCTATCAACTCTTATCAATCTGTTTGCGTCAACGTCCGGGTTCAATCCATCGAGATGGCGCAAAAACTCGTTCGCCTAAAACAGTTCGTTAAAACAACGACGAAGCATGTACCAAAGCAGCCCAAAATATTTACCCTTTCGTTTCGCCATTGCGGCTTACGGATAATCACGCGCTTTCCAGCATCACCGGGGTACTCGTCGTCGGTCTCCTCTTCAGACATGTACTCCAATCGGAGCAATGCCTCCCCTCGCGGGTAAGTCGCCTCCAGCCGGGCCTGGTGCTGGTGGTACACATCAACTCGTCGCTTATGTTTCTATTCTCTGTGTCAGAATATATATATATGTATATTTACTACTAGTAATAGATAGTTTTCTTCTCTTACAGTGTGGCGACGACTATTGCGCCGAGTCGCCACTCTTCT